AAAACAAACAAAAAAGCAACAGGACCATCAATATAATAGAAATATTAAAAAGTAAAACTTGAAGGTATATAAGAATGGATGGATGGATGGAGGAAATTGTTTATTTACTAGATGAAAAAAGGTTAGTTAATTCTTGCCTGACACTACCTATTTTCATCGCATAAAATACGTGTCAAGTATGATATCATAGAATTTTTATACTTAGACGTGCGAGAATACAGTTTTCTGAAGTTATTTCTTGTTCTACCTGAGGAGATGCAAGGTGAAAGCTGAGGGTAAAGCGGATGCTGCAAGTCAGACAAAATCCCTCTAGCAAATTTATTGCACGAAGTCAAGTGCCTATCGACAATGACGCTAACTATGTGGTCCACTGGGACACCACTCACCCTACTGACCGTCTTCAGAATTCTACGAAATGTGACATAGTCCTTTTGAAGCAAACCAGGAAAGAATAAGCAAGGGTGAGCAATAAAGAAGAATAGGTAGGATGCAATAGTTTATGAATTGTAAGAGGGAGGAGGGGTTGAGTTATCACCGAGTGCCTTAACTTCTTAATGTAAAATGTCAGGCGGAATATTTTACTGGAGATCGCTAAGAACATGGGAAGACGAGGAGAGATCAGAAGAGAGAATAAATCCAAGATACTTAATTTCTGATTTAATTCCTATATCATTGTCGTCAATCTTACAACTGTCATGAGAATCGATGACTTTTTTTTAGAGAAAACGTGGAATGAATGTATCTATGCTATTGAGAACGACTATGGGCGATGTATCCAATAGTTTCCGGGTATTAACGTCTCAGTAATCCTGATCTAACAGTGTGTACCTCCCGACGTGGATGGATTCAAACCAAACTATCAAAGACATTCATGGATTGACCACCTGTTCCATTCTCTCACTACTCCAAACCTCTTTCGAACTCACTCCTGTGTCACCTAATATTTCTAAAAGATTAAGTGGACAGCACGACATGTGTAACACATATCCTAACCATCACAATCGATTCGGTTACTACACAACCTCGTTGATACTCAGTGGATCTTTTTTCCGATTTACTAACATATTTTTGAACTGAATGATAATAATAACAATAATAGTAATAATAATTTAATGTAAACAAAACACCGGGTTTGGCGATGAGTCTCATTTCGCCAGTGAATTCATTTTCTTAGCTGTACAATCGCAAATATATACGTATGAGTTATTTTGTATGCATGTGTACATTAAGTTTGTCAAACAAAATTACAATTGGTTAGGGTTATTTTAACTAAGCAGGTGAGAATTAGTAAGTTTTAGGTAGGGTTACATAATACAAAAGCCGTCAAGAAAATTGGATGTTAATGAAATTAGGGTAGTAACAAAGGTGATGAGCTGTCACAGACAGTTGATATAAAGGAGTTAAGTAATAACATGAGTAGTTTGATGATTGAGTTTTCCTCAGGATACACATAGGAACAAAGTAGACAATACGAAATTACGTAAGAGTTCTAAATAAATACAAGAATTATAAGCAATTAAAGAAACAGGCAAAAAAACAAAACAAAATTAAACCAACAAAAATAAAAGTCATGCTTCACACTTACTAAGATTATTCAATGGTGCACACGCCAATATTGACTTCACTATGGAACACGAAAGTGACGGAAAGTTTCACTTCCTCGATATAGCCATGGAACGCCTAGAAGACGGTAGTCTTCAAAAGTCAATTTATCGAAAGCCCACATGGAAAGGACAATACTTGCATTTTAATAGCTTTTGTCCACATAGCTTTAAACGTGGTCTAGTCAAAACTTTGTACTATAGAGCGAGGAGAATATGCTCTAAAGAGAAACTAGAGGAGGAGTTTGAGTTCCTTGAAAATATATTGAAGAGAAATGGGTATCCTCAAAGGTTCATCAACAAGTATGGAAGATCTGAAGTCACAATAGTAAAACAAATCACAGTGGAAAAAAAGCCAGCCTACCTTCAGCTTGATTATAAAGGTGAAAATATTGCAGCGATGATCAACAGAAGGCTGAGTACATCACTAGCCATAGCGTATCCTGCAGCTAAGCTCGTTCCCGTCTATCGAACAACTTGCTCTTCTCTGGTGCAATCAAAAATCAATAGATATCCTTTCATGTTACCTCCAACTGTGTATACAAATTTACATGTATCTGCGGGAGCAGTTACATTGGAAGGACAGAAAGAAGGGCATATCTACGATTTTCTGAACATGTACCAAAAAGCTTACGTCTAAAGGGAACAAATGCTTTAAACAGTGCCATCACCAGGCATCTTCTCGAAACGGGTCATGAGGTGGACGTTGAAAAGTCGTTCAAAATTATCAATAGGCAAAATAGCTCAATTCTCCTTAAGTTTGCTGAAGCCATTTCCATCAAGCGCATGAAACCTGATTTATGCGTCCAGAAAGAAGCGGTTATCAGCCTTTCTTTGCCCTGGTAACTGGATAATTTCACCTCTCTTTCCTCCGAATGTGAAATGCTAAAAGTTTCCATTGTGTTTGATTATTATTGTTCGGAATAGTGGTTAATATTGCATATTTATATATGTATATATTTTTAGTGTATGCGTATATTGATCGATTGATTTTTGTTTAAACTGAACTCTGTGCAAGTATGTCAAAATTGTCGTTGTAGATATATTTAATAATGTCTTTGCCATGTAAGCAGCTGACGAGAAGGCAACGAAATAAAAGATGGTACCATTTTATTCTGCTAAAACTGTAGTTCTTGCTTTGTTCAAATTCATTAAGGGGAATAAATGTATGAAAAATCAACAAAGTTGTTGCCATGATAATAGAAGTGGTTGAGTAATTCTCTTCTGTATGCACAGCTCCGGTTTTTCTGTTTTGAATGGCCAGAGCTTCAGCGATACAAAGAAGACGAAACCGTATTGCCTTTGGTAGGTTATTCGTGACTCTTTAGATTACTTTGAAGCAGGAGGCGTTTGTTGAAATGGAATGATCAGTGTTAACCAGGTGTTCAATTATCACACTCCTTATAGCACCATTGTTGCATTTTCGAAACCATGCTGGATAGTGTTCTTGAATCCTCTTGGACAGGATGCGCGCCGAACGACCAATGTACCTGGCTCCACAGCAGCAGGTGAACTGATATATGCATATAGAAGTGATCAGATGTGGGATCTTGTCCCTAAGGCTTCTGCAGATCAGTGGGCGACTTACTGAAGAACACTATTCTTAGCGTTGCTGCAAAGAATGTTCTCTTAGAGATGATGCGATCCTTCTCTTGAGAATATCGCTTGCTAAATCTTCCTTGAAATCCAAGTTCATGTAGAGTTTCTTTTTGGGCGCATTTAAAGTTTCATTTCACCGAATTCTTGGTTTGATATTTTTGTCGATGAATCTTATTGGGTATCCATTTTGGGTGGAGATTTCTCTTAGAATATCTAATTCTGTTTCTGGATAATCGGGGTTACAAACGCGTCGGATGGAGGTGGCAAGTGATTTAATTAAATTTCGCTTTTGTTGAATGGGTACCCAGCTATAGAAGCTTGTTAGTTGACCATTCCACGTAGGTTTTCTATGGATTGATCTCCTTAGACTCCCATCAGCTCTTCTTGTTAGTTCCACACCAAGAAACGGAATTTTTTATTCGTTTTCTATATCAAGAGTGAATTTTATTGCTTGATGGCAACAGTTAAATGTCTTCAACAGTATATTGGGGTCATAACTGTTGTCACAAATAATGAATATTTCGTCTACATATCTTTTATACAGTCATAAATTGCCAATGTTCGGCTTTAGTGGACCTTTCTCGAGGCTTGCCACGAAGCAATCTAATAGTAGTGGAACCAACGGAGATCCCATTGCAATACCGTCTTTTTATCTATGGATGGTGTCGTTGGAAGTGAACTGTACGTTCACAGTGGAACTCAGTAGTAGTAGTTCCTACAAATATGCTGTTGGTACTACAATATCGACATGGTTGTCATCTATATATCTGCATATAAAGCAGACCATTTTCGTGATGGGGACATTGGTGAAAAGTGACTCAGTTTCGAAGAACAGCATAATTTTTTTTAGATACATTAAGGTCTTGTATTCGATCGATGAACTGGAAGGTGTCACGGAGCGAGTGCGCGCATAATTGTTTCCTTACAGGTCTCAGAATATCTGCCAGCCATTCGGCAATAGAGTGGTAAGGGGAACCTGATATATGCAGAATTTGACGAAGTGGGAGACCAACCTTTTGTACTTTTGGTAGACCATAAATTCTTGGTATTATTGAACCTGTTAGCCAGATCCGGTCGTAGATATCGCCAATGATTTGGTAATCATTGATAATTTGTATCACAGTAGACTTCTTGAGAATTTAATTTGTGGGAATCTGTGTTCAGTGAACTGAATAATAAATAGTCAGATTGTGTAGTGTGAGTTGAATTCATAACTTGCAAATTAGCTGGCCATCTGCAATGTACACACAGTTCGAAGAGGCGACATCTCATCGCAGTTTCCATTAGAAACCAACTTTGAAGTTTCGTTAGCAGTCAAGTTTACTTTTACGGGATGGATGAGGTTTCTAGCCTCATGTCCAACCTTTCCTCTTAACCGGTTTTATTACTCAGTTAACGAGGTAAAGGATTGCATCGGTTGGGAGTCGAACTCCAAAGCACCTATCTGGTTGGCAAGCGTCCTACGGCTGTGTTACCGACGCACTCTTTAGTGACAAGGGATAGTTATATAACTGTAGAACCTGAAGAAGAAGAAGAAATAATCGAAAATGTGAATATATTCTTTGTTCATTAGTGAGTCTGTTTTAATCCACCGATAGCAAATGGGGAAACTTGACTGATTCACCTAAGTATTCGGTATACAACCAGTCGACTTGGTTCCAAGGTCTGAATCCCACCTCTCCAATTGGATATAATTTTAAGTATCATCAACTCTTACACGCTAACTGTGTGCCTTTCTCACATCATCTGAATTGGTGAATTCAAGGATATCAGTGTTTAAAAGTAAGTACATATCATATACAAATTTTATTTTATTTTTTATATAACATATATGTGAATGTATATTATTCATAACAAAATATCTTTATTCAAAATGGAATAGTAATAAAAAGTAGTACAGTGAACATATTTTTGCTTCTCTTTTCAGAACAGAAACAACACAGAAGTTATGTAACAGAATGTAGAAAATGAAGAACTCACTGTTTAGCGCGCCTTCTACCCCAACCCCTCAATGTGAGTAATACAAATATGTGTAACATTTAAACTGTGTGTGCATGTGCATGTGTGTGTGTGTAATTTGTGTGTTTGTGAGAAATGCATACCCTTTTCAATAATGTTAACAGTAGTAGGGCTATTTTTTTTTTCAGATGACGTCATCACTATTATTATTGTTATTATTACTATTTAACATCTATTATTTCCACCCCCGCACCACCACCAACACCACCAACTCTAAATATTTGTTTGACTGAATCAAAATGAATATTTCATAATATTTTTATAACTTTTTGACGTGTCTGTTGACTTCATTTTGTGATGTTCCAAGCTAAATAAAAAATATTAATTAAAATAAATAAATTACAAGTAAAAAAAATTTCGCACCAATGTGAGGTAGTATACCATTACATTTGAATTGCGCATATTTGGTGTTGATTCGATGCACAGAGGTTCAGTGACTAACCTCTCTCTCTCTCTCTTTCTCCATCTAGCGTAGACAGCACAGCGATAGAATGCTCACCATCCGAACAAGTGGTTCGAGGTACGACCTCCAGTAATAAGATTGGTAAAGAGGGAAGGTTGGGCATGAGGCTCATCAACCTCATCCAGTAAGGATAAATACTGTGGCTACCGAAACTTCAAGCCTTTAGCTTGAAGCCATATGTTCCACTGGGAACGTAAAGGAATATATATGTGTATATATATATCCTTCACTTCTTTATGAGTCTATTTCACTTTGAATGTACAGAAATCGACAACATTAAGATATTTTCATTTGATGGTTGAAGACAATCAGTAGGAAGTTTTGGATATGAGTTTTATTCTTGCTGACACTCGTTGGTTCAATGAATTTGAAACCTCGAGGAAATCGATGTGTCATTCTGAAATTTGAACCCCTCATCAGCCAGAGCTACGATTAGAGACTCTACGGGCTAATGCATTATTATTATTGTCTCTTTTATATACAATTGGTGGATGGTGGCTAGCAGTGGAATCCAGGATGCGCATTTCGTCCTAATTGGGACTCGTCAGCTGGATGTACCTGCATTTCTCAGTGAGTGATGATGTTCCCACCGAGGCTCGAACCCAGTGCCCATAGTTTCAAACGCCAAAGCGTTATCCACTAGACCACTTGGGCCACGAGAGCCACCTCTTGTGCAACGGGTCATATATTAATTATTGAATTGAATTTTTGATTTTCCCGTCAAAAATTCAATTCAATAATTAATATATGACCCGTTGCACAAGAGGTGGCTCTCGTGGCCCAAGTGGTCTAGTGGATAACGCTTTGGCGTTTGAAACTATGGGCACTGGGTTCGAGCCTCGGTGGGAACATCATCACTCACTGAGAAATGCAGGTACATCCAGCTGACGAGTCCCAATTAGGACGAAATGCGCATCCTGGATTCCACTGCTAGCCACCATCCACCAATTGTATACAAATCAAATCCCCAGACATCGTCGAAGCATCTGCACAAGAAGCCGACATGTCAACCTGAGACCGAACACTTCGGTCCAATCAATCGACGGGAAAATCAAAAATTCAATTCAATAATTGTCTCTTTTAGTTCCTAGAGGAACATAGGGCTTCAGCTGTGCGTCTCCATTGCGTTCGACATTCTGGCAACATTTTCACCTGGCTCCAGGTCTGCCCACATGCTTTCATCTCCTCTTCACATGATCTCATCCATGTCACTCTACTCTCGCACGGACGACCAAATGACTCGCCTCTTTTTAATTGGGTTCCACTCGAGCGATGGCCTGGTGTGTGATGTCAATCACTTGCTGGTTTGTTTACTCAGAGTATGGTCAATCCACGTTCATCTCTTCCTGCATATTTGTTGCACAGTTGGTTTCTGCTGGGTCGGGTTAGTTCGTTCATTACCAGAGATCCCTGTTATTGATTTTTTCTTGTCATTCATCTGATCTTGAGTAGTACTGAGCGAAGACAGCTAGCTGTTGATGAAGGTGTGTAGTTTGTTCAAAGTGCCCTTCGTGACGCAGCGTGGCGCCAACTCTCTGACTTCACACTGGAGATCCGGGCTAATGGCTGACTCCCAGTAGGATTACATATTGGGTACCAATTTCAGGATACCTATCGCCAACCATTTGATCAGAACAATTCGTCCTCATAAATCAGTATTTTCAAGTAACATGAACACTATGACCAGTCACTTAGCATGGTAATGAAAAACTCTATTACCATATTTATAAGTAGATACAGTGTTCTGGCGTTTATACGTTCTTCTTTTCGTTCTCATTAGTTTACAGTTCAAATCAAGTACACATTGAATGTTTCGCATGTTTCTTATGTGGCATTTAAACACACCTACTGTAGCATATCTACAGTAGGTAATCTGAAAAGTAAGAATCAACCAATAAGAACCGAGCTAGTCATTTTCCATGGTGACCATATTGAATATTTAATTGGTAGATTTCAGTCAGCGTCGACATCAAGTGCTGGACATATGACGCTGATTACACACTATTGACTAGTGAATATATAGACTTCTGTCCATTGAAAATTAAACTTGTAGCGAATAATAACATTCGTAATGTTATAAAAAAACAAACAAACCGTATACTCACCTGACCTTAATTTTATGTATTGAAAGTAAAAATGCCACACTGATCATTTTTTAATAATGGTAACAAATTGTCCTCGGTCGATTCTCGTTGTTGTTGTTGTTGTAGTCCAATTTCTAAATATTCTAAGTCTTTATTATCCGCCTTTTCTATATTCGTATATTCTTGTTGCCTAGGTGATGCGTGTACACTTGTATTTTCGTCATTATTAATTAAGCAACGAACACTGTCAGTGTTTCCATCATCATCATCAGCAGCAGCAGCACGCCTACACTTTTTAATGCCTTGATCATTGAACACTTGATTTTGTCGCGGTAATTCAAATACTTTATTTTGAAATTTTATATAATTATTCTGATATTTAGTATTAAAATTATTGTATTTATTGTGATCAGAATTACTGATATTTGTTCCAATTAAATAATTATTATAATTATCTAATAAGGTACTAAAACAGTCAGGAAATAAATTTGCTCTACTATTTATGTATAAATTTTTTATCCAATCATAATGCAGTTGTGTATATTCATTATAATCAGTATAATTGGTATATTCATCGTGATTGGTTAATTCATGACTGAGATCAGTTTGATGATTGGTTGGATTGGTGGGCAATATTGATTGCGTAGGTAGTGGTTGTGATGGTAACGGCGATGATGGAATAACTATATCGCTAAGACGACTACTTAAAAATTCAAATGCGCTTTGTGATGTTGATGTCTGTTGACTGCTGTTGGAGTTATACAGACGAAGTTCAGGCTGGAAAGGCGAATAAAATAATTTGATAATTTTTATTTTAATATTAAGAACACAATATTCAGCGAACAGACTGTTTTCAACGAATTTATTATCAAACTGTACAATCGTATGGATATATATGGTTCTTAATCTTAAGAAATTACATCACAAACTCATTACCGACTCAATTCTCAGGAAAGCTATGTTTATGAATTTGGAATTCAAAGGCGATCAGGCTTGAGAAATGCTCAGAAACTTCTCTAAATCAATCAGCAAGACATTCTTTGTTCTCCACCTGTGGAAAAGATAAGCTTCTCTGTCTGATCGCCTCCATGTGCATCTATCAGTTCACTTGCTCTTGTACAGTGAGGTGCAATGGTGATAGCCAGAGAATTCTTTCTACACGGATGCGAGAACATGCTCCAGCATGATTTTGCAAGGAGGAAAGGAAGAGTGTGCGAAGCTCTATTTTAGAACACACTTGATCGACTTCTGTCACTGCACCAACCCTGACCATGGTTTTGAGATTATCTATCGAATTCATAATAACTTGCCCAGTTTTCTTCATTATTAACTTCTAAAGACAACAGAGGCCTTGACCATTTATGAATTTCAGCCATACTTTTGTGTACAAAAGAAATATATACAATCCCTACTTCTGCCTTGACCGTAGAGGGATAGACATTTATTTATTTTGTTTATTTAGTTAATCTTTATACCTTTTCCGTCTTCACTGCGATTATAATTATTACTATCACTATTCTTACTTAGAACTGTTCCCACTTGTCCCACGTGTTATTCTGAATCCAAAACAAAATCGTTTTTACAATGTTGAATTCTATCTTATCAATTTTCACACCATGTTACGTAACATTTTATATTAATCTATATTATATTATCAACAAGTTGGCTATTGAAGAAGCATCAAAGATAGGAATTCCTTCAGGTGAACATAGAAAAAGCAGAGGTAATGAAGATTCCTGGCCAACACCAACAGTCACAGCAACAACATTAGACAACAATCAACCAGCATAAATGGGAGGAACCTGAAAGAAACAACCTCCTTCACCTACCTACCTGGAAAGCATCGTTTCAACTACAGGCGAACGGAACTGACGGGGATATCAAAGCCAGAATCGGAAAAGCAAGACAGGCTTTCATGACTCTTAAGTCTGTGTGGAGGTCAACAGCAATCAGCATTAAAAATAAGATCCAGATTTTCAACTCCAATGCGAAGTCAGTGCTACTTGCTATACGAATCAGAGACTTGGCCAGCGCGTCATAAACAGCATCTCAAACAAACATCAGACCTTCATCAACAGCTAGCCGTCTATGCTCCACACTCAAGATCAGATGGCCCGCCGGAAAAGATCAGAAACAGAGATCTCTGGGAGCGAACCAATCCGGCAGGAACCCATTGTGCAACAAATGTGCAGGAAGAAATGGAGATGGATTGGTTGGTCATACTCTGAGGAAATCATCAAGTGACATCATTAGACAAGCGCTCGAGTGGAACGCGAAAGCGAAGCGGCGAGCTGGTCGTCGAAGGGTGACATGGAGGAGGTGATGTGAAGAGGAGATGAAAGCGTGTGGGCAGACTTGGTGCCGGGTGAAAACGTTGGCAGTGAACCGGACGCAACGGAGATGAGCGTCTGAAGCCATATGTTCCTCTAGGAACTAAAGGAAGTAATAATAATAATAACCCTATAATTATACACGCCATTCCAAAATCTTTACATCCTATGAATTATTCTGTAAATCGGTTGGAGGATGTCACCATGAGCTGACACCAGTAAGAGAACCATTGAAAAACAATCTGGGAGTACCGGAAAACTGGTCCTGTTGTCCTACTTTGAGAGTCTTCAGCGGTAAGCGCCAACACCACAGGGTTCTAACTCACGACCTTCTGGTAACAAGTCTAGGGAGCTAGCTCGTAGACCACTAAGCCACTCACTGGTCCCCGATTCAATGGCTAACCCATGAATTATAACTTCCGCCAGTTCATGACATAGTATGACCACTTCGCAGTGTCTTTTTCGATGAGTAACTGCCCTCACCTTCGACCTCTCGTACCTCACTGGTCACGCCTTCCCAGTAGAACCACAGGTTAACTGCCTGAACAGGGCCAGTCGTCAGTGAGCATCAGATTCATTTTCATGTATGCATGAAATTAATTGTTTTGCCACTTGACATTTAACTATGATTATAATCACATACGTTCTAAGTGCATTTCATACTACTATTATTATTATTTTATGCATTCATACCTATGATTCAATTCCCTGTCCGGAAGTAATTTCTTATAAAAAAACTCATATATGTATACGATTTTACGGCTTGATAATAAGTTCGTTGTTGAAAAGAGCCTCTACACTTCCATATTGTATCCTTGTGTGCGTCGGTGGCACAGTGGTTAGGACTCTCGCCGACCATCCACATGGTCTGAGGTTTGAGCCTCCGCCGACGCACACCTGATATCTATGGTCGGCCTGCAAAATTTGGGCTACCGATATCCATGCTGAAAATTACATACTTATACCAAAAATACGGTGTGGAATCAAGCTGTAAATAAAAATTAAAAAAATTAAATAAATAAAAGCAGAGTTTCCTCATTGAATAAAACCAAGAAGTACTCTTTTCGATAACTTCTTCTTCATCGGGGTGTACAGTTATATGATCACAATAATTTAAGAATTATTGTTAATAATAAGATTAATGTTTCTAGGCGACTTGCTGATGAGAAGACCAGACGGCAGTATAAAAAGGAATTCGCATGAGAAAAGTACTCGAACAAGTAAATACACATGTTTTCACAGCTTTGTTCCTCTCCAGTGTAAAAGATGATTTGGTAAAGACTGTCACGACTTCCCACTAGAAATCCAGGAAACTCTGTTTTGTAGCAAGTCACTAGCGAACATCAGATTAATTTTCAAGAGTTAGATTTGTAAGGATTAGTTTTGTTCATATGAGTTTGACCACGGATTGATATCATCAGTTAGAGAACCATTGAAAACCAGTACAATTGAGCAGCTCAGTTTGAGAATCATAGGTAGTATGCACGCACACTACGGCGTTCGAACCCACGACCTTTCGATTACAAGGAAAGCTGGTATACAGTTCAGTCACTGAGACCCGATTCAACGGCCAGCCCATGAACTCTAACTTCTACCAATTCGTGATTTAGCCCGAAGTCGTGACCAGTGACGTCTGTCCAGTCGGTGTGAGGATGGATTTCCCGCTGGTGATACTGGTTGTCTGTCACGCTAAATCACGAATTGGTAGAAGTTAGAATTCATGCAATGGCCATTAAATCGGGTCTCAGTGGGTGAATGGTTATATACCTTTTTTGCGAAATGGGACAATAGGGAGTATTCATACTGGGATTGTCTGAGCTTTGATATTTAATCATGGGCATTTTATTTCAGATAACCAATTGAGAAGTAATCATAAAAATAAGTCATCGAACAAGTTGATGGTAACAATGATTACAGTTTATACATGAAAATATAAAATTATCTTCTAATGATCTCAAAACTTCAGCTCAAAAACGTTAGTTGTTAATATAAAAAAAAAACAGAAAAGCTCCTCTTTCATTTTAAATAGGGAAAAATTAAAAAAAATATCATAAACTTAGTGAATATTTGTATCACAGGAAGCATGTCTTACTCGCTAACGAAGTTAGCGCTGAACATAATAACTAGTTTGATAGCAAAACGTTCACGAAGTTTGAATAAACTGCTAGCAGTATCAATGTAACACTATCCAGCGTGGCTGCAGAAAGGAAGTAGTGGCCGTATAAGGAGTGAAATATTCGAACATTTCGTCACCACTGGTCACTCCATCTCAAAAAAGCCTCCTGCCTCAAAGTAATGTACAAAGCGAAAAACAATCTGCCAAAGACAATACGTTTCCGTTTTCTTTGCATTGCAGAAGCCCTAGCCATTTTTAGTTAGAAGAACCATAACTGTGCATACAAAAGAAAATTATTCAGCCGCTTTTATTATTGTTTTTTTTTCCTGGAAGTTATAAGAGTTTAAGACTATCCTAAAATCAAATCAACCTCAAGAACTACCATATATGAAGAATATTTCTGAGATAACGGCTAGAATACTTCAACCATTTTGGAACTGACGTCACCCACTAACCAACATAATCACCTCATTCAAAACTATGCAGACCAAACTACCCAGACAACAGCAAAGTACGACAAGGTCAACACCATCTACAAATCAAACTGCATCAGGATTTGTGCAAGAAGACTATATTAGTCAAACTGTGCATCCCCTTCAACTCTGCTTCCAAGAACACAAACTAGCTAGCTGTCGAACGATACGACATGAGTGTTTTTGATACTACTGCAACTATGGACAATATATCGACTGCGGAAATTGTGGAAGTTTTAAGTAGTGGAAATAACAAAACTGCCATGGAATTCCTAGAAGCTCTATGATCAAAAAACATGTTGAAACCGATCAAATTCATCAGTCAGCGAAATGATCATTACCAATAGGTGTGAACATACACAATACTTAGAAAATCTCTGAAGACAATTAATCACAGTCAAGATTATGGGAATAGACAGTTATATTATCAATAGATAATTGTGAAAGTTCAATTCTCAGCAAGGTTAGAGTTGAAGATGCTGTCAAAAAGGTAGAGGAAAGTTTCGAAATCATTCAGATAGGAGGAGAAGGTCACCGTGAATCCTTGCAAATTAAAACTACTGCATGAAATTGCCTGAAGTTCTAGTGGGGGAGTCATGATCGGCGAGTCCCATCAAGTTGGGTGTGGGGACTGATACACACCAGTGACATTGGCTGACGATCGAGCTACACATTGTAAGTTTACAAGAGCCATTAGATTCCGTTCCACAAACTGAATGCTCGACGAGCTCGCCTTGTAGCTTGAAGGTTCTGGATTCCAGTTATGAAAGTGTGGTGAAGTTGTGAGTGAGTAATGCTGAAGAGTCCTTTCTGGTTTTCTAATGGCTGTCTAACTAAAGTCAGTTTATGACCGTACTTGAAAATGAATAAGGATGAGGAGTTAATTGTAACTGGACCAGTGGTATATTGGTTAAATTCATCACACATGATTATATAGATATAGCTTTAGGAGTAATACAACCAGAAAAATTTGAATTTCTTAGGTACATACCATGATAAATAAATAACGACTTGGTGTTGCCTTCATTTCACACAGAACTAAACATAATTCTTTGAATGTAGGCCTGTAGTTTGGATCAGTATGCCAACCTTATCACATTGGAAGAGGAAAAGAAAAAACAAACAAACAACGGGTTACGGTTAAATTAATTTGATTGTATTTGAATAAGGCAAGAACAACAGCGGTTTTTGTAGAATAAAATGGTACCATCGTTGTTTATTTGGTTGGCTTCTCATCAGCTGCTTACAGACCAAAGTCATTGTTGAGTATATCTACAGGAACAATTTTAACATACTTACCCACTGAAAGTTCATTTTTAAACAAAAATCAATCACTTATATATATATATATATATATATATGATAATAATAAACCCTTTTATCCTGATCAATAATTATCATATACAATAGAAACTTTCTGAATTAAGTAATCAAATGAAAGAGGTCACCAGGGCAAGGAATGACTGATAACTGTTCCTTTCTGAATACATAAATCGAATTTCAGGCGCTTGATGGAGATTGCTTCGGTAAACTTGAGGAGAATTGAACTCTTTTGCCTATTGATTATTTTGAACGATTTTGCGACATCCACCTCATGACCCGTATCAAGAAGATGACTGGAGATGGCACTGTTTAAAGCATTTGTTCCCTTTAGACATAAGCTTGTTTGTATGTGTTCAGAAAATCGTAGATATGCCTTTCTTCTTTCTGTCCTTCCAATGTAACTGCTCCCTCAGATACATGAAAATTTGTATATACATTTGGAGTTAACATGAGGAGGATATCTATCTATTTTTGATTGCAACAAAGAAGAGCAATTTTTTCGATAGACGGGAACCAGCTTAGCTGCAGGATAGGCTTAAGCTAATGACGTCTCTGGCGTAGACGAGATGTTCGACTAGCGACCAAAGGGCGGGTGTACTGCACATCAGTCCGCTCCGTCCTCCTCTAAAGCTAGCTGTGAGACCTGGCCACTGAGAGTGGAAGACATGAAAAGACTAGCTGTCTTTGATCATAGGTGCCTGCGTTCTATTTCCCGTGTAAAGTGGCATAATAAGGTGAGCAACATGGAGGTTAGGCGTAGAGTTCTAGGTAAACAGGGGAAATCAATCGACGAAGTCGTGAAGCTACATCGACTGAGATGGTTAGGACATGTGTTACGTATGCCAAGTCATCGCCTCCCTCGACGAGCTATGTTAGCGGATATAGGGTCAGGCTGGAAAAAAGCTAGTGGCGGTCAAACAAAAACTTGGCATCAGTCAATGAAATCCACAACAGTTGGTCTAAGTCACGTAGGAAGGTGTAGACTTCCTGACTGGTTGGGGTCCTCGGGACGGTAAAAATCTATGGTTGGAAACAATTTGTGACATGGCTCAAAATCGTTCTCAGTGGCTAGCGCAGATGCATCCACTCCCTGTGACCTATGATCTCCAATGAAACTGTTTTGTTCTTCGTTATTACTCCTCCTTTGTCTCACACCTCTGCTCACTGTCTCTATTATGCTTTTCTTGTACTTTCTTCTCTTGCTTCGCGTGCTACACGGAATGTGGCGACTTGAACTTCCGCACATTTGTGCAAAGTTCTATGTCGAAAACAGACAGACAGAGACAGTGACGTACTCAGTCTTCTGTTGACCATTGCTGCAATGTTTTCACCTTACTCCACTGTGATTTGTTTTACATTTTCGACTTCAGATCTTCCATACTCGTTGATGAACCTTTGAGGGTAACCATTGCTCTTCAGCATATTTTCAAGAAACTCAAATTCTTCCTCTAATTTCTCTATTGAGAATATTTTCCTCCCTCTATAGTACAGAGTCTTGACTAGTCCGCGTTTAAAGCGATTTTTGACAAAAGCTATTAAAATGTAAGTAATATCCTTTCAATGTAGGCTTTCGATAAATTGACTTCTGAAGACTACCATCTTCTAGGCTTTGCATGGCAATGTCAATGAAGTGGAAATTTCCATCACTTCCATGTTCCAAAGTAAATGTGCTTCATTGAATAATCTGAGTAAGTGTGAAACATGACTTTCAATTGTCGCTCACTACAAATGTATCATCTGTGACATATCGACAATAAGAAGTTGTTTCGTCGGTTGTATGCTTCAACTTTGATCCTTCAAGGTTGGACATGAACATATATCTGCTCAAACAGGGGGCTAAGTGGACTGCTCATAGATAGCTACACCATCTATTTGGCAGTAAAGAGTGTTGTAAAATAGGAAAACCATCTTTTCAGTTGATTGGTAGAATGTTCACGGACTACAGACCTGATTTAGGGTTTGATCCACAGTCGACACATTCCTATCTATCGATTAACTGGTAACAAGGCCATATGTATATATAGAGAGAAAGAAGGCTAAGAGTTAGGCTGGCTACTGAGACGTCAAAGTCCAAAGCTTTAAGCCCTTTTTAAGCTTCTTTTTGTTCCACTTAAAAGTGCAAAGGTACAAAAGATTAAATAAAAAATCATAAAAGTAAAATCCATGTGTGTACATACATTGAAGCATTAAACAATAAAAATCTAAACTTGTTGTTTCTGGTTGAGGTAAACGATTGCCTTTCTCTAAAAAGCTGAGCAGATCTCTTGCTGGTATATTTTCATATGGTCTTTGTCCAAATGTACACATCTCCCATAAAGTTACACCTGGAACAAGTGAATAAAAGAAGAAAAGTTACAAATGACTAGTATATTTTAGATAAATTTCAATGTAGATTGTGTCAAGAGTCAATAGTAGTTAGAGAGTGACTGAAAAACAAGCAGTGCTGGTCAACCAGCTGTTTCGTCCTAGTCTGGGACTCTTCATTAGTACACAACCTTAACCTGACCGACCAATCAACCAACCAGGGATCAAACTCTAGACCATTCAGGCATTTTCACTCGATCTCTGAAGTGTCTGTCTGTAGCGGTGATTTTTTTTTATGGCATAAGGTTGCTAGTCTCCTGCCAAACCTTCCCTGTTTATCTGGCTTGCTGCTGGCTAAGCGAGAAATGGGAGTGTGTCAACTGGGGATTGAACATGGATTACATGCACTGTTGGTGACGAAACATCTAAGCAATTTTAAGTAAGGAGTACTGAACAGCTGTTTTTTCCTAAGCTGAGCATCTACACAGTAAGCAACCTTCGGGGTTCGAATCTAGGACTTTCATATTATAAGGTTAGTTCATAGACCCTTCAGTCAATAGGACTGAAATCCAATGAACGTTGAACCAATACTGTCGATGATCTACCACTTTAATTTGACACACAGTAGATTCCACTAGCCACAGCTTCTCACTACAACTTCAGGGCTTCCATAGATTAGCCATCATTCAGGTGGAGACTGATATCCAGTTCATGGGTTTCTGTGGCAATTTAGATTGATTCCAATGTTGATTTCGTAACGAACTATAAGCCAAATGTGTGGAAGAAAATTTCACTGTTTTCAGTTAAAAAGATCACTGTAATCTCTGCCAGTTCACTACTCTAAGATGTGTCCTGAATTTACTTTAAAAAAAAAGTCAATTACTTTTAACTTTTACTCAAATACTCAAAGTGTAGCAGCCAATCAAGTTGAACCTAGGAAAATCAAACAATCAACCAATCAAATTCCCATGATCGCATTTATTGTTGTTAAAGGTTGTCAGCAGGGTAAGCTACGCGACGTGCCATTTAACCAGCTTGTTAATATTATGGTCGACAGGCACTTGGACTCCTCATGTAAAAAATGGGCTAAATCCATTCTATCTATCTAACTCACACCACCAACCTCTTCATTCACAACTCTCCCCTTGTATCTGTCTAATCAGGCGAAACCAGAAGCTTGTATACAAAACTATATGCTCGCACTAACAAGTACAAAAAAGCAACCATGCTCTATTTGGCTCGTGTTCTGTGCGATGAAGAAAGCATTAGGCGTGATACCTATAACTTATTAAATAGTCAGTAGAACAAATGGATCTCGTCTTTCCAACTCATATCATATCATTCACAGGTACAACGTTTTCTCTCTACTTTTTTTCATTCTGTATTTATTTTTTGTTGTGTGCCGTTTTGTTTCTCTCTTTCTTACAAACTCTACTTAAAACATCCTTCTTCGTTCTCTCACACTCAGTATATCTCGACAGTTTTGTTACCGCTTACGCCAGTAAATATGCTAGTAGTATCTACTTTTCTAACACCTTCAAACACTCTGTTTAAATTTTGGCTTTGCTACCGACATGCCAATATGTTGTTGTCAAAACTAACTGAGATTACCCATAATCTATGTCGAATTTTATTTATTGTTAATGTACTAACTGGATGCAATACTGTAGTAAAATGCTGAGAATTCCATCTTGTATCACAAGTTCTGTTTTGGAATAAAGCAAATTATTATTATTGAAAAAAATATTTTCTAACTAAATATATATAGTTCAGTTAGCAGTTTACTGCGAAAGTGTATGTATAAGTAGGCTGAATACAATCCAAATTTGGAGCTATTGACGCCTTTATTGTTGTAGTATAATGTTTGAATGTATGACAATAGCTAAAAGGAGATAAGAAATCGAGTTTATTTCCAATAGTCGGCTAATAATCATAACAACTCAGCGACACCGTCTACATTATCTTTGAGATGTGCTACTGGCCACAAGTAATACGGTAAGATCTTGTTGTGCTAACGAATAACCCTAATGGAAGTAGGAGTAATAGATTTGACCCTTTGACCGACTGACCTATGATTAAATCATGTTACGAAGTCGCGGAAATTGGAATCAACATTATATATATATATATATATATATATATATATATATATATTTGTGCGTCGGTGGCACAGTGGTTAGGACTCTCTCAGACCATGCACATGGTCGGGGGGTTCGAGCCCACACCGACGCACACCTGATATCTATGGTTGGCCTGCGAAACTTGGGCTACCGATATCCACACTGAAAATTCCATACATGTACCAAAAATACAGTGTGGAATCAAGCTGTAATCAAAAATAAATAAATAAATATACTTGACTTCTAAGGTAGATTTCCTGTCTCACATTTAGATTTCAATCTTCACATCACTTACTGGGGGGCTGTTTCGTCCCAGTCTAGGACTATGCAGTAGTACGCATCCATGACCCCACCATCCAGGTCTTCAGTGGTTCTCTAGCTAAATTAGTGATTAAACTAAAAATCAATTAAATATCTTCAAAAAACTGAACACTTGGAAATTTAGATCTATGCTGTTATGTGGACGTTGTAGTTTAATCTGATGATTTTTGACCTAATAATATCGGTCGTTCCATCACTGACCTAATATAATTCCATGTGTGGGAAGTGTGTATAACTATTTGATGTGTTCCTTTTTGTACGCTTTCTCACCCCCTTCACGCTTGTTAAATGGACACTCAACTACCACTTTCATTCTCACTCAATAACAAAGATTTCTTCCTTTATGCCGTTAAGTATTACGTAATTTGTGACTTTTATTTTTTTATTTATTTGTTTTGCTTTCGAAGCTACTTCTGAGTCATTATATCAATTATGTCATCCCCCCCATATTACTCAGTAATGGACTACTATACATTTTCGGTTAAAATATAAACACGACTGTACAGTCAGCCTCTGAAGATGATTTCGTCGATAAAGAAGCATTTTCTTCGCTGAATCGTCTTTTATTTTCTTCATGACTACTCAATGGGTATTTCTGAGTGATGTATTTTTTTTCTAATAATGTCATTCGCATATCAGTCATAGATTACTTTTTGTCTGTTGATATTTTTTATGACCCAGGGAATCAAGAGGCTATATTTGTATTCGGTACTCATTTGAAAGGACTGTTCGCGTTCAGTGTTGTTCCAACCGTTCCTGAATGCACTCGGTCATATCAGGTATGTATGTCATTGTGTAACAACAGAAGACCAGGGCTAGTCAACAGATCGTTTATTAAGGAAATCAACACATATTTATAGATTTTTATGTATATTATAATAGATTATTGTTAGCAGAAAAACACAGTCTTCTGATTGACGGTTGTTTCTCACTGAAAGTTAATCTTTCATCTCTTTTTGTGGCTGTTTCTTGAATGTCAGATCATCTATGTACTAACTGTATCCACCTATGCAAAGTCTACTGTGGTTGGCTGTTGAACCAGTCTTTTGTTCACGACCAATATTAGGGACGTAAACATTGACGTAAATTACTGTCTACCAATTTGGCTAGCAGCCAGCTCTCACCACAAATGAAATACAGTTCTTTAAAAAGCGATATTACCTCAAGATTGTTGAGGGAAAAGAACCTTTCTTGCTACTGTTCTAATGTGTAACCTCAATCAGTGAAGTGTTGAGAGCCATTTAACAGCCATTCAGTAAATACTTGTGTTTGTTGATGTGTTGTTTAGATAGATGAGTTGTTTATGAATGTTGTATTCAAAAATTTCATCCACCTACTATCATCAATGATATTCCTGATTATGGTGAACTGGATTATGCGCTAGACTGTGAATGTGGGGTGAGAAGACAGGAATACGTTGGACCATCGATAAGAAGACTCTATAAGATCTGGATTTTCTAGATGTCTAATATCTCACGCACTTGAAGACTTGAGGACAAAAACGAACAAACTGGCAGGAGAGGCAGATATGCAGTGAAGAAAGGACTCCAGGGGAAAGTAGAAAAGACGGATATGGTGAAGATACCCACTCAACAACAACAACCAGCAAAAATCATCACCAACGGAAAACATTTGACAGAGATTACTTCTTTCACTTATCTAGAAGGTACCGTGTTAATCACAGGTGGAACGAATGAAGATCTCAAAGACTGACAGTGTTGTGAACGAAAGCTATACGCCTTCATCAAACTATAACCTGTTCGGCAATCTTCTGAACTGACTCAGCCAGCATAAAGAACAAGATTCAGAATTCCGACACTGATGTTAAATCAGTCATCTCTTCTAATTGGGTCAAAAACTTGGCGTTCACGTCACTAGAAAAGCATTCCCAACAACTTACAAACTTTTGTCGACAACTGCCTTCACTGGCTTTATATTGAAGATCAAATGGCCGACCGGCTGGCCAGAAAGAATTAGTAACAAAGCAACAGGCGAGAGCCGATTTCTCAACAAATATGTAGGAGAAAAATGGAGATGGATCGAGTATGTGTTGAGAAGGCCGTCAAATGACGTCGCGCGCCAGCCAGGCCATTGCTTAGGTGGGGTGTCCTAGGGTGACATGAAGGAGATCGTGAGGGGGTGAGATAAGAGGCCGCTGAAAATAGAACAAAGTGGATATAAATTGTCGAATCTCTGTGTTCCACCAGAAACCAAAGGGAATATTAATAATTATGTAATTCCACATATAAACGTTCCAGCTGTGGCAAACTGAACATAGAAATTCAACAAAGAGGACATCAGTGTCATAGTTCTAGTCAAAGCTGAAAGTTTCAGCCATTCACCTCTGTTTTAACACCTTTCGTTATAGACATCATCACTGTAGCGATCTTAGCAGCTAAAGATCTAGTCGGCAGTTCACTTCCTTTTCAGTGAATAAAAATCATTTCATGGAGGATTTCATCATTAGCTGACATCAGTTGGAGAGCCACTGAAAAACCTGGGAGTAGTTGACAGCCGATCCTGTTGTCCTACTTTCAGACTCTTCAGAAGTACGCACCCAACCACCTCCAGGGTTAGAACCCACGACCTTCTAGTTACAAACCTGGCGAGCTAGCTCGTAGACCATTAAGCCACTGAGACCCAATCCAATGGCCAGCCAGTCCATGAATTCTAACTTCTGACAATTCATGACATAGCACGACCATTTCACAATGTTAACCTGGGGTTCTAGTGGAAAGCCGTGACCAGTAGGGTACAGTAGGTTGAGGATGAGGCGGTAACTCATCGAAGAAAACATTGCGAAATGGTCACGCTATGTCGTGAATTGGCAGAAGTTAGAATTCATGGACTGGCCATTGGATTGGGTTCCGTGGCTCAATGGTGGCTGTCCAGTATTCTCAGATTTTCCAGTGGTTCTCTAACTGATGTCAGCTCATGATGAAATCCTCCATGCAATCAAAAAAAAATCCCTACAAAACCTACACTTGAAAATTAATTTCCACAAATTGTAAGTTTTACGTTGAAAGACAGGCTGTATATAAGGATGAAGGTGGACCCTATGGCTTCAGAGAACCCAGGTCAGGGTTAAAGCTGTCAAGCTGAAGATGAAATAACTTACCTAACGAGAAGAAGAAGAAGAAGGCTGGTAACCTCAAATACAGCCCTGATTAGTTCCCTTATAGATATCCTACTTTAGTACTATGCAGCTTTCGACAAATAATACAATTCTGATAGCCCACTTTTATCTTCATTTAGTCATAATAAAAATAAAAGAAACAACTACATTAGGCATATTACTTATTCAACTGGATTCAACGTAGAAATTCTCTTTCCATATCAGCTTAACTTACCATAAGCCCATACATCAGATTTACTCGAAAAGATTCTGTCATGAATACATTCAATAGCTAACCATTTGATAGGCATACGTCCACCACTTGCATGATATTCACTATTATTTGTATCCAAACATTTAGCTAATCCAAAATCAGTTATTTGAACCTGTAGGAAGGAGAATTTGACAGGAAAAGAAAATAATAGTTATATGCATTACTTGAAATAAATAAAATCATGGGATAAGAGGTTTTTATATGACTGCAATCATTTGTCGCTTTTTTAGTTGAAACCTGTTATATTACTTTTATTACTATTGTGGTGAGAGCTGGTTGTTAGTCAAAATTGGTGGACAGTAATTTACGTCAATGTTTATATCTCCAATATTGATCATGGGAAAAATGAGAACAAAGGCTTCTCCTCTTCCTCCTCCTCCGCGTGTCCTCTATACCACCCTCGAAGTGACACCCAATTCATCGTTTCAAATTTGGCTTCCACAGACGTGTCTAGCGTAGAGCATAATGTTACCCAACGTTCTCCTTAACGTATGTGTCCAGTCTGTTTCTATCTCCTTAGGCATATTCATGCGGCATCGGGTTATTGATTGACTCATTACCCTTCTATAATTCCATGCTGCTTATACTTTATTACAGGCCATTTGATTCTGTCTATCTATCGAGCAAAGACAGTAATGGACAATAAGTTTGCAGTAGGCTGTTGGTGAAAATATTTTTTCGATGATACGTGCGCCAGTTATATGAACCATATAGAAATTTTGGCTGATTTCATATTAGTGTTAAAAATTTGAATCTTTTTGCAGAAGATTTTCGAACCGATTTCAGATTGATGAAGGCGTATCTTGCTTGCCTTCCGTATCCTGTCCAGCTTTGAAATTCTCACTCCATCCAACTGTATGGTTATTGTTATTTCCTTGGGTTTTGAGTGGAAAAAAACAGGGCTTCAGCAACACATCACCACTTTCTTCTCTCCATTTCCTACCGTCCCCTCTTCAACTGGGCCTATTAGTGTCCATAAATCTCCCATCTCCTCCTCATCCTCCTCACTTGATTTCTTCCATTTCACTCCTCGCACCGACGACCCACTCGTCGCTTCTTCCATTGGATTCTCACTCGTGTGATGGCCTCTTAAGAAGGTATGTATCCGACCAATCTATCTTCATTTTCGCCTACATATTTGTTGAGAGATCAGCTCTTGGTTGGTTGGTTCGTTCCCAGCCACAGTTTCATGTTACTTATTCTTTCTGGCTGACCATTTTGGTCGTCAGAATGAAGCCAGCGAAATGGACAGTTTTTGACAAAAGTCTGCAATCTGTTGGATATCCTTTTCATCATACGCCAAGTTCCTGACTCATATTAGAAGAAGAACTGAGTGATTGACTTCACATCTGTGTTTAACAGCCTCCGAATCTTGTTCTCTATGCTGGCTGAGTTAGTGCAGAAGGTTTCCGAATTGGTTACAGGTTGATGAAGCCGCATCTCGCCTTTCCAATACAGTCTTGTCTGTCTGGATTCAACATAGAACTTGGCACCGAAGTGCAGCAGTTCGAATTGCCATCTTCCAAGTAGCGCACAAAGGTAGACAAGAAGATGAGTGAAGAGAATCAATAGAGTTTCACAAGTATAAGAGTGAAACAGAATGGGTGATGGTAGAAAGGAATATCAAAGATTACAGAGACTGAATACATCTGCGCTGGCCATTGACAACGATTTTGAGCCATGTCACCTATTGTCTCCAGCCATTGATTCCTAGAGTCCCGAGGGCCTCAACCCGGAAGTCTGCATCTCCCTACCTACCTGACTCAGTTTAACTGTCAAGGATTTCATGGATTGATGAAGCCATGTTTTTGTTTGACCACCACTTACTCTTTTCCAACCTGAACCTACATCAGCTAGCAATGCCCGTCGGGGGAGGCGGTGGTTAGGCATGCGCAGCACGTGACCTAGCCATCTTAGTCTATGTAACTTTATAGCCTCGTTGATTGATTTTCCCTCTTTGCCTGCCCAACACTCTACGCCTAACGTCAACATTACTTACTAGCTTGTTATACCACCTAACATGAGAAAGAGATCGTAGGCATCTATGATCAAAAACAACAGTCAACCTTTTCATGTCTTCAACTCGTATTGGCCATGTTTCAGAGCCATAGAGAAGGACGGAGCGAACTGGTGAGCAGTACACACGTCCCTTGGTTGATAGGTGGATGTCACGCCCACGCCAGAGATGGTGTAAGTCAGCGAAAGCAGCTCGAACTTTTCGTATCCTTGCTGAGATTTCGTCGCCAATAATCAGTCCGTTGGTGCTGATACAACTTCTCAAATAGGTGAAGTGGTCAACATGTTATATCACTTCACTCGCTATCACTAAGCTAGGAGTTGACGTAGTCCAGTCCTGTAGCAGCATCTTACATTTTGCAAGGGCTAATCGCATGCCAAACATACGAAGATTGCTGCTCAAGATGTTCAGAAGACTCTCCTGGATTTTGTCAGCATCCTCCCCTAACAGGACTATGTCATCTGCATATTCTAAGTCCAAAAGACTATACCCTGGTAACAAGTCGATTCCTAAGTCGTTAAGTTCAGTTAGGGATATTTCCATCAGCATGTCTATGATGAAGTTAAACAGAAATGGGGAAAGTGGAAATCCCTGTCGGACACCACCACTGGTTGTTATCAATTCAGATGACAATTCCCGTAAGCCTTGACACGACTACGTGAGTTTGAATAAAGTGCCTTGATTAGTGCAATGTACTTTCTTGGCAGGCTTTAGGTTTTTGGGGGACAGTTGATCACATCTTTTAAAGAAAATTATCATCGTGTTAATGGTGAGGCTATCTGAAGTTTTTTTTCTTAAGTTTAGTAGACTGTTATTGATCTCAGTAGTGATGATTGAAATTAGAGAAAAGATCTCTACGTCTTTTAGTAGAACGTGAACCAGTTACCTATAAACTACTAGTCCCATGCCGTACCAGCACCAGCTACAAAATCCAGATGCTGACCATGTCAGACATAGAGAAACTATTCACTACAGTGAGAATAAATCCAACAAAAAACCGATGATGTTGTATACTACTTACTGATTGTTGCAAGTAGTTGAAAATCACTCAAGTTAATTAGTAATGCGCGTTAATCAGATTTAAGTGGACTACCAGTTAACGATGATATGTTGCAAGGTAATTCAGGAGACCCAAGACTAAGATTAAGAATGAACTAGCATTTTGGAAGCATTTATTCTAATATGTTTCAATAGCTTGGCCACAACATGTCGTTTACCTTCAATTATTTAAGTGAAATGTGAACTTTTGGCATTGAACTAATCAATGGTGTACCTGGACTGAATCAGGGCAGATGGCAAAAACGTTTGGAAGTGCCCGAATTTCAGCTATTTACTTGGATGAATTGATAATGCATAGGAGTCATAACACAAAAAATCATTATTTCAACAAATAACGAGTGATATCCTTTGCACAATAGGTCGTTGTTTGGGTTCACTAATCCGGGGGATAGCGTTTTGGCGATTACGAATATGAATGTATCATTCAGGTCTCGGTGGAAATACTATCACTGGCTGCGACGAAGATATATCTATGTGGCCACCCACTATCAGAGATCGTTGAAACATCTGTACTACAAATCGATATGTCAAGAGAGAGATTGACCACTTCGGGCCGGTAATAATCAATTAACAGAAAATTCAGAAGTAATAATTTCAAGGTTGACCACAGATTGACACCATTTAGAGAAGCATTAGAAAAAAAACAAAGAGTACTTGGTAGCTGTTTCATCCTTGTTGTGGATGCATAAGCAGTACATGTGGATGGCTGCATCGCTGGAAATCGAACCTATTGGACCTACTGGTCATAAGTCAAAGTCCTTGACCATTCAGCTGCTGAGACTGAATCCAATAACCCATCAACTTTAACACTTGTCTATTAGTGATTATAACGCGATTACCAAGTAAATTTCAGACCTTCATCAACAGTTGTCTTCGCTCAATACTCAACATCAGATGGCCGACCAGAAAAGACCAGCAACGGGGATCTCTGCCAATGAGCAAACCAACCAGGAACCGATTGTGCAACAAATAGACAGAAAGAAATGGAGATGGATTGGATTGGCCATACTCTGAGGAAACTGTCAAGTGATATCACTAGGCAAGCCCTCAAGTGGAACCCAAAAGGGAGGCGGCGAGTTGGTCGTCAGTGCAAGGGGGACTTGTGGGAGGTCATGTGAAGAGGAGATGAAAGCATGTGGGTAGACTTGGAGACAGGTGAAAAAGTTGGCAGAAAACAGAAGGCAATGGAGACGCGCAGCTGAAGCCCTATGTTCCTCTAGGAATTAAAGAATATAATAATAATAACAATATACCAAGCAAACCTCTTCAGGGAGTATCTGTCCTCACATCCACCTTGGTGTAACCTAACGGTTACTGTTTTCCACCAGAAATTGAGACAACTTCTTCCTGTTGCCAGTCACTAGCAAGGATTAGATTAAATAGTTAATTAACTACGTTGAAACAGCTGTCAAGTGTTCCTTTCTAGTTTTCAATAGTTATCTAACTGAAGTTACTCCATCATTAGTTCTGATTTCGAAAAATTCCTGGCAAAATAACACTTGAAAAATAATAATAATAATTTCACCAACCAGCTGCACTTACTTGATCTTTTGACTGAACCAATACATTCCTTGCAGCTAGATCACGATGTATTATACCACGACTTGATAAATATGCCATACCAGAGGCAATTTGTTCTGACCATTGAAATAATGAACTAACTTCAATTGTATCCCAGCGTGTTTTAACAAATTCTAACAGACTACCCATTGGTAAAAATTGTGTAATCAATTGTAGTTTAGATGTTAAACATAAGGCTAGAAATCGGACACAGCATGGATGATCAACAGTTGCCATTACCTAATAAACAAAAGAAAAGATATTCAATGATTAATTGTTCGATCTTAAATTGAGTATTGAATATTGAAATTGTTTATCTACACATGGAATAGTTGCTATAGTGACTACGCTGCTTAATTTGAAATAGCTTGAAAACCTGTGTATATGCGATGGTAAACAGGGAAGGTACTTGCGAGTGATTTCAGTGACCCAAGAGGAACAAAAGCTGCCGGAAGCTGATAATAATGAAGACAAAAAGACCGATGCTCTTTAAGGGTGCTCCTAAATTGTAGAATTGTACTAAATATACATTCTTGTAGAGGCCATGTTCTGCTTTTTTATTTCCTGTCTGAATGTCCGTTTTCTTGATATAGTGATTTATCATTAGAGTTAAAGTAATATCATGTGCCCAGCCATTAGTGTTGCCGAAGTTTACCCTGTGGTGACCAAATTAGGTGCCTTGAAATCGTGGTACACTTTGAATTGATTTAAGGTCAGTAGCTTCCTGCCGACTGCCCCTAACCACCTCACATTAGATCAAAGTTCATAACTATGGTGACTGATGACTAAATTACAACCTTGTCTGCTAGAACGTAGTCAGCCACAATATTAGGACCTAGACACATCGTATTGCTCACACGTTAGTGCTCAATCAATGTATGCACCATAGTCCTACGGAAGGACAACTGTAGGCCCGAATATCTCAAAAGTAGCATTTCTGGCTTCAAGGATGAGCGATGCAGTTCAAACCACAGAGGTGACATTAGTTCTTTGAGGATACACATATGCTCTACTGAGAAATTGGTTCAGGACTTCCTACCAATTGACTATAATCAACTAACATTGACTGACGTATGCTGATGCTTAGTAATGACCATGAATTTGATGAAAACATGCATTAAACAGGTTTTATACCAATCCACGAATGTTTGGCATGCAGCAATCCGCTCCCGCCAAATGCAAGATGATGTTACAGGACTGGACTACATTGACTCCTAGATTAGAAATAAGAAGTGAAGTGGTAGAGCACGTTGATCGCTTTACTTAATCGGGAATTACCATCAGCCAACGCCGGTGGGTTGATCGCTGAAGAAATTCCAACACGGATACAGGAGCCTAGTTTCGCATATGCCAGTTTACGCCGTCTCTGGCTTAGTAGACGTGATATCTGGGTATCGACCAAAGGACATGCGTACTGCACTACAGCAGTCCGCTCAGTCCTCCTTTATGGCTAGTTGTGAGACCTGGCCACTGAGAGTGGAAGACATGAAAAGATTAGCTGCCTTTGATCATAGGTGCCTGCGTTCTATCTCCCGTGTGAAGAGGTATAATAAGGTGAGCAATATTGAGGTTAGCCGTCGAGTGCTATAAGGAGGGGAAATCAATTGACAAGTCTGTGAATTTACATGTGTTAGGTATGCTTAGTCATCGCCTTCCTCGACTAACGGGCAATGTTAGCTGATATAGGGTCAGGCTGGAAAAGAGTTAGCCAGCGGCGGTCAAACCAAAACATGGCACCAGTCAATGAAATCCACAACACTTATTGAATTGAATTTTTTGATTTTCCCATCGATCGATTGGACCGAAGTGCTCGGTCTCAGGTTGACATGTCGGCTTCTTGTGCAGATGCTTCGACGATGTCTGGGTATTTAGTTAGTATACAATTGGTGGATGGTGGCTAGCAGTGGAATCCAGGATGCGCATTTCGTCCTATTTGGGACTCGTCAGCTGGATGTACCTGCATTTCTCAGTGAGTGATGATGTTCCGGTCAACCTGAGACCGAGCACTTCGGTCCAATCGATCGATGGGAAAATCAAAAATTCAATTCAATAATTAATATGACCCGTCGCACAAGAGGTGGCTCTCGTGGCCCAAGTGGTCTAGTGGATAACGCTTTGGCGTTTGAAACTATGGGTACTGGGTTCGAGCCTCGGTGGGAACATCATCACTCACTGAGAAATGCAGGTACATCCAGCTGACGAGTCCCAAATAGGACGAAATGCGCATCCTGGATTCCACTGCTAGCCACCATCCACCAATTGTCCACAACACTTAGTCTAAGCCACGTAGGAAGGTGTAGACTTCCTGGTTGGGGTCGTCGGGACGGTAAAAATCAATGAAGGCTGGAAACAATCGGTGATATGGCTCAATATCGTTCTCAATGCATAGCGCAGATGCATCCACTCCGTGTGACGTATGATTTCCAATGAAACTATATTGTTCTTCGTTACTACTATTCCTTTTGTCTCATATCTCTGTTTACTGTCCCTATTATGCATTTCTTCTACTTTCTTCTCTTGCGTTGTGTGCTACATGTACTGTGGCGACTTGAAGTGCCGCACATATATGCAAAGTTCTATGTCGAAAACAGACAGACAGAATTCAAATTGCTTGCAGAGCAGTATGATAGGGAAAGTTAAAAAATGTGAGTACTCTCTCAAAAGTTGAGTCAGCTGAACACCTTTGATCTACTGTTAAAAATCGAAGGATTAGGTAAAGTTAACACATTAACAGTGATGGAATTTTAAGAGCAGGAAATTTTACAAATCAGATGAAAAGTTATTGACCTGGAGGTACAGTTAACTGATGAATGTATTATGGACTTCAGTACTTCCTATTATTCAACAGTATCATGGTGAAACAGAATCCAGGATGCACATTTCCTCCTCTCTGTGACTTGAGGTACCTGACAATGTTGGAATGACAAAAGGATATCAGAAGATCTAGACTCCGAGGATGATTTATGTCTGATGCTGTAAAAACTGGAAGATTCACAAGCTGGCAAAAGTAGTACGAATGACAGGACTTCAGGCAAACCTAGAAAATCCCCAACCAGTAACAAACGGTGACTACCGTCAGTGGGAGAAATCTGAAGGAAACATCATCCCTCAATTTACTGGGAATCAACCTTTCAAAAAAAGACAGAGAGAATTAGCGTGTCAAAGCCAGCGACGATTGGAAAAACAAGAGAAGTATCTACCACCCTAAAGATTAAGTGAAAATCTACAGCACTTTGCACAGAGAAACAAAATCCGAGTTTCCTACACATCTATGAAGTCACTGTTTCTATATGGTTCAGAGATTTGGCGTACTCATCATCAAAGCATTCCCAACAGACAAATGCAAACTTTTATCAATGACCGTATTCTTCACACCATACTGAAGATCAGATGGCCGGCAAGAAAATGTAAGCTGCAAGAAAATCTGGCAGTCAGAAAACCAAGCAAGAATCTATGAAGGAGGATTGGGTGTTGGCTATGGAGACATTTAAGTGTCACTCTACTCCAAGCCCTCGAGTAGATACCGAATGAGAAGCGACAGGCTCGGCGTGGCTCCGAGGATGATATGGAGGAGATCATATGAAGAGGAGATGAAAGCCTCTGTCAATGATGGAGCCATCTGAAAGTGATGACAGAAGAGCGAGTAGAATGGTCATGTGCATTTGAAGCCCAGTGTTCCACTTAGAACGTAAAAAACGAGTAATAATATTAGTATTGTGACAACAGAAGACAAGGGCCAGGCGACAGCTCTCACCGAACTCGTCACCCAGTCAAAGACTTGCGACTGAAGTTAGTTCGGTCTGCTGGGTTCTAGGAGCATTTTTCGTTTGTCTTGTTGTCTGGAATCTCGGAGCTAGCTGGTATTCACCTGTTTCTCTTTGTTTACCACTGAGATTGTGTCTGCATAACCGCATCTCAAAGTGACCATATGTGGTCCTTCCCACTTTGGAAACTGTTTACCTGACCCAGTCACACATTCGTCAGTATTTCGCCTCACACTTTCATATGCTGCTTTCTCCTGACCTCCCAGCAGCGTCCCAAGTAGTAGCCTCATCGCTGACAGATCCTGAACACCAGTTAACTGCGCAGAAGCCTCGAAGTCCTGTCCGAAGATCCATATATCTCCATCAAAAATTGCAGGGCATATGCTTTCCATCTGTCGGTAGGCAGCGACACCAAATGTAACAAAAGAAGACAGGGGCCAGGCAACAGCCCTCACCACAGTATAATAGCCCACAGGCTAACGAGTAAGAATATCTCTTGAAACTGATGACTAATCATTTAAGCTACTAATGAAGGGTGCTACAGTGCACGTGAAGTTTATTATGAAAAAAGGAGTCCTCTAAAAGAAATTACCTTTGCTTCCTCTAATAATTCTTTATTCGTTTGTGGATCAGCTGAATCAGACAGTACTTTAATAGCCACTGGTATATGCAGATTAAAATAATTCTCATCCGTTGAAGTTGAAAGTGATTCCATATCGTTTGTTTGTTTATTAACATCATAACTGAATGATGTTGATAAACAGGGAGTCCCTGCTGCTGTAGCTGCTGATGGTGTTGACGGTGAGGCTCCATTCGCTGTTGTCGCTGTCGTCACTGTACTACATGCATCATTCAATGTATCAATTTTCGATTTGCTCAATTTTGGACACCAGACACCACAGTAGACCGTACCAAATGCACCAGAACCAATGGATGGACCACGAATCAATTCCGACTCAGTAATTATACGTAATGTGGCCATATTTGGCTTTAGGGTATTGGAAAGCAGCATAGGCTGTAATTATTCAAATAGACAGACATTATTATGAAAAGATTTGGGCAAATCAATTAACAAAACGAAAAGAAAAAGAAATCAAATGAAGTGATATCATATAGATTCTATCACGACCATTGAACAGAAGCTTCGTCCCGATTTGCGACTCTTCAGTGATGGGCACCCGTGATCCCATTAGCGATAGAACCCACAAAAATTCAAATCCTGAGTTGGAATTCAGTTACCCAAAGAACCGTAAATTCAATGAATTTCAACTTTAGAGGTTGTTCCAACCGCTAGCGCGGATTAACATCCAATTCGTCTTGCTTGGTAGTCACTGATGAAGAATTCCAATGTAGAGATTAAAAATTGTTTGGTACGCCTTGAATTTCTGTGATTCCCTAAACGATGTCATTTCATGGTGAAATACATACTGAAATTAGTTAAAATCCCCAAGAAATACAAAATTCTGAATTGGGGTTTTACCAGGATACTTGTCTTCATTCATGTACTCAATTATAGTCTAAACTAAGGAAAGGAGGATCTTATAACCCCTAGAAATATTGATTGAACGTCATTTCACCTAAAACTAATAAGTTTCATTCTGAAGTAGACGAAAAAACAAAATGGAAGAAATATGGTCTTAATAATGTGAATAAAGATCTGTGTCACAGTAACAAACTATCTTTATTGGCTGGTTAATATTGAAGACGAGTTGAATTAGAAGTGTAAAATATTTCCTGACGAATATCGGAATGGTTATAAGATTTTACCATGAGCTGACATCATTTAGAGAAAGATTGGAAAACTAGCTGGGAGTACTGAATAGCTGTCTCGCCCGCCTAGTTTGGGACTCTTCAGCAGTACGCACACACCGCAACGGGGTTCAAAACCATGACCTTCTGGTTACGAGGCACACTCGTAGACCATTAAGCCACTGGGACCCGATCCAATGGCTAGATCATGAATTTCAACTTCTGCCAATTCACGGCATAGTGCGACCATTAGCCAATATGATCAACGAGTATTTGTTATCCCATCAGACTTGCTTTACCTTACTGGTAAAGACGTCCCACTAGAAAGTGGATCGGGTCCCAGTATCTGAATGGTCTACAAGCTTGCCTTGTAACTGAAAGGTTCTGGGTTTGAACCCTGGCGGTGGGTGGTGCATACTGAAGAGGCGGAGTCACTAACTAGGACGAGACAGCTGTCGAGTACTTTCAGGTTTTCTAGTGGTTCTCTCACTGATGTCAGAACCGTGATGAAATGCTGAAATAAGTTTCCTTTAACAATCCTGAGATAATGGCTATTTAAAGGACTGTGATCTAGTGACCTGCCTACTTGATGTAACGGAGATGATAAAGCCAGCAATCAGGTACATCAACTGAATACTAAACACGTCTATTATCTCTCTCTCTCTCTCAGTACTTTCAGCTTCACTGAGTGACAAAAATATTACTAGAATATGATTAGCCTGTGACTGCTTTAAGGAGGACTTGAGTAAACAAAAGCACATCGTGTGCATACACCTCCCACACATGAAACAGTGTCCGGTTATCGATGAAACGACTGGTGGTTTAAGGTTCAAAACTGTCAAATAAAATTACAACGTCCACATCATCTTTTTCCCACCATGATCTTGATCAAATCGCCGACCAATCAGAATATTTATTTTTCGAGGACCCAGCTGTATTGTCTACTAATCATAACAGTCCATTTCCACTTTCCAAGGCCGATTTTAATTGGGGTAGTGTCATCATAGATTACAGATAGGAAATGTTAAAAGGGTGGATTATTTCTCGCTTTACATCGTCTCCATCACGTAGAATCCAGGCCAAATATAGTATTGTTGAGTTCCTATACTTGGTAGTGCTAGCATATACTCTTTTGTACTGACTTCTAGTTCTACCATATGAGATACAAGGCGGGGAGAGTTAAAAATAGAAGGGCTGGATGTTGAGGGTCAGACAATGCAGATTTAAACCATTTTCCCCATCAGTTTTGATGACGACCAACTAGTGTAGTGACAAGCTGACTAAGTTGCACACCACTTGCCCTGATAACAACCTTTAATACCCTTCTCAAAGTGACATTGTCCTTTTTCAGTAGACCAGGAAAGACTAAGAGGGGGTAAAATACAAGAAATGTCAAGCTGTAAAAGAAGAGGTTGAGTGATTCCAAACTGCCTTAGCTTTTTTAATTTAGTAGTTTAGATAGGACATCTCTTTGGAGATCGATAAACTATGGGATGACCAAGTAAGGTGAGAGGATAGAACTATACCAAGGTATTTTGTATTAGACCTAGTTGCTATTACAGTCCCCTCTACGCTAAAAGCATCATATGAATTAACCAGTCGTTGCAGATTACTTCTATGTCTAAAGGAGAAGTCAATAGCCAGACATTTTGAGGGATCCAGCGAAAACCATTCAGCTTAGACCACTGGTATGATATCCGACGGAAAGCAATTAAATTAGCAAAAGTCAGATTGAGAATTGACGGGAGTAGAGACAGTTAGATCATCAGAGTATTTGACGAAGTTGATTTCCTAATAAATATTCTATCCTGACAGTCACAGTTCCAGTCTTTGTCTTTTACGATATTTACGTGACTCCATGAAGCGGAAGGTACCACAGACGAATAGGTGTACCTATAGCATATCAGTTGAGTTGTCCGTTACGTCATCATTATTAAACCCACGCATAAGTCTACTCAGTCATATTCACTGTTGACTCGATCATGTCAATTGACGATAGATACATAACACAAAGTAATTGAGCAAAGAATATCCTTTTCAATAAATTCCTCTTGTGGCTGACTCTTGATAAGAATATGAATCTAAAATCAAGGCAGCCCAAGGTACCGAAAATTCCTAAAGAGTCCTTCTTATTCTCACAAATTCAGTTCCTTGGGGACAGCATCAGCGAGATACTAACACAGTGCCTTAGAAATGCAGCGGTAAAAAGAGGATTCCCTGTTGCAGATTTACGCTGTGTCTTCAAAACCACTCCTCTTTTGAGTTCGGGAGTAAAAGACAAACTGCCTAATTTCGCCTCTTCTATGTGTGTGTATCTACCAATTTAACTGTTCCTGTGGAGCCAGTTAGCTGCTTAAGCCGTACAATTAGGCGTGTTTCTTGTCGAATTTCCGAACATCATCCTGCATAATGGTTGGTTAAGCAAAGGACAAACAAAATCTATTCGCAGCGCTATTCTATCTCATCTTGTGGATACAGAACACAAGACTGACGTTAACCAGGCAGCTTTCAGGGTCATTTACCGCATACCAACCAACCAATCTCAATTTCGCCTTCAGAATTAGGCTACTAAATATTCCTGAGGCTGGCTGTTAGGACCCATATTAACAAGCCTAATTTATGCATCCAAAAGAAGTTAGTTCACATATTATCATTACCTTGGCCATCTAGGTTTGAATGATCCTCAATTTTTGTGGAGTTTTCCTAATTTTAGTTAATATTTTATTTGCTGTTATATTTTTATTATTATTATTATTATAATTTAAGCATCTTTAATGAACTGTAATTTCATTGTGATCTTACTTAACAAATCAATATTATTTAAAAACACACTAGTATTGTTATTGACTACTGTTCTAGAATATTCTATATATATAAACATGTGCATATAATTGTAGAGCAAAAAGAGGAGGAATTTATCGAAAAGTATATTCTTTACTCAATTATTTTGTGTTTTATAGATGTCTGAATGAAGATACATAGCAGACTGACGCCGAGCTCATTTCAAGTGGCGACATAGATCATAATAATTGAAGATACCCCGTGCTGACGAGTGCAAACAGGTACGAAACCTAGGTCATATAGGACTTTCAGCCGTTTACCTCCAACCATTTAACAGGAATAATAATTCAAAGTATAACTTGATGGCAAGCCACCTAGCATGACGGGCACATTGCAAACTTGACGAATTAGAGTTCATTCTGAATCAAACGAACCATATTCAAAGTTTCAGTAGCCATGGCGTTATGTTTATGGAACTCGATTACTAGCCTCTCAACTAACCTTCCTTCTTTTCAGAGCTTACTGCTAGCTGACAAACAAGACAAGTCTTCTAGGAAGACGTCGACCTGGAGTTGAACCTGAACCTATTACCTCAGCATCCTAACACTGAATCACAGACGGAATGAAATCTTATAAGTATTAGGAATCAACACAATGATGAAATTAACACTTACTGATATTTCTTCATTTAAAACTTCCATTGTTTTCTCTTTGGTTTCCATCGATTTTATACCACCCCCACCACCTCGTATCTGTGATCCATTATTATTCCATTCCAAAGTATTTAACAATTTGTCCTTGAATGAAAATTTACTTCTACCTGATTGGTTATCTCTTCCTCTTGTTCTTCTTCTTTCCTCTTTTGCCTTTTTTACCACTGTTGGCCGAGGTTGACCTTGAGTCCAAAATTTCTCGCATCTCATAAGGCATGTAGCTGACGTTTTTTCATCTTTACTTGCGTCATGTTCAATTTCTGTTGTATCTATTTTTATATATTTCATTCGTGTACGTATTGTCCAGTATATAATACAAGCGATTAGTGCTAACATGATCAACAGAGCTGATAGAGCTGATAATAAACCAGCCATTTCTGTAGATAAATATCGATTATGTAAGAATTGTCCAATCAGGTAAATCGCTTCACTGTTGTTATCAGTCAACTGCTCTACAAGAATTGGAATAGTCCCAGTAGAAGTGAGATAATCTCTTGTAGCTTGTGAATCGTTATATGCTGATACTACTACTACTATGTGAATCTTATAAGGATCATTTGAACAGACAATATCCCCTGTCCTGATATCTTGTATTTTGTATGGATTGAATTCAGGGCAAGTGTGATTGCATAACCACTGAAAATGGACACAAAGAGAGAGAGATAAACACAAGTACATCTCTTAGAAAAGTATAGGTAATAAAGAGCTGATTAGACGTTTAGAGAATGACAAAGTCTTCTTTTTATGATGGCTTCTAACGGCTATTCTAGGGGGCAAACATTGTCACTTCTCTAGTCCATGTTGTTAGAGATGACTGATTTGAGTCAGTGCATTAAAGTGTTGATTACTGACTAATGACACAAGGAAGTTGCTTGAAGCTCTATTGGGAAGTTGTGACCAGTAGGTTCCATGACAGTGACTGGCAGCTGAGCTATATATATATATATATATTATATGTAATCTGAGGGTTCTGTGTCCGATCACTAGTGGATGAGTTCCTAGCTGCATATTGAAGAAGAGTCCTACACTATTATTGTTACCTTGGGTTCCTAGTGGAACATAGGGCTGCACGTCTCCACTTGCTTCTCACTTCCTTCTGTTGTACTTTTCACCTGAACCATCCATGTTAGTTAGTCCATACTGTTTCAACTCCTCTCTCTTCACACGATCTCCTCTATATCAACCCTGCACAGACGTCCCACTTGCCGCTCTCCTTTCGGCTTGGTTCCACTCGAGCAATGGCCTGACGCGCGCGCGATGTCACCCAGTGGCCTCCTCAGCCGCAAGTGTCCAATCCATCTCCACTTTCTCCTGCATATTTCTAGGTTTGCGATTGATTGCTTCTTGTTTTGTTTGTTCCCACAGTTTCTTGTTGGTGATTCCTTCCAGCCCGGCAATCTGATCTTCAGTATAGATCCAGCGAAGACAGTTGTTTTTGATAAAGGTCTGAAACAGGCTGTTGGAAATATTCTTTGTGACTCGCCCGCCAAGTTTCAGATCCATATGGAAGAGCTGACTGACTTGACCTTTGTATTGAAAATTCGACTGAATTTTGTTGTTGATTCTGGCTGAGTGATGAAGATTTCCAGATTGGTTTCAGGTTGATGAGTGAATGGGTTTCTCGCCTTCCCGATTCTCGCTCGATTTGACATCCTCGTCCGTTCTGACTGCCTGTAATTGAGACAATGCTCCCTAGATAAGTGAATGAAGTAACTAACCTCTTTCAAATCCCTCCCGTTGGTGGTGATTGGCGCTGGATGTTGGTGTTGTTGTTAGTGGTGGTTGGTTTGGTTATTTTCATAACCTTCGTCTTGTCTATGTTCACCTGGAGTCCTGTCTTCACTACCTGTTTCTTCGACCAGTTTGTCAGTTTTCACTTGTAAGACTTCGATTTTTTTGTGGCATCAAACATAATTTTTTTAATTTTTGGTTACAGCTTGATTCCACACTGTATTTTTGCTACTAGAATGGAATTTTCAGCATGGATATCGGTAGCCCAAATTTCACAGGCCGACCATAGAGACATCAGGTGTGAGTCGGCAGGGGATCGAACCCCACGCGCGAAATCCAGGTCTTCTAGGTTCTCCACGTCGGTCCAGGATACCCCTGTCTTCTTGTTTCCCACTGCCTGACGCATAATCCAGTCAGTCCACCACAATTAGGAATATCATTGGTGATAATAAGCAACACCCTTGTCTGACCCCTGTGTTTACTCCAAACGCCTCACTGAGTTTTCCGTTGTGGATCACTTGACATGTGCCGTTGTCGTACAACTGTTGAATAAGGTTGATGAATATTTGGGGTACATCCTATACTACGACGAAATCAATACTCCCTGCTTTTTTTAATAGTTCTCTAACTGAAGTTAGTTTTTGATTAAAACTTATTTTTATTCCTTTACGTTCCCAGTGGAACATATGGCACCTTCAAGCTAGAGCTTTAAAGCTTCAGTAGCAGTGGTATCCATCTTTTTACGGAATGGATTTGCTAGCCTTATGCCTAACCTTCCTTCTTTACCAGTCTTATTACTACTGGCTTAGCGAGGTAAAGGAGGAGTGCGTCGGCCGGGAATCGGACCTCGAAACCCCCCAATGGTGCCAGACAGTATGCCAGGCGAATTTATTCAAACTAATCTACAACGTCAGAAGAAGCCTCTTTGAAATGGTATGCCTCCGAAGACTTTGTTTTGATTTGGTCTTAACGATTTGGATGGGAAATCGTGATTTACGTTTACAGAAGCAGAAACTTTCCCATGCCCTACTTCTGCCTTGTGTATCATTCAAGGTTCAATCGGTATTAATATTATTATTATTTTGTGCACTTTTCATATGACATTTATTGACATCCTTTTCTCAACTAACCTTTTAATCATTGTATTCGCTTATTACGTAATTTGTTTTGATATTTGCCTCCATGGTCTTTTATTAAAATTCAATTTTTCTGAAAGTTTTCCATATCATGCGAACTTAGTTTAAACCTACTAATTTTCAAACACACACACCCACCCCTAGTGACAATTTCGAGTATTCATCAGTGCTTCGAAATATTCTGATAATGTCAGCAATAGTCTGAACTAATACTTTGGTCTTGTGTTATTTGCTTACACGTACAGAAATAAATACATACAATTGCTATTCAATTATTGGTTTGTAGGAATTTGATTGATTGGTTACAGGATTTCATCATAAGCTGACAACGGTTAGAGAACCACTGGGGAACCAGCAGAGAATACTGGATGGTTACCTCGTCCAAGTTTCTGACTATTTATCAGTACACGCCCACCTCCGGGGTTCGAATCCACGACCTTCTGTTTACAAGGCTGGCGAGCTAGCTCGTAGACCTTTAAGCCACTCACTGGGACCCAGTCCAATGGCTAGCCCATGAATTCTAACCTCTGCCAATTCATGATATAGCGTGACCACTAACCAATGTCTTCGTCGAGTATTTGTCCTCACACCAGACTTGCTGCACCCTCCTGTTCATGACTTCCAACAAGAATTCATATGACTACCTACTTGAATAGGGCCGGTCACTAGTGAGCATCTCATTGATATTCAAGTATTGGTTGCGATCGGACAGCTAAGTAAATGAATTCGCCGAAAATTCACTGAAGAGTGAATTCACCATACAGCGTGACCACTAACCAATGTCATACTTGGCGAGTATCTTTCTTCACACCCGACCTTTGTATCCCACTGGTCATAATCAAGGAAATTTCTGCAAACCAACACTTCAATATTAATCTGATGCTCACCAGTGACTGGCTCCAATCAGGTAGTTAGTCACCTGGATTTCTAGTGGGAAGTCGTCACCAGTAAGGTAAACAGAGTCGGTGTGATGACTAATACTCACCATGGATGGCATTAACTAGTGACAATCGTGCTACATGGTGAATTGGCAGAAGTTGAAATTCATGGGCTGGCGATTGGATAGGGTCCCAGTGGCTTAATGGTCTACGAGCTAGTTCGCCTTGTAACCAGAAGGTCTTGGGTTCAAACCCTACGGTGTGGGTTCCTGCTGCTGAGGCGGAGTCCTGAGCTAGGATCAAACATCGGTCTAGTATTCCCAGGTGGTTTTCCAGTGGTTCTCTAACCGATTTCAGCTAATGATGAAATCCTGTAAAAACAACCAAATCAAATCAATTCAACTCCCGCCAAGCCAACACTTGAATCTTCACTGAATAACTGTTTGTTCAGAAATCCAATAATGGAGTAGCTTAAAAGTTTTAACGAAAAAAGAGTTTAAAAAAATAAACTTACTGAATTCATTCCTGAATCAAGATACACTTTAACATGTCGACAACGTGTACATTCTTTAGCTGTTGACCCAGTGCAACCATTTTCACATTCTTTATGACACGGTAGACATTCAGACCAGTTTACTGATGACTTAACACTATCAAGAGACTGTCGATTTGTATGAAGATAATTTGGTTGACTGAAGTCAAGATTACTCAAGAATCTTTTCTGAGGAAATGTACCTATATACAAGGAAATAATAAAATGCATGGGTATATTTTTTACGTTTTTACTGTTAACCTACTTTTATAGCTAATAGTAAGCGACATTTTTATTTTTACTTCTTTTCCCATTGGTTCCCATCTTGCAGCACTCAGCATGAAAAATAAGATCCGGATTGCCAACTCCAATGTGAAGTCAGTCAGTGCTACTATATGGATAAGAGATTTGGCGCGTCGTAAAGAGCACCTAAAAAAAATTCAAACCTTCATCAACAGCTAGCTGTCTTCGCTCCATACTCAAGATCAGATGGCTGGCCAGAAAAGATCAGCAACAGTGATCTCTGGGGGTGAACCAACCAGGGACCGATTTTGCAACAAATCTGAAGGAAGAAATGGAGATGGATTTGCCATACTCTGAGGAAACCATCAAGTGACATCACTAGAGAAGCCGTCAAGTGGAACACGAACAGGAAGTGGTGAGTTGATCGTCCAAGGGTGACTTGGAGGAGGTCATGTGGGTAGGCCTGGAGACAGGTGAAAACTTTAACAGAGAACCGAACGCAGTGGAGACGCGCGGCTGAAGCCCTATATTCCCCTAGGAATTAAAGGAACTAATAATAATAATAATCGGTTCCCATCCTCGTGGAACAGATGGCTTCCGGCTTGAAGCCTTGAAGTTTTATTAGCCGTGGTGTTATTTTTACTGAGTATGGTTGCCAACCTAACACGCAAAACCATCCGCCTTTTCCAGAGTAGCTATGCATTAGTTAACTGGGTAAGGTTAAAAATTCGATTGACTGGGGATCAAAATCCTCACCACGTGCTTGGTTCTTATGATTTTATTATGTCGTATAATGACAACTCGCGTTACCTATGGTGATTACAGTGAGATGATAACCAAGTTAACAGTTGCATCTCAGCCCTCATCCTGGTAGAGCTGCAGATAAGTAATTCGGAAGCTGCTTGTTCGAATCCTGCTGCAACCTCGATTTTCATTTCATAAATTTCAGTTATCACTATTAAATAAAAGTTGTCTCAGACAGCCTCACTGTCAAATACATGGTACAGTGATGAATAAAAGTCTGATAACGTTTCTCATTACGTGCGCGTAGATATTTCAGTGGTTGAATGCTCTGACCAGCCACGTACATGGTCAGAGGTTCAATTCCCAGCCGACGTACTCCTGAATATCGCTCAGGCAATACTAAATCTGGTAAGAAGAAGAGGTTGGGCATAAGGCTACCAGTCCTACCCCATGAAACATAACATAACTACTACTGTAATTTTTAAAAGCTTGAATTCCACTGTTTCATTTAGAACGAAAAAGAGTGAAAAAAAACTGATGTCTTTGAAGGAAAACTGAAAACTTGGATTATTGAAGATTTCAAGAAAACAGCCTCTTAATCACCATGATTATTTAGTGTACTGAATGATCTATGCGACAAGACTAGTACTCAGGTAGCCATTTCACCACAATCTACACACAAGGACATAGTCTGACTGTTCAGGTAACAGCAGATTCACTTTTGGATCTTTTCCACCCAGTTGTTATCATAATGCAACGGTAATATAAAATTAAGATAGCTTCTTAATTATCATTGCTGAGAGTCAGTAGAAGATTGCTGCTGCTTCTGGAACACATGCATAGACTATGGTCATGCTATGGTTCACAAACGTTTATGCTCAGTTTGGATTAGCCCCAACGGGTTGATCGCTGACGAAATCTCAGCTCGGATACAGAAGGCTCGTTTCACATATGTGAGTTTACGCCGCCTGTGGCTTAGACGTGATATCCGGCTGGTTGTTGACCAGAGGGTGTGTGTGTACTGCTCAGTAGTCACTTCGCTCCGTCCCCCTATATGGCTGTGCGATACATGGCCATTGGAAGTGGAAGACATGAAATGGCCGGCTAGCTGTCTTTGATCATAGGTGTCTGCGGTCTATGTCCCATTTGAAGTGGTGTAATAGGGTGAGCAGTATTGAGGTTTGGTTTGAGTTGGAGGAGAAATCAATAGACGAGTCTGAGACGGTTAGGACATGTGCTACGCATACCTAGTCATCGCCTCCCTAGTTAAGGCCATGTAAGAAAGTGTAGACTTCCTGGTTGGGGTCCTCTAGGCGGTAAAAACTAATGGCTGAACAGAATCAGTGGTATGGCTCAAACTCATCGTTCTCAATGACTGGCGCAGATGCATCCACTCCTTATGACTTATAATTTCCAATAAAACTATATAGTTTTTCGATATTACTATTCTTTTTGCCTCATTTCTCAGTTTACTGTCTTTATTTTGCATTGCCTTTTACCTTCTTCTCTTGCTTTATGTTCTACATGCAGGAAGTTTGGCAACTCGAACTGCTACATGTCGGTGCAAGGTTCTATGTTGAAACCAGTTAGTTAGTCAGCTTCTTAACTGTTTGTGAGAATATTTAAGAAAGGTTGCAGCAAAGTTAAACACCCAACAAACGCGAACGCATCAATGATCTCGGAACCCTGAGTCAGACATAACAAGGCAGTGAAACTCGGCAAAAAACACCATTCGCATGAAAAAAAGGTGTTGAATGAAGTGCAATCATATTCAACAAGATATCTGTATATTTTCAGGTTAGCTTTAAGCTAGAGAAAGATTAAAGTTCGAATTGAATAGCGGACACAAATTTGTTCTTTTAAATTTTTTTTTTCACAACTCCTGTTTCAATATCACATTGAAGCATTCGCGCCTTTTTGCTATCTAAAGTTCAACATTGTCACAGTTACGTTGGTAACTAACTGATTACAAGAAAGTGACTAAAACTGAAATCGGTGAATTAAACCATTACCTGCAGACGTAGAATATTCCTTGTTTCAGTTCACGTGAGGATGATAATTTTTTGTTGGACACCAAATCTTCGACCTTACACAACCAACCGAAATGACTTATTTAACCACTAACCCTGAGCAAGTATATATATATACATATAAGTAAGTATATATATATATATATATACATATGATGTATTATTATCAACTGATGTCAGAGCCTAACCTTCGAAAATGCAATAGTCTGACTGAGCGTCAATACCAGGATACAAGTAAAAGTGAAGTATTTCTGATACATTAGCTGGCTATAGCATAAACTAGCATTACGATGAAATTTTTGTATGTTAAAATCTGTAACCTCCTACCTAGATATGACATTGAAAACAAAAATTTCATACCTTTATTCCCCTTAATGAATTTGAATGAAGCAAGATTAACAGTGGTTTTTGCTTTCGCTGACTTGTCATCAACTGCTTACAGGTCAAAGTCATTATTAAATATGTCTACAGAAACATTTTTAACATACTTACCCACAGAGTTCATTTTAAATAAAAATCAATCAATATATGCATACAGTAATTATATATAATAACATTAAACACTATTCCAAACAACAATAATAATCACACACACAGTGGAAACTTTTCAGCATTCCACACTGAGATGAAAGAGAGCGTGCAAATATCCAGTTACCAGGCAGGGTAAAGAAAGACTGATAACTGTTTCTTTCTGAACACATAAATCGGTTTTCAGGCGCTTGTTGGAGATCGCTTCGTCAAAATTGAAGAGAATCGAACTCTTTTGCCTATTGATAATTTCGAACTATCTTACAACATTCACCTCATTACCTGTGTTAAGAAGTTATCTGGTGATGGCACTGTTTAAAGTATTTGTTCCCTTTAGACATAAGCTTTTTGGCACATGTTAAGAAAATCGCAGATATGCCTTTCTTCTTTCTGTCCTTCCAATGTAACTGCTCCCGCAGATACACGTAAATTTGTATATATATAGTTGAAGATGTTAACATGAGAAGGATATCTGTCAATTTTCGATTGCACCAAAGAAGAGCAAGTTGTTCGATAGACGGGAACCAGCTTAGCTGTAGGATAGGATCTGGTTATTAACGACCTCAATATTCTGTTGACAGTTGCTGTATTTTCATCTTTAAAATCAAGTTGAGCGTAGGTGGTTTTTTTCCAATGTAATTTGTATGACATTTGAGCCTTTAGGTCTTCCATACTTGTTAATGAACCTTTGAGGGTAACCGTTGCTTTTCAACATCTTTTCACGAAACATAAATTCTTCCTCTAATTTTTCTATAGATCATAATCTTCTAGCTCTATAGTACAGAGTCTTGACTGGTGCTCGTTTAAAGCGATTTGGACAAAAACTATTAAAATGTAGGTATTGTCCTTTGCAGGTAGGCTTTTGATAAATTGACTTCTGAAGACTACCGTCTTCTAGGCGTTGCATGGCAATGTCCAGGAAGTGGAACTTTCCATCACTTTCATGTTTCATAGTAAATTCAGTATTGGTATAGTAGGTGTGAAGCATGACTTTCATTGTTGCACACTATAAATGTGTCATCTGTGACATATCGACAATAAGAAGTTGTTTCGTCGATTGTATGCTTCAACTTTGTTCTTTCAAGGCTGGACATGTATGGACAAGTATGTTAGAATTGTTTCTGCAGATATGCTTAATAATGAATAATTTTGGACTGTGAGCAGATGATGGAAAGCCAACGAAATAAACTACACTGTTGTTCTTGCTTTATTCAAAAACAACAATTACTGCTCAAAAATATGTACTACTGATTGTTTGAAATAAGTAGTTTCTGTATACCACTTACATCAACCAATAGTGTTTGCTTACTAGCCAGATCGAAGTGGTCTAAACACCAATTGACAGCTATTTCACTAGTTTGGGGCCAAGATTATTGCCAGTGTACTCCTCTCAACTGAGCTCAGATAGCCAAACAGTTCGAACCACCCGATTTCTGGCTCACCGCTTGGGCCAACTAGTGATACCATAAATCTCATTAACAGTTTGCAAATTAATTTTTTCAATTTACCCAGTTTGAAGCCAGACTACACCACCGTTTCACTGGGAAAATCGAAATTATTCACATCAAAATATGTGATCCAAGTCAAACCGGGTACACCGGTGATGAAAATCGCTTCAAACAATCGAAACAACCTTTCAGTGCTTAGATTACTTCATTCTGGCTAGCAAGTACTACTTGTTGATGTGATAAGGTATGCAACTACTGATCTCAGTCAATAAGTAGTATATATTTTTAGACAGGAATTTTTGTTTTTCGCCGTCACATCTAGGTAGAAGGCTTCAGATTTGAAAATATAAAATTTTAAACATTGGTTTTGTGGGGATTTTTTGTTTGATTGGTTGGAGGATTCCACTGTGACCAGTTAGAGAACCTGGGGATAATGGACAGCTGTTTCCATTGTCCTAGTTTTGAACTCTTCAGCAGCACTCACCCACCGTCAGGGTTCGAACCCAATACCATCCCATTACAATACGAACTCGTAGACCATTAAGCCACTGGGAATGATGGAACCCTCCAACAAATCATACACAATCCCAACAAAATCAGTACTTAAAAATTGTTTTTATGATTACTGGCGGCTGGCCGTATTTAGGCAGCTAGCTACCTGGGGTTCTAGTGGGAAGCCATGACCGGGAGGGTACAGCAGGTCGAAGGTGAGACAGTAACTCATCGAAGAAGACATTGCAAAGTGGTCGCGCTATGTCGTGATTTGGCAGAAATTGGGATTCATGGGTTGGCCATTGGATTGGCCAGGTCCCAATGGTTTAATTTTCTATGAGCTAGCTAGCCAGCCTTGTAACCGGAAGGTCGTGGTTGTGCGTGTGTACTGCTGAAGAGTCTCCAACTAGGGGAACGAAGCATCTGTTCACTACTCCAGTGGTGGTTTTCCAATGGTTCTCTAACTGATGTCAGCTCATGATGAGACCTTCCAACCGTATAAAATTTCATCATCACGCTAGTATAGGTTATAGCCTCCTAATTGTTGATGAGAATACTATAGGACTGCTCATTCAATCAATCAATCAAGAGGTGATCACATATTCTGGCGATTTGAATAATTTGAGTTGTGATAAAATTTCACCTCCTCGAACTGTGCAAAATGAGAATTAATTTGGAGATCATCAGTTTTATTCAACATTTGCTGTCCATTAAAACTAGTGAATTTAGTGGTGTGATTTAATATCACTCTACACTAACCTTATCACACATTTGAAAATCACCATAGAAAATAAACAGTGCATCGGTGGCACAGAGGTAGAGTGCTCGCCAACCACGCAGGTGGTCCAGTGTTCGATTCCCGGCCGCCAACGCACTCCTATACCTCGCTAAGCCAGTAATAAGACTGTTAAAGAGGGAAGGTTGGGCATGAGGCTGGCTAGCAACCCCATCCTGTAAAAAATAATCACCACTGCCACAAAAACGTCAAGCCTCTAGCTTGAAGGTGCCCTATGTTCCACTGGGAATGTAAAGGAATAAAAAAAGATTAGAAACTAACAATGAGGATAAAAGCCATCGGTATAGTATAGCAAACGTCACTACAGTCATTCTAGCTGCATGAAAACGTCAACAAAACACCTTTAAAACAGTTAAATATAACGCACTTGATATAGTGATTACGGGATTTCTTCAAGCCTTAAAAACAGAATCAACTACCTGAGGAAATTCAAGTATACACAAGTATACCTAAAATGAAAGCGCCAAAAGTTATATCCTTTCCCAAACTAACAATCAAAAACAATAACAACAATCACACCCAATAAAAGTGTCATGTTCTTACCGATTGGACAGGCTGAAACACAACGACCTTGATAATTTGCATTTGCACAACGTACACATTGTTCTGGACTAGGTCCATAACACGCTACAGATGATAATCCTATTTGATGAATTGATTTTCTCATTGATATACTCATCTCTTTATAACATTGTTCATTACACGGGAGACAGATTTGTGCTAACCCGTATAACTTGGGTTGTGTATGGTTAACTAACCAATTAGCTAATTCTTCAATAATTTTTGTTGAGAATTTATGAAATAGGCCTGCATCAGTTTGACTCCATGGAAAATGTGTGAATAGTAAGTCAGTTGTTTTTGTTGTTGTGGGTGTTGTTGTGGTTGTTTCTGTCGATTCATTTATGCCTTTTTTCTTCATGTGAAGATTAACTGTCGATTGTGGATAGACACTTGATCCACCTCGATGATGTAAATTGATGACGTGTAAATAAGTACCAAATGGGCAACTCTATAAAAAAAAAGAAGAAAGAAAGTATGTGAAATTATAAGTTAGAGTAGATAGCATCGATAATATTCCTGATTTCCGTGAGCTGGATCAGATAATAGATCATGGCGAGCGAGAAGAAGGGTGTGCTTCAGACCGACAAAAAAACACCGTATACAATTTTGACTTTGAGGACAAGTTATGTTTAGTGTCAGACAGACTCGAAGATGTACAAGTGGAACTCAACAATTTGACAGAAGACGAAGGTAGAGGAAATAAAACTTCAAGCAAATAATAGAAAAGGGCAGAGGTGATGAAGATAACCAACCCACCAACAGTCGGTGGCACAGTGGTTAGGACTCCCGCCGACCATGCATATGGTCCGGGGTTCGAGCCCTCGCCGATGCACACCTGATATTTATGGTCGGCCTGCGAATTCTGGGCTACCGATATCCACGCTGAAAATTCCATACATGTACCAAAAATACGGTGTGGAATCAAGCTGTAATCAAAAATAAAAATAAAAAATAAATAAAAAAAAAACAACAAGTATCATTCACAATCAAAAGATGAAATATCAAGGAAATCGCCTCTTTCACTTGTCTACGTAGCATCGTTTCAACTACAGGCAGGCAGCATACATGAGAATGCTGAAGCTAATCAGTATCGAAAAGGCAAGATAGACCTACAATAATATGAAACCAGTGAGGGAATCTGTTCCGCAAGGAATAAGAAACCAGACTTGTAATTCTGAAACTAAATATCACATCATGGAAGCATTTATTATAGGCTGGTGTACACTTTCATCAACAGTCAACCTCTCTGGTTCCATTTTGAAGAACAGACAGTCACCGGCCAGAAAAAAGATAAATAACAACAGTCTCTGACGACAACACACCAACCAAAAACCTATATTCCAAAGAATACGCCAACAGTAATGGAGGTAAATCGGACACACTTAGGAGATTATGCATTGATATTACGTGTCAAGTTCTCAAGTGTAGCCTGAAAGGCGAACGGAGCGGAAGTGAAAGTCTGTGAGCAGTTGTGGAACCGTTTGAAAGTAATAACAGGAAACGAGGTGAGATGAAGATGTGGAAAATACCCATCGGGATATTAGAGGGAGAAGAACAAGAAGTTCAGCAAAGATGGTGATCTTTTCGGCCATTTTATTCTCAAAGGCTGTTTAATCACATTTATATAGATTAGTTTATATGGATACAATTATTATTATTTGTTTAATTCCACATAGTAACGAAGCTGATAATAATTTTCAACTTGATATGAAAGTTTGAAGGTACAAATATAGATTACAAGGAACTTAGAGGCAAGATTGCGTAGGATTAAAAAACAATTACAACGCATGCAAAATTAATATTTGATAACTGCAGAAATAATAATTTTAAAGGCGAATAAAAGGTGATAATTATTTTCAGCTTGATCTAAATTACAAGAGACCTAGAAACAAAAGTTACGCAGGGATAAAATGAATTACAGGTGTGAACAAAATGAGCAACGACACAAACTAAAGTCCAAATTTTCAACTTGGAATGTAAGTTAGGAGGTGTGAAAAATAGGTTACAAGAGGCACAGAAACAAAAAAATTACACAGGATTAGAATATAATTATAAGGTGGTTATCCTAAATGGATTACAAGTGTGGTCAGGTGGAGCATGGAAACAAACTTAAAATAACTGATTTTATAACTGAAAAAATGGGATGAATTGAATGAAGACAAAGAGAGGAAATTACACACACAGAGAACAAAACAAAAAAGCTCAAGGATAAGGAAACATACCGAACTAGGTCCATGGTAGTTGTAAAGGTTGGACTGGTTTCTTTTGAACACATAGCTACGGCTTTTCGATGCATATGGCGAGAGCTTCCACAGTACAAAGAAGTCGAAAACACACTGTCTTTGGTAGATTTTTGTTTATTTTGTAAATGACACTGAATGATGAATGAGTCAGTCAAGATTCTGTGATAGGTATTGACGAGGTGTCCACTTATGGCACTTTCGACTGAACCAGTGCCTCCTCTTTGCAGCCATGCTGGATGACGTTCTCCAACACGTTTTGATAAGACCCGCATAGAACGACCTATGAACCTAACTCCGCAAGAGTAGGTGAACTGATATATGCGCATTGAAGTGGTTATATGCAGAAGTCTGTCCTTCCCGTTGGTCCGAAGTAGTTGGCGGCTAGAGAATATGACTCTTAGAGTTGCTGCCGGAAATGTCTTCTTCAGCGAATTGGAGATTCTCCTTTTAAGGATATCTGATGCTAAGTCTCCCCTGAATTCCAAATTCAAATAGAGTGCCTTCTTCTGCACTGAAGCGTATTCTTCTCTTTTTGGCCTTGGTTTCATGTTCTTCGCCACGAAACGCGGTGGGTATCCATTCTGAACCAGGATGCTTTTAAGAAATAGGAGCTCTTCTTCTAAACAGTCACCGCTGCAAATTCCTCTGGTACAGTGGGATAGCGAGGTGATGAGAGTTCGTTTAAGGCTAATAGGTATCCAACTGTAGAAGTTTGTCAGTTGGCCATTCCATGTTGGTTTTCTATGGATAGATCTTTTCAGAGTTCCGTCATCTCTTCTTGTCAATTCGACATCCAGGAATAGAATTTTCAACTTTTTCAAATTCTATTGTGAATTTAATTGAAGGATGGCAGTTATTAAACTCTTGTAAGATACAATTTAAATCGGAATCATCCTGACAAACGTCGATGATATTTTTTATAGTTTGTATTTCTTTTAAGAATGAAATCACCGAAAAGATATTTCTGCTGAACTTGTTCTTTTCCCTAGAATGAAGATGTGCTGCTGAAGACACGCTAAAACTGCGGCTTCCAATTCGTGTTCCATTAACGGGTTTGACACTTGATGTCATTTGAATGTCTCTTCAGTACACATGCTCCATAGATTTGCACATCCTTGCACACATTTGTTGAGTAATAAATTGTGTTGGTTAGTAGGCTGCATACCGTAGTGTTCTTTTTTGTTTATCCTTTCTGGTCATCTAGCCATTCAGTCTTCAGTATATAGCTGAGGAGCATGTTGATAAATTTCTACAGAAACCTGATGGAAATGTTTTTCTTTGACATGTGCACCAAGTACAAACATATTAGAAAGTAGTCATGCTATGAAATACATTATTATTATTTCCTTTAATTCCTAGAGGAACATAGGGCTTCAGCTGCGCAACTCCATCGCCTTCTGTCCTCTGCCAACTTTTTCACCTGTCTCCAAGTCTGCCCAGTGATATCACTTGATAGTTTCCTCAGAGTATGGCCAATCCATCTCCACTTCTTCCTGCAGATTTGTTGCATAATCGGTTCCTGGTTGGTTTGCTCGTTGTCAGAGTTTCCTCCTTGTTGCTGATATTTTCTAACCAGCCACCTGATCTTGAGTACTGAGTGAAGGTAGCTGTTGACGAAGGTCTACAGTTTGTTTGAGGCACTCTTTATAACGAGCCAAGTCTCTGATCCAAATGGTGAGTAGCACTGACTTCACATTGGAGTTGAAAATCCGGATCTTATTTTTGATGCAGAGTGCTGCTGACCTCCACACACACTTGAGAGTAATGAAGGCTTTTCTTGCTTTTCCGGTCTTTGCTTTGATATCCTCGTCAGTTTCGTTCGCCTGTAGTTGAAACGATGTTTCCAGAATAGATAGGGAAAAGAGGTGACTTCTTTCAGACTTCTCCTATTTATGCTGATTGTTGTCTGTGATACATGTCTTGATGAAATATTTGACTCCCGAATGACGCACAGTACAGTGAACCTTAAAGGTTAGATACTACGATTCAAGGACATTCAAGCAAATTATTTACTAAGGAATCACGAAAGAAATGCATCTACGCCTTGGTATTGATGTGAACAGAATTCGATCTTAGTCAAGTTCACATTGTGGTCACCAACGTCGGTGACTTGCCTTGGCAGTGGACTGTAGATTGATATTAGATAGTCAGAAGCAATCTACTGGAAGCTGGATAATCTCATATGGGACATCACTTCTAGATATGCCTTACTAAAGAGTGTCTACCATCATAAGACATACGTTCAGCGCTTCTAAGCGACCGCTGCTAAACTTAAGGCAATAGATAAGCTATTTACCGATGACTGGAATTAAGTCGCGTCGGTGGCACAGCGGTTAGGACGCTTGCCGACCATGCACATAGTCCGGGGTTCGATCCCCGGCCGCCAACGCACTCCTTTATCCCGCTACGCCAGAAATAATGCTGGTAAAGAGGAAAAGTTGGGCATGAGGTGGCTAGCAACCCCATCCTGTAAAATTAAACACTGTTACAGAAACTTCAAGCTACTAGCTTGAGGCCCTATGCTCCACTGAAAATGTGAAGGAAAAGAAAGGATTAAGTCACCAGTGGGATCGGCGACACTGGCAGTAAAGATAAGAGTGCACACGAAATTGTAGTAGTATTATTTAACTGACTATTGATCCCAACCGTGAAATTCTTATGGTAGTATCTAATTTCATTTCTGCAAAGCATTAAAAGTGAGACCAGATGAACAATTCAAGATTAAGACAAATCAATCGTGTTACGTTGTGTGTGTGTGTCTGTCTGTCTATTTCTCTTCTAATGGCATCAGTTACAATGAAAAAGAATCGCATTCAACTTACATTTACACATTTTAAATGATGATGGGAATCTTTTGGCTCCAAGTTTAAAACTGTTCGTTTACAAAAATAACACCCACCAATTCCTGGCCAATCTCCGCTACCTGAACAATGATGTTGCATTGTAAGACCATTTATCTGGTTGAAATGTTTACCGTTTATCGATACATTATCTTCTCCTGTATCTATTGGCGGTGTACATGCTGTAGAACATTCCATGCATTGTTTACTTGTAGAATCTGCATATTTATTAGGCGGACAATAAGCTCTACAGAATGGACCATCCTAGAAAAGTGAAGTGTAAGAGGGTGTAAATAACAAGTTTTAAATGTTGTTTAACGGTGTGCCAGACATAATTAGCTTACAAGTATTTTAAAACGTTGAGTCGTTGACCTTTTTAATCGGAATTATTGTTGCGTTTGAGAAACTTGTCTCGTCACCAGAAGCCTTTTTAACAAGCCACTGTAGACCTTGGTAAAAATCTGCTACTTAGCCACCTCAATTCTGAAGATTAGTTGACCGGTTGAGTAGAAAGGCTATGCAATAAGGAACTCTGGTAGTGAATTTATATAGGACCTGTCTCCCGAAGAATATGCAGAAGAAATGGAAATGGATTGATGAATATATGCTCGAATTCACGAGCTATGTCCTTGTGTAGGAAACGACGAGTTGAAAGTCTCTCTACGGGCAGCATGGAAGAAGTCGTGTGGTGAAGAGAAAACGAAAGCTTAGAGACATTAGTGCAGCCAGATTTAAAGAACTATAGAGAACTTGGAGATATGGTGATATGCTGCTGAAGCCTTATATTCCAATATCTCTTCTAGTTTATTGAAAAATACAGCTGTATTCATGGACAACATAACTGTGATATGAAGCCGTCATTTTACTCATTGAAAGTAAATACGCTAGTCATACGGTACGACGAATCCAAAAGATGAACTATTCAGTTGAAATCTTTTTGAACAAGCTAACCTGAAACGGTTCATACTGATATCTTTTAATTCTCTGTGCGGTTGTCTGTTAGTACATGCCTTCCTGATATCTACTAACGAATGTTTTTGGGTCGTGGTGGATAACACTTTGGCGGTTTAGGTGATCGGCTGCTTGGGGTGGTACTGGACATGTACGCAAGACTAAATGAGAAGTCACATGATAGTATTATTTCAGTTACAAATAACAGAAAGTAGGTGACATTTAATTGTCTCTAGTTTGGTTTGTAAGGGTTGGTTATGTTTTTAGGAGTTGATCACGGGTTGATATCAGTTAGAGAATCTTTGAAAACCAGCTAGGAGTACTGGACAGCTGTTTCATCAGACTAGTTTAGACTCATCACAACAGTACGCATCCACCAGGGGGGTTGAAACCCACGACCTTCCCGTTACAGGGAAAGGTCGTATACTATTCAGCGACTGGGACCCAATTTAGTGACCAGTCTGTGAATTCTAACTTCTACCAATTCGTGATTTAGACCGACTCTAACCAATGTCGTTGGTGGAACATCCATCCTTCATGGGCCATTATTTCGGGTCCCAGTGGCTCAATGGTTTACGAGGTCGGTAACATTTTAACCGGAAGGTCCCGGGTTCGAATCCCAGCGGACGCGTACTGCGGTTGATTCCCAAAACTAGGATTAAACAGCTGTCCAGTACTCCATGGTTTTCAATAGGTTTCTGTTTTTTTTTTGATTTTTGATTTACAGCTTGATTCCACACTGTATTTTTGGTACAAGTATGGAATTTTCAGCATGGATATCGGTAGCCCAAATTTTGCAGGCCGACCATAGATATCAAGTGTGCGTCGCTGCGTGCTCGAACCCCGAACCATGTGCATGGTCGGCGAGAGTCCTAACCACTGTGCCACCGACGCACAACTGATATTAATCCATTATCAACTCGTAAAGACATTTAAGTGTGTTAGTAAACCAAGGGAATAAACATCAGAGGTCCTAATTTTTGAATCAGCATAGATTTTAGAATCGTTTTAAAGTAAATTAATTAATAGATCTGGGAATTTATTTCCTACTAATTTAGAACTCTTCAGTGATACAAACACACAACAACATCAAGGATTGAACGCATGTCATTGATTCACTAAGCTGCAATCTAGTGGGCCATTAGTGGTCAAAATAGTTCAAACGTAAACCACGGCCATCGATGAACATGAATTACATATCTAACGTAAATGGGGGTCAAATCGGCAATAGTATATATATATATATATATATATATATGCAGTGGAAAAGATACTGGTGCAAAGCTCTCAATCTAGCAATTGGAACTGATATCCCTACTTGCCGTTCTATTCTTCAAATCTACATCACGTGCCGAATGCATAGTTGGACGAACTTACTTATTTCTTTTGGTATCATGTTATAGCCAAGCTAATGCAGTCATTTGGTACGTCAGATTGACCAGAAGAGAATACATGTTGGATATCAAGTTATACGAATGTAATTTGTCAATTTGACCTTTGATTTTTTCTTATTTACAGGCACTCAGTGTGATCTTTAATAAAAAAATGAAATCACTGATATAAGAAACGCACCACAGCTACTGAAACGTTAAAGATTCTAGAGGATTTAGATCTCGCAGATGATTTATGTTTAATGTCACACAAACTAGAAAACTTGCAGACGAGAACCGACAAACTAGCTGAAGAGGCTAGCAGTGAAGACAGGACTGCAGGTGAACATAGAGAAGACAGAGGTGATGAATGCAAACAATAGCAACCAGCACCAGTCACCGTGAAAGGAAGAGATTTAACAGAGGTTACTTCCTTCACACATCTAGGAAGAAGCACTTCAACCACAGGTAGTCGGAACGGATGAACATGTCAAAGACAGACAGTGTCGTGAAGGCAAGATACGCCTTCATCAATCTGAAATCGGTTTAGAAATCTTCTGCAATGACTCAATCAGCGCAAAGAACAATATTCGGATTTTCAACACCAATGATAAGTCAGGCGCTTCTTCTATGTTGATCAAAAACTTGGCGTGCACATCTCTAGAAGCACTTCCAACAAGTTACAGACTTTTGTCAGCAGCTGCCGTCGCTCTATAATGAAGGTCAAACGGCTGACAGGAAAGAATTACCATCGAGAAACCCTGGCAATGAACAAATCAACCAAGAGCCGATTGTTCGACAAATATGTAGGAGAAAATGGATGTTGATCAAGTACATGTTGAGGAGGCTGTCGAATAAAATCACGCCGAATACGGACCGTTGCTTAGGGTGGAATCCCAATAGGAAGCGACGAGTGGATCGTGGATGAGATCTTGTGGTGAGAAACAGATCGAAGATAATAGGAAATCGTGGATCCAGCTGAATAGGACAACAGAAAATAGAACAAAGTGTTGGTTTGTAGGGATTCGATTGATTCTTTACAAGATTTCATCATGACCTGATATCGGTTAGAGAACCATTGGAAAGTAACTTGGGAGTATTAGACGGCTGTTTCGTCCTAGTTTGGGACTCTTCATCAGTACGTACCCATCGCAAGGTTGTGAACCCAGGACCTTCAGGTTACAAGGTGAGCTCGTAAACCATCAAGCCACTGGGACTTAATCCACTGACGACTTCCCCTATTCAGGTAGGTAGTTACCTGGGGTTCTAATGAGAAGTCGTGACCAGTAGGGTGCAGCAGGTCGGGTGTGAGGACAAATATTCGTCGAAAACATTGGCTAGTGGTCGCGCTATGTCGTGAATTGGCAGAAGTTAGAATTCATGGGGCGTTGAATCGGGTCTGAGTGGCTTAGTGATATACGAACTCACCTTGTAACCAGAAGGCCCTGGGTTCGAACCCCCTGTGGTGTGGGTGCGTACTGATCAAGAGTCCCAGAATAGGACTACGAAAACAGCTGTCCAGTACTCCCGGGTTTCCCAATGATCTTCTATCCAAAGTTGAGATGTGTTGTTGAAGCCCTATGTTCCACGCCGAACCCAAAGGAATAACAATAATAGCAGCATCGCATTAGTTAAAAGAAGCACATTGAATTTACCTGTACTTCTTGACAGCCACCAACACACTGATCATCATTTGGTCCATAACATGTATTCTTTTGTAACTGACACATCGGTGAACATTTCTGACATTGCATTGATGGTAAAATATGATGATTTGACGGTTTATTTTCAATATTCTGAGGTCTACTACTGATTTCAGTAGTTTCAGTGATTTCATTCGATAAAATATTCGTAGTACTTGTAGATTCTAAAGTAGTCAGTGTGTTGGATTCTACATTTAACACTTCTTCTTGATTGACTATATCAGTACCATTTTCTATTCCTTTTCCAAACGGAGTATAAAATCCAGGTACATCATCACATTTTTGAACACATAGCTGTCCCCCGACGTGTTCAACAGACCAATATTTACAATGAAAACAGAATTGTATACCTGGACCCCAACAACCAGTATCTGACTGACAAACTTCATCACACATAGCACCACGTCCTCCTGTAGTAGAATAAGATGTGAGGGAAAAATAAGACATATGACTACTAATCTCCATTCATTTATAGGAAAATTCTGTAATATTTTATTTATCATTGTGTATTTATTGAACATTAGGTGGATCATGAAGGATTGCTAGTGCCACAGAAATGGTTGGTTAGGATAGCTGTGCACTCTAGGTTCCTTCATTCTAGTTGGCTGTTTGAGGTTATTCTTGGGAAAGGGGAGATGCTACAGTTTAACTTTGTCATTTTGTAGTCACCAGTACTCAATGATGATGATGATGATGATGATATGATTGCAGTACGGGTTGACGTAGGTTGGAATCTTTAAGGGATAATCAGTGCCCTCAAGAGTGTCAACAGGGACGAAAGCTAGACCCAAAAAGTTTAACCATTGCCTCCAACCGTTTTAACTCCACTACTACTCCTGAGAGCACCACTATATTGAGTCACCTAGATTAGTGGCTATGATAGAATTTAGTCTGCACCAACTTACCAAAGAGCAGACACATGACACTAGTTACTCCTTGATGATTGACAAATATTTTGTTGATTACAGCTTGATTCCACACTGTATTTTGGTACTAGTATGAAATTTTCAGCATGTGATATTAGAAGCCCAAATTTCGCAGGCGGATTATTGATATCAGGTGTACGTCGGCAGGGGATCGGGCCCTCAACCATGTGCATGGTCGGAGAGAGTGCTAACCTCTGTGCCACCAACGCATATATTCCGTCTGACTTTTTTTGATGTGGTTTTGTTCTCTGAGCTGGATGGTTAGTTTGCGAAGCTTTCATCACCTTACTGGGTGACATCTTCAGCGCATACTTCAATTTGAAGTGAGCTTTTAGATTTCTCCACGAGTTTATTAATCATCTCTCCTGGTCGGTGACCTTGGACGTGATTGGTTGTTTGTGTGTGTTTTCACACCTTCTAGGTTACTTGTATTGGAACTGATTGTTTCTTTGACTTGAACTTTGACCCTTTGTGTGTGAAGTTTCTTTCTTATTGGTTGATAAATTTTGTCTATCTCGATGTGTCTATTGATTGATGATTCAGTGAAATGCCAAGTTTCTAAAAATTCCCTAGCATTCTTGTTATTTCCTTTGTCTAATATTTGAACGTTGTCCCAGTCGAATTGGTGTCCGTGGTTGTCTGTGTGTAGTGATGTGTAATTATACTTAAGTCTTGAAAAAAGCGATCATTAATTATAAGGTTTGCATTGTGAATATCACTGCAAAATATGTATCCCGTTAAATAACACGTTTCATAAGCAGGTAATTAAAATAGGTTAGATGCCTGTTAAACGAAAATGAAATATAATTTCTTGCCATATGCATCTGACGAATCTGTGGCCATGATGACCTAAAAAAATGGGAGGAGGTAGATCCTCTGAAAGAAATCTTCATTTATAATGGATATCAATCAAGATTCATTGACAAGAGCATTCAATCAAAAGTTAAGAGAAATGGAGCAATGTTTGCAATAACAAAAGAAGAAATTTTATATGAACCTGGATTTCATAAGAAACCTAATGAGGTGATATGCTGAAGAGCAAAATTTCTTTCCCTTTGAGAGGTACATTCTTCGCAGAAACGCTAAGAATGGTATCCCGCAGTCATCCACTGGTCTAAACAAGCTTGAAAGACACGATCTTCCATCCGATCACTTCTGTGTGGATATATATATCACTTTCTGTGAAGCCAGTCGTTCGATGCATATCTCGTCTGAAACGGTTCAAGAATACTACTCTGTATGGTTAGGAAAAGTTAGCAATGGCTCTATAAGGAGTATGATAAGTGAAAAGCTTGTGGACACTCGCTATGCTATCTTAACAAGCTATTTTCTCCAAAGTAATCTACAGAGTAAAGAATAATCTGCATTTCAAAGACAATACGTTTTCATCTCTTCGGCATTGGTATAGAGGAGCCAAACCTCTGCATATTAAAAGTCAGTGATTTATGCTAACTTGATTTCGTTTGGTTTCTAACTTTTGATAAGTCTTGTATTATTTTCCACTTCTTGTGGAATATCACATTTTCTTCTGTTTTTATGCGGATCAGGAATACAACTCATTCATTAAATTATTCACCTCACTACAGCAATCTAAAATGCTTATTCATCTCCTCTTGTGTATTAGGTATTATTAACAGCTTCATTTGTGACAACTTATCACTTTTGTTAATGTCCTATTTGGTGAAAAAAAATTGTATATAAATGTGGTTATGCAGCTAAAGTGGAAAATGATTCCCACGAGTTGATTTGTAAGGACTGATATCGGTTAGAGAACCATTGGAATCCAGCTAAAAGTCCTAAACAACCAGTTCATCAGTCTAGTTTGGGAGTCGTCGTCAGTACGCACCCACACTACGGGGTTCGAACCCGTGACCTTCCGTTACTGAGATTCAGTTCCATGACCACCCCATGAATTCTAACTTCTACGAATTCGTGATTTGATGCAGCCACCAACCAATGTCATCAGTGGGAAATTCATCTTCACAGTAGTGAGTTCAAGTAAGAAGTCATGCATGACCAGTAAAGTCTATCCAGCCATTGAATCGGGTCTCAGTGGCTGAATGGTATACGAGCTTTCCTCATAACTAGAAGGTTGTGGGTTTGAACCCTATGATGTAAGTGCGTACAGTCGATGATTCTCAAACTAGGCTGATGAAACATCTGTCCACTATTCCCAGCTGGTTTTCAGTGATTTCCTAACTGATATCAATCCGTGGTCAAACTCCTAAATGAGTTCGCCAAAAGAGACTCTTCACTGAACTATTTGTCTTGTTCTCTTCATTTAATTTTGATTAAAAGCCATGATATTCCTTTGTTTGGTGGTTACTCTCAGTGGAAACCTTCAAATGCATCACCACTAAGTGATAACGTTCACCCTGAGACTGGAACTTTTCACTGACTGTTTCAAACAGTGAGGCGTTTTCCAGTATGCAGCTGAGCACCCACTCTACACTATATTAACAGCCTTTGAGAATAGAACAAAATTATCTTATGGCACATATTTTGATGATATCAAATCTGAAGTTATAAATGTCTGTCTTCAGTTGGACACTAGTAACTAGTGTGATGTGTCTTGTCCTTTGTTTGGTGCTGACTAAATTCTATGAATCAGTCAGGTTTGCAATGTGGCCATGATGATTGTAGACTGCTCACCATTACAGTGCACATTGATTTGATGATATTAGATGGTTGGAAGCAATCAATGGGCAGGAAACCTTAGACACCACCTAGGTTTCATGCTAGTTGGCACTCATCAGTCAGTTAGCAAGGCGTATCTGCAACCTGGAAGGAATTCATATCCCTTCTGAGATTTAAACTTACTTACTTTACTTCGGCTATCTCCTACGGGAGGATGAGCCGGCTTCATGAACCATGAAGTTGGGTACGAGTGATGTCCCCAGGATTGCTCGGTCTTTTGTTTGAGAGTGCAGCTCTAGCCTTTACACAACCAAGTGTGACCTACAAGGCAGTAGGAGTGGAGTAGGGAGTCCACTATCCATTGGCAGCCGGTGACTGGAGTCCGGTTCATTCGCCTTTTTGAATGGGGCCAGTCACCCAGGGCATCCAATAAGCCCTTTGTCCATACGTCTGCCGGTGAGCTTCATACGCCAGTCGTTGGAGGTTTGGAATCAGGGTTTAGCCATCTCCCCTAGACTGTCATCCAATGGACAGTCAACCCGGTGAAGAGCGCCGGGCATCCGCTTTTGCCCTCTCACTTTGGTGAAAAACACCTCCGCCACGTGAAGGCAGTGAGTAGGACTGAGATTTAAACCCACGTCACCCAGTGAGTACTGTAATCAGAGACGTTAACACTGAACTGTTTGAGCTCACGATTGACCTCCATCCTGTAGGACTGTATTCGATATTTTAATTGACTGATAGAATTCAGTCTGAACCAAACGGAAGACTAGACACACCAGGCTAGTTACTGACTAGTGTCCAATCAAAAGTATCCAGTACATTCCTATAGGAGGGAGGTCAATCACGAGTCTGAATACCTCAGGGGTAACATCTCTGGCTCCAATACTCACTGGGTGATGCGTGTTCGAATCTCAGAAGGGACATGAGTTCCTTCAGGGCTGCAGATACTCCTTACTGGCTGGCTGAGGAGTGCTAGCCAGCACGAAACCTAGATCAGGCAGAGCTTCCTGTCGATTGCCTCCAACCATCTAATCATCATCAAATGTGTGTCTATCAGACTAGACCACATTTCACCCGTTAATCACAACAGAAAAAATGGGGATATTTTAAAATCTTTACTTATCTCAATTATATGCATTACTGATATGACGTTTTATGGCAATTCAAGCGGACATTTAACACTTGAACAATTGACTATGTGGCCCAGACGAACAGTGTGAGACTTCATGTGTTGGTGCCATGTTCTCTCATCTGTCTACCCCTAATTCTTCTCTCTCTCTAGATTCAGCTAATAATCATCCCTGACAAAGGCTGCGGCTGGGCATTCGTGAAACGTGCCTTGACTATCTTTATCAAGGGAGCCACACAACTACATCAACTGATCTTCCTCCTTACCTGGTAGCATTGTACACTTAATCTGATCGGTACTGACTATATTCATCCATGAATAGTCAAAAACCGCTGGTATTTTCACATTTCCCAACTTCATTGACCACAACAGCCTTGTTTGAATTACTGGGCTATTTGAATTTTCATCTGACACAATTTATCTGTAATTTAATTTGTTTTTTCTATTGCAGCTTGATTCCACACCGTATTTTTGGTACAAGTAGTGATATCGGTAGCCCAAATTTAGCAGGTTGACCATTGATATCAGATGTGCATTGGCTGGGGATCGAACTCCAGACCACATGCATGCTCGATGAACGTCCTTACCACTGTGCCACCAAAGCACAATACACCATATTTTCTTTAATTCTTATGGTCTTAACCATCCAGCTATATGCTTGGGTCACGAAATGTACTCATGCAGATTTTCAATTGGCTTTCAAACTACTAGTGCATATTTTGATAGAGAGGAAGGAAAAATATCATAAAGGATTAGTCTATGCTCCGGATCTAACAGCAATACATCACGTGAGATATTATTGACTAGTATTTTACTTGCAGATTTTGGATGAAGAGGGAATGTTACGCAATAAAGTAGACTGGAAATTCCGTCCACTGTGTAAACATTCTGTTTACAATAAAGTTATTTTTCATTATTAATATTACTATTATTTATGTTATTGTCATAAATGTAAAGAGATATGGAGTAAACTGCAGTACAGTAGACCAAAAGTGACGCGATTACAGCACAATGATAAATGATCCTGAGAGCTGCATGATAAATAAGATCCGGATTTTCAACTCCAGTGTGAAGTCAGTCAGTGCTACTTACTATACGGAATAGAGACTTGGCCAGCGCGTCATAAAGAGCACATCAAACAAACTGCAAACCTTCATCAACAGCTAACTGTCTTCGCTCAATACTCAAGATCAGATGGCCGGCCAGAAAAGACCAGCAACAGGGATCTCTGCCAATGAGCAAACCAACCAGGAACCGATTGTGCAACAAATCTGCAGGAAGAAATGGAGATGGATTGGCCATACTCTGAGGAAACCATCAAGTGACATCACTAGACAAGCCATTGCTCGAGTGGAACCCGAAATGGAAGCGGCGAGTTGGTCTTCCGAGGGCGGGGTGACTTGGAGGAGGTCATGTGAAGAGGAGATGAAAGCATGTGGACAGACCTGGAGCTAGGTGAAAACTTTAGCAGAGGACCAAACGCAATAAAGATGTGCAGCTGAAGCCCTATGTTCCTCTATGAATTGAAGTAAATAATAATAATCTGTCCTTCTGTATATGTGCTAAAATTCCATCAGCAAAATAGTAAATTATGACTGATATAACTTAACAAATAAGGGAAGCCACTAGTTCATTTACTCACTTCTTGTAGACTAGCTTCAGAGTCATTTTAGAGCTGACAGAGGTAATATACATGGGAATATACTCAGATTTTTGATCTCAGAGTTCATTAGACTCCACTTTCGTTCAGCATCTTTACCTAAAAGGTGTGCAGTTACCTTTTTAAGTGTCCACGGTTCAGTGGTACCATGGTTCAAAGTTACTTACGTGATCCAGGTTTGATTTCCAACCGACGTACTCTTAGTCTCATTTAGTCTACTAGCGATCAGTAAGCTTGAGAATAGAGGAAGGTCTGGCATAAGGTTTAATGTTCCTATTAGAAAGCAAAGACATGGTTCAGCCATTGAGATCAGATCCAACAGCTCGATAAATTCTATCTACTCCCATTGAGCGAAATACATAACGAAACCACCAACCCATATCATCGCAGCAAGTAACCGTCCCATCACTTTACTTGGCGGATCACACTGACTACTACTTCTTACATATAAGTCCCTGTATTTAGCCAGCCTCCTCCCCTGTAACCGTTAGATCCTCGACTTTAAACTCAGTGGTTGTGTACTGTTGAAGAGTCTTAAATTATGACGAAACATTTATCCAATACCAACACTTACAAATAAATGAAACACGGAGAAAGCAACTTACTGCAAAATTCAAAATGAGCATTTCCACCAACAAAAATAGCGGAATCTTTCAATGGTCTTCTTCTCCTGAGTGTTTTTCTGTTTGGCAATGAAATTTGAGTTGACCAATAATTATCAGTTGTCACGTCGGATTTTAAAGATTTTTTAAATAATAATAATCGTCTATCCCCATTGTCATATAAACTAGCTTGTGGTGAAATCAATTCATCAGTCATTAGACTTGTCCAGTCAATTGTGTCGACATAGCATAGGCGAGGATTTCCAGTGATTAGTAAACTTGGATGACCAAGTTTACGTAATGATGTCATACCTAAAAATTCCAGATGATGATTTAGATTTATATTGATTGTTCGTGTCTTTTGAATATTTGGGCTTACTGTTGAAGGGCAAAAAAAAGAAAGAGGAGAAGACGAAAGGCAATGATTATTTTTATGCATTAAAACACGAATATCTCTAATAATTGTTCAGAGCTACTGCTGGAATCCAAGATACACGTCTGAATTTATCCAGGACTCATCAATTTGATTTGATTTTCAAGTGTTGGTTTGTAGGGATTTGATTGATTGAGTACAGGATTTCATCATGAGCTGACATTAGTTAGAGAACCATTGGAAAACCAGCTGAGAGGAGTGGACAGCTGTTTCAAAAGCCTATGTCTTCGGCGAGTATTTGTCCTCACAACCGACCTGCTGCACTCTACTGGTCACGAATTCCCACTAGAACCTCAGGTAACTACCTATCTGAATAGGGCCAGTCGCTGGTGAGCATCTCATCGATATTCAAGTGTTGGTTTTGATTTGTCTTTAAGAACCCTATGACTTACCGCGAAGAAGGTGCACTCAGTTGACGAGTTATGGAGGACTGCGAAATGAGCATCTTAGTCACTGAAAAACAGGTAATTTGAAGTTAGCAATTATAGTAATACTGAAACATCCGTGCTAAAGTTGAGAAATATCAGTAGTAGTTGGCAAATACCAAAAAAAAAATTATAACACATAGCCACTCCTTAGTCTCAGTTTTATTTTTCTGAACTTTTTCCAAGCTGATGCTTTGGAGTGTTTATTTAAAGAGATTTTTAGAAATTTGAAGAAATGTCTTCTTCTTTGTGACTGCCAAAATGACAGTTACAATTCAGGATAAGCAATGACTTCCGCCTAGTTTATTCCTGGCGTTTAAGACAGAACAAAGCTACCAAAAAGTGCGTAAAATTGGTTTGCGGCCACTTTGACCAATGTTTAATAAGTACTTCTAATCTCACATTTCATGCAACAGAAAAATGGAATAAGAGATTTAAATGTGAATGACAAGTTCATGATATCTTTTGATGTATCCTCTTTGTTCACAAATGCACCATTGACATACAGGCATTAGGATTTCTGTATTTTTTATTATTATTATTATGCCATTGAGTTCTGAGTGGAGCACAGGGCTTCAACAACACATCTCCGCTTTGTTCTATTTTCTGTTGTCCTATTCAGTTGGATCCACAATTCCCAAAAATCTCCCATCTCCTTTTCCCCACATGATCTCCTCTGGGTCACTCTCGCAGTGACAACCCACTCATCGTTTCCCATTGGGATTCTATTCGAGTGATGGCCTGCACTGAGCGCGATGTCATTCTACGGTCTCCTCATCGCATGCCTAATCCGTCTCCATTTTCCCAACATATTTGCTGAGCAATAGGTTCTTGATTGTTTTGTTCCCCACCAGAGTTTCTTGTTACTGATTCTTTCTCGCCGGCAAGCTGGCCATTTGATCTTCATTATGAAGCCAGCTAAGGAGGCAGCTATTAATAAAAGCCTGTAATAGACTGTTAGAAATCCTTTTCGTGACATGCAGTGCAAGTTTCTGACCCGTATAGAAGTACCCAATTGACATTAGTGTTAAAAATCCTAATCTTGCTGTTTATGCTAGCTGAGTTAGTGCAGAAAATTTCCAAACTGGTTTCCAGTTGATGATGGTGTATCCTGCCTTTCCAATTCTCACCAACTGTAACACTGTTATCCGTTCCAACTGCCCATGATTGAATCTAAGCTTCCCAAATAAGTGAGGGAGGTTACCTTTTTCAAATCTCTCCTGCTGATGGGGATTAGTACTGGTTGTTGTTGTTACTGCGGGGTGTGGTGGTGGTGGTTCGTTATCTTTATCACCTCTATCTTCTCTATGTTCACCTGGAATCCTGTCTTTGATGCTTTTTCAACCAATTTGTTGCTTTTTGCCTGCAAGTCTACGAGTTTGTGTGACACCAGACATTATTCATGAGGGGAATTATTATAATATGTATGATGAATGTTCATTTCTTATTCAATAAGGAATGCTACAGATAAACTGGTGATGTTGTTATAGGGTTCCCGCTAGGTCCAGTCCTAGCTGATTGTTTTCCTCGCTAAGATAGAGAATGGATCATTGAAAGGAGTAATTAATGAATTGGAATTCTACCATCGATATATAGATGATAAATTTGTGATTATGAAAAATGAGGACGAAGCAACGAATATCCTCAGTGGCTTCAATGATGCGAATTCAATCGAGAAAGAAAGCAATGATAGTATCTCATTCCTAGACACATTGCTGATCAGGCAAGGGGATGGCACATTAAGAAGTAGTGTGTATAGGAAACCTACCACAACAGATCAGTAGACTTGCCCTCTGAAGTTTGCACCTTTGAAATATAAACGTAACTTGGAAAGTGTGTGATTCATAGAGCTAGGATAATCTGCTCAAACGACTGCCTCAATGAGGAGCTTAAGATTATCAGAGAATTACTTGGTAAAAATAGACATCCAGACAATTTCATTGAGAAAAATATGAATTTAGCACCAGAACAAACCAGAAGGGGAACAACTCCAAAATACCCCTGTTCACAAAACTTCCTCTGCGATAACACCAGCGATAGAGTAACACAGCGCCTGAAGAATACGGTTACAAGGGATTTCATTGCAGCAGCGGTACGTTGTCTCATAATTACCACCCCTGTTTTACGTTCGATAAATCGGGACAAACTATCTGACTTCACCTCCTCTTCCATGTGTAGCTACCAGTTTGACTGCGTCTTTGAAGCCAGCTACATTTGGTTTACAATTAGGCAGGTTCATCATCGTATTTCTGAATATCATCTCGCATGATTAATTAGACAGGAGACGAACATAATTCACTGGTAGCTCTGTCTAACCGATGATGTCAGCTCATGATGAAATCCCGTAACCAGTCAGTCAAATCCCTATTAATCAATACTTGAATAACATGCATAATTATCAAAGTGACTATATTCTTCTTCTTTTTTCTTTCAGGCTTTGAATCCCGTGCTTCTGTGTGGTGTAGAGACTTGGCGTATGGTCTACCAGGGGTGTGGTGAGAGCAGGCTGCTAGCCAATTGGTAGACATTAATCTGCGTTAATGTCCAAGGTCACTAATATTGGCCGTGAAAAAATATGAACAAGACTGATTCAATAACCAATCACAGCAGACTTAAACGTGGGCAAATATGATTCGCAGATAGATGGCTCTACTTTTCGATGTTACCCGAGACAACCAGTCAGTAGCCTGCGTTTTTCTGCTTAACTTTCGAGAAACAACCAATCAGAAGACTGCGTTTGTCTACTTGCATAAGCTATAGTAATGTACAGGAAATATATATATATATAAATACGTGTTGATTTCCGTAATAAAACGATCTGTTGCCGGCCCTTGTCTTCTGTTGTTACAGAAGTATTTTCAACAGGGTACAAACTTTCATTACCAGATACCTTCGTTTGGTATTGAAAGTAAGATGGGCAGCAGGTCGGAAAGGATGAGCAGCCAGTGATTCTGTCGACGAACCAACCAAGAACCTGTCGCCAAACCAACACGTATTTCCACAAGGAAATGTAGATGAGTTGGACATTCACCAAAGTGACATTTGAATGGCATCACAAATCAGACCTTTCAGTGGAACCAGAATGAGAAGTGACTGATTTTGTGCGATTCCGAGAGTGACATGGAAGAAATAAATGTTTATTGTGGAGTCCAACAATAGGGATAACAGATGCGCGAGTGGAATAGAGGTGTACTGCTGAGATCTTATGTTCTATTTAGAATACCAAGGACAAATAATAATAACAACACTACAATAGTATTCGACTTACCTCCGCTAATTATTTTAACATTTGAAAGAAAAGTCAGATTAGTCAACCATGGGGCATGTGATCCAGCACTGATATAAAGTGAACCTGTTATATGCTCTAGCTTGGATAAACCAATCACAAGATCTTTCCATTGTACACCTTCATCAGCTTGGGATAAATTATAAAATGGATCGCTGAAAAGAAGGAGAAAACAGCAAGGATTTTAAACAGACTGATATGTATCCACATATATATATTTATGTGTGTGTGTGCATGTTGGTCTCTCTTTCTGTTTGCTCGGTTAGTCTGTGACCACTTCACTTGTATGGACTTGTCTCCTTTAATAATGTGTATTCTCCTTATATTATATTATATATAATATGAGTGTTCTGTTGACAGTCCGTTGCTTGGTGACATATATCCATATATGTTTGTTGGCATGTCTGCTATATTCGCTATGTATAATTGGATCGACACTCCATTATAATTAGCCATTCATGTTAAGACTGTCCAATGATTTTTCCCACGCTTGTCTGAATTATTTATATATATTCGCATTCACAATTTGTGTGAACTACTTTACTTTACAACTACTTTACTTACTTACCACTTTGGTGTGAGACCATTTATTTTCGTCTCCTTGTGTTTGGACAATAGAAGTATCATCGCAAACCTAGTGGTCTTCTGATTTCCGCCTTCTCGCGTCAGGACTATTAGTTTCTCGACCAGTCCATAATAATAATTCAGCGACGAGTACATAACAATTTGGTGACGGGGAAAACTAGTACATAACAATTTGGCGACGGGGAAACTAGAACATAACAATTTGGCGACGGGGAAACTAGAACATAACACAGACCAACAAAAGTGGTAAATAGTACTTAGTGTTCCTGTGGAATCAGTTACATTGCTCGTGGAATTAGACATGTTTGTCATCGGGTTTGTGAATACAACTCTGCGTCGTTAAGCAAAGGATAGACAAGCTTTATTCTTGACTGAGTTTTAGCAAACCTCACAGATAATGAGCATAAAGTCGATGTCAACAAGATATTTAAAGGTATCTACCGTATTCTCAGTAATCTAAATTTTGCTTACGCAGTTCATTTTCTACTGGGGCTGTTGAAATTCCCCTGAAGTAGGCTAACTTATGTGTTCAGAAGAAGATCACTAAGACTCTCTCCCTACCTCTGCCATCATTGTTTTTTATTCTTTATTCCTTCACGTTCCCAGTGGAACATAGGGCACCTTCAAGCTAGAGCTTTGAAGTTTCGGTGCCTGTAGTATTTATTTTTACGGGATGGGGTTGGTAGCTTCATACCCAGTCTTCCCTTCTTACCAGTCTTATTGCTAGCTTAGCGAGGTAAAGGAGTACGTCAGTCGGGCAGAGATTGAACCCTTCCCTCTTTTTATCAGTCTTATTATTGGCTTAGCAGGGTAAAGGAGGAGTGAGTTGGCGGCAGGGGATCTAACCCTGGACCAAATGTGGGGTTGACAAGCATTCTGCTGCTGTGCCACCGAGGTACAAAAAGACATCATTGTTTCAAATATGTTTCATTGTTGCACAAATTTTCTACTTAAATCCATCTGACGTTCAATTAAGTATTCTATTTTTATAAACATTATACCTAACACTTGTGCTTATAAACTGTAATTCTGTTGATTTTAATAACTCCTTATTATCTTAAGCAAATATTATTGCAGTCAATAACAATAATGCCTTAAATATCATGTGCATATATATATATAACTGTGGAGGTAGATGAGAAAGTTATTGAAGATATGAATATTCTTTGCTCAATCCTTTTCTGTTTTGGTATAATCCTTCTGAAAAAGATATAAATGAAATCATATCACAAATAAGTACTATCTCAAAAGTCATCCAAGAGATGTAACACAACATCATATTGTTCAATCTCCTTGTGACTGACTGACTGACTAACGGATTATTGTGGAATTATGCACCATTCATTCACTTATCTAGGGAGTATTGTCTCAACTACAGGAGGAACGGACGAGGATGTCAAATCGAGAATCGGGAAGGCGAGAAACACATTCATCAAGCTGAAATCAATCTGGAAATCTTCGTCACTCAGCATCACCAACAAAATTCGGATTTTCAATACAAACGTAAAGTCAGTCCTTCTATACGGATCAGAAACTTGGCGAGTGGTTCACAAAGAATATCTCCAAAAGGTTGCAGACCTTTATTAACAACTGTCTTCGGTCTATACTGAAGATCAGATGGCCGGACCGGAAAGAATCACCAACAAGGAACTATGGGAACAAACAAAACAAGAACCAATCGCCAAACAACAAATATGCAGGAGAAAGTGGAGATGGATCGGACAATCGCTGAGGAGACCGCTGGGTGACATCGCGCGTCAAGCCCTCGAGTGGAACCCGAAAGGGAAGCGGCGTGTGGGACGTCCAAGGGTGACATGGAGGAGATCGTGTGAAGAGGAGTTGAAAGAAGATGGATTAACATGGATGCAGGCGAAAAGTACAGCGTGCACTTGAAGCCCTATGTTCCACTAGGACACCCAGGGGAGCAATAATATTAATATCCACCAAAGTACGTGGGTAGTTTAAAGTTGTCCTACGTCAGAGTGGAAACATTATTCCAATTAAACGGAGGTTTTATCTAATTTTTATTGGTTAAATATCATGAATATTACCTCGAACTGTAAATACCGATTCACATGTATCCGTGGGAGCAGTTACATTGTAAGAAATGAAAGAAGGGCCTCCATCAGATTCTGTGAACATGTGTCAAGGAGCTTCCAGTTAAAGCGGCAAAGCAGTTTAAGCTCTTCAATTACCAAACACCTAATAGACACTGGACTCCAACTAGATGCACTGGCATCATTCAACATAATTAAAAGACAAAACAGCTCAATTCTTCTTTGGTTTGCTGAAGCTATCGCAATAAAAGTAATCTGTCATTGGACTCCAGTTACCCTGGTGAAGCATCTCTTAATAAGTCTTTACTTTCTAATTTCATTAACTCATCTTTTCAATACCTCTCTTCTCTTAGGCTCGGTTTTTCTCGTCTGACTTCCATAGGAGATAATTTTTCTTGATCTTATGAGTTCAACTCACCATATTACATCATTATAGTCTTTTCATCTGACCTCTTGCATACCAAATTTTGATCTTCTCTTATCTAACTATATAACTGTTACTAATTTTCTTTGTTACCACTCTAACAGCAGACTTGTCAATTCGTTTTCTAGAAACTTCTTTCTAACAAGATATATATATACATATAGATGTATATTTATGTAACGACAGAAGACAAGAGTCAAGCAACAAGTCGTTTATTGAGGAAATCGACAGATATTTATATATTTTTATGTTTATTATTATTGTTTATTATAAGCAGAGAAACAGCGTCTTCTGATTGATTGTTTTATCACTGACAATTATTCTATCATCTATTTGTGGCTGTTTCTTTGAAGGTCAGACGATATATCTGCTGATCGTATCCGCCCAAGGAAAAGTCTTTGTTCTTATTTTTCTCATGACTAAGATTTGAGAAGTAAACATTGACGCCAAAAGGGCTTTCTACCAATTTTAGCTAACAGACAGCTCCCACCACAATTATACTTCAACTATCTGGTCTTCCTAGTGTCTTACTTCACTATGACACGCTTATAATATGCTTGTTGATGGCAAAAGTATGTTAAAATTTTACGCTGGCTTTTACTTATTAAAGATCATAGGCTGTATGCAGCTGATGAGAACCAACGAAATCGAATGCATCCATGCTATTCTGCACCAATGTTTGTTCTTTTTCTGCTCAAATATCCCAACACTATTGAATTCAGTAACATATCAGTATAACAAGATGAAGAATGGAAATCACATCGAAATTGTTTTGTCACATATTTCAGACAACGATTGTCGGGAGTCATTTGATAAATACTTTTGGGTTCCGTAGGACTTTAAAATTACTTCTACGTAGAATTCTTCTCAAATCAATATCAGTCACGGGACTATTGGAAATTGAGGAGAGCTAGACGGCCAATGTATCCAACTTCTAGAATCTTGAACACTAAGCATTCATGACAGTATCAATGATCTAAATCAGAATCTTCAAGTTACAAGGCGAACCCGTTGGCCATTTAGCCGACTGAAATACGATAACCCATGAATTCTAACTTCTCTACCGCAAATGCGTGACAAAATTTTACATTTAATTCAGTCAAAATCCACAAGCGACCCAAGATTTGTTATGTGGAACCACAGACTAGACTAATATTCTGAAATAATAGAGAAGATTTATAGCTAAGGTGGATGATTTCCAATTAGTAGTGTTCTCTGAGCCGGTTGGTTTAGTTGAGGCTGAGATTTCGTCGTCCTTCTGGACAACATCCCTTTTCATCACAGTTTATAGCATTAAGTTAAATGATTTAAACTTTCCATGATTGATATAATTGCGTCCCCCGGTAGCCACCTTTACATATGTATTGATCATTTTTACTATTGACTTAGATTTTAAACTTTCTGGTCACCTAGCTGATTTACATTTTATTAGTCGGTATATTTGGTCTATATATTAACGTGTTTGGTTCTCTAACTAATGTCAACTCATCATGAAATCCTGAAACCAATCAAATCCCTACAAAGCAACACTTGAATACCAATGAGATGCTCACTGGCGACTGGCCCTATTCAGATAGGTAGTTACCTGGGTTCCAGTGGGAAGTCGTGACCAGTAGGGTGCAGCTGGTCGGTTGTGAGGACAAATACTCGCCACCGAAGACATTGGCTAGTGGTCGCGCTATGTCGAAAATTGGCAAAAGTTAGAATTCATGGACTGGCCATTGGATCGGGTCCCAGTGGCTTAATGGTATACGAGGTCGCCTTGTAACCGGAAGGTCCTGGGTTCGAACGATGGCGGTGGGTGCGTACTGATGAAGAGTCCCAAACTAGGACGAAACAGCTGTCCAGTACTCCCAGTTTGTTTTCCAATGGTTCTCTAACTAATGTCAGCTCATGATGAAATCCTGAAACCAATCAAATCCCTACAAAGCAACACTTGAACGTGTTTGTTAATTGCATATTCGTTTGAGTACCAGGCTTGTAGGAATTCCCTGACTACACTTTTGGTGTTTCTTCTCTCTAAGATTTCGACATTACCCCAATCAAACTGATATCCATAACTGTCTATATGCATTGATATGAAAGAATATATATCATGTAAAAACATGGCTGATTTGTGTTCCTGGCTGCCTACTTTGGCCGATGTAATGCCTGTTACAGTTCATACAATTTATTTTGTAAATGGTACTAATTCTATCGTTTTTGTTGTTGGGTATTTTGGTTCGCACAATGTCGGATTACATGATTTGACTGGCTTGTGTGCCTGCCTGATATTCTGTCAGTCATAATTTAAATTATACAAATATTGATTTTCTGTGCGTGAACTAGATAACCAACTGATCAGATTTCACAACAGTAGCAGCCACTCACTAATCGACTCAACGTTGCAGCATATAATTAGCTAAGTGATATGACTGTTGTATTTATATATTTGTAACTAGACTTCCCCTCACTCGCCCGTTTGGAAGTACACAATCTCAGCATTAATGTATGAGTCTTCTTAAAATAACCAGTTCACCTCAAGGAAAGTCTACTAAGAAATTATCAAACGTGCATTACTGTTAACCTCATTCTTATAACATAGTATTTTCAGCACGCTGGAAACTATGGATCCTAAAATGTTGGATCAATAGTTGTACAACAGATGAAATTGATGGAGATGCTTATTAGAACAAAAATTGGTTCAGCTTTACCACCAAGCGTACCACCTTCTAAAATTGCACTATCTGTTAATACGTGATCTCAACTCAACTATACAAATGCCACTTTTTATACATGATATCTGTGTTGTAAAGACTTATTTAAGAGTTGATTTCGCCCACAAGACAACGGTTGGGATGTACGGCTGCTGCTATTTAAGCAGGGTCCAGCTGAATATAAAAAATATTGTAAATTTGAATTCCTTTCAAAGTGCACGTGACAGATGTACTGATAATACAGTCAAATGGCTTGGTTAGCAGTCTGGAGACTATTCTTCACTGTTCAACATATGATAGTGATGTCCTAAACTAGTGATGAATGAAAATGATGATTTTCAAACTCATTTGGGTACGGTCAATAAAGAATGCCAGAGATTTTAACTCAGTTCTCTAACAGAGGATCAGTTTAAAGCCCATATCCTTATATGCTGTTATCAGTCGTCCAGGTTCACAGATATTTGAATATGACCACTTAGTTAGCTGGAATTAGATCCAAAGTTAACCCAAAATGACATAACGGATGAGTATGTATCAACGAGTAATTAATTTTTAGTGAAATACGCGTCTAGTTGATTCAGCAAATTTGAAAGGCCCTACTGATGATTAGGGACTACACGATGGATTTGGAGAAGTTCTGTTGAAAAGAAACAGTCCCGGAGAGAGGGACTGTCATTTGTGATATGAAGCGGGTTATTGTCAATGTCATAGGTTAGCAGTGGTACTGTATAACGAATTAACAGAATTTAGAACTCAGGGTTTATACGATTTCAATTGGCTTGCCCTATTATTAATATATGTGTGTAAACCTTGGGCACTGTGGTAGTAAGCAATTCCATACTAGTTTGTTTATTAGATATATCACTCACAGTGAGTTAAACAGTATTACTATTTACTGGATGACAAAGTTTCGAACAAAATTTATTGCTAATCACAATCACATCAATTATAATCACACGACTTTGAAACTTGAGTTTCATAGTTTTCTCTGTTCTCTCCTATTTGTCGTCATTGGAGTAGCGGAATTTTCCAGATATCTGGGTGAACAGGTGCTGAAACATTCCTGTTACATGTATTCACCTCAGTGAATTCAATAAACAAAGCTTCTGTTATCAATCTCTCCCTTCACCCTGTTAGTCATATTAGATTTTCAAACTGTCATCTAATCCTATCATATCTTATTGTATGATCGTGTGTAATGGCATGTGGTGAGTACTATAGCTGGGCTAACTATTCTCTAGATTTCTTATCTTATTCCGGTCAGCTAATCTAGATTTTGCCAGGTTTTTACGTTCTACTAGTCTGAATGACTGCACCTGTTCTATCACTATGACTTTATGCATTTGACCTGACAATCATTGCAGGCAGGGTATTAGATAAACTATGTTGTTTTGTTTCATTGGCTCCACAGGATTGATCCTGTAACCGACAAAGCTTGTTTCTAAATGAGTTTGAGGTTAGTTTGAATGCCAACCACTTTTATTCCTGCTTTGTTAAGAATTCTGCATAAAATTTCCTAGGTTCCTTCATTGTATGGAATTACTACTGATGACTTAGATTCCTTATTGTTGGTGTTGTCATTATCCTGCGCATGTTTGACATGCATATCGTCGTTAGTATGACTATTATTATTATTATCACTATCAATACTATCATAATTTATTTTACTTTTTTCATTACCCTACATACTTTCCGACTAATTTATCAGGGTAATTATTAAGTTTCAAAGCTTCTCTTATATGCCTCACTATCTGTACTAGATTTTCCTTGGTACTACTTAGTGTTTGTGCTCTGTCACTTAGACATTTCAGGAAACACAACAGGAAACCCACACATTCAAACAGATATTTGAACTTCTGATCATCCCATCCTATGTCAGCAAAAACACAGGATTGGTGAAAACTATAAAACTGAAGTTACTAAGTTGTGTGATTATAATTGATGAAGTGATTATGAACAATAATAAATTGTGTTCGAAACCTTGTCATCCAGTAAATAATACTGTTTCACTCACTGTGTGATACATCCAATAAGCAAACTAATATGGAATTACTTACCCTATAATTTGAAAGTCGTAGATTCGATCCTAAATGGTGTCCTCAGTGAGCATTACCCAAAAGTTCTACACTGTGATGAAACAGTTATCCAGTGCTCCTTGGTATTTTAAGTGATCTCCAGAATCTCAACAAAATTCTCACTGAAGGTAGTAATATTTTTCACGTTGAAATAAGAAATATCATTATTAGTGCGGAAGAGTAGAATTCCGTCCATAGATAATTATTTGCAATCCGATAGGGATATGAACCTTGTAATGACATCAAAAAGCCAGTGTATACTGGACATGAATTTCAAAATAACAGCCCGTCCCAAACTCTTTGAAGGCCATGAATTACTTCACAACTAACAGTGGTAAAAATGACTGAAGCATGCCATATTTAAAGAAACTCTAAACATTTAATTTGACTAACAAAGCGTTTCAGAAAGAAAGTGCATAACCTACCCAATAAATGATTGCATTGATAATTTGATATCACCTTCAAATAATGTACAATTTTCCATTGCACGAAGTGATTTACGCCGTAAATAATCAACTCCTTTTATTGATTCGATTTCTTTTAGTGTACAAACTGAAAATAAAGAATCCGATCACTTGTAAAAATTATTATCCGAAAAATTGTTTAAATCCTCATGAAATATAACTGAATTTAATACTATACAAGATTTATTATTACTAAAGGGTATAACGTTAAAAGTGATAGGTGTTGGGTTCGAGTACCTCTGTGAACGCCATAAATTATTGAGGATGCGGATACATCTAGCTGATAAACTCCAAATAAGATGAAATGTGTGTATTGAACTCCACTGTTAGCCACAACGAAGACGAGAAACTTTTTAAAATTTTAAAATTTAAAATAGTTCGCTGAGAATAGGAATGGAAAGGTTATAAAAGAGGAAACATACATCCAATAGCGCTTGAATCCTAACTTCTGTCAATTCGTGACCTGCATAACGCGACCACTAGCCAAAATGATCGGCAAGTATTTGTGCTCAACGAATTAAATCTACACAGGCCATTACTAAATTTGTGATTTGAGCGCTAAAATGAATCTAATGCTTGCTAGTGACTGGCTACAGGACGAAGTTGACTGTAGTTTTAGTGAGAAATCGTGACTATTGAGATCCATTAACTTGTGTGTCTTGTAATTTGAAGGTCCTGGGTTCTATCCATGATGGTGAAAGGGGGAAGTGTTGGATGCACATTGTTGAAGAGTCCCAAAGGACAGCCTGATGGCTCTCCGGTGCTCCGTCAAACTGAAACCCGTTCATGATCAACTTTAAAATCAACGAAATCCCTGAAAACTAACTTTTGAAAATCTCGTAAGTTATCTGTGCAATAGACTTCCCTTTTTTCTAATGAATCACAGGTTTTAAAAATAATGGAAAAAGTGCTTTTACTTAACTCTGAACATTCACTGAAGGTCTTAAATGACCCTAAGAAATTTTCTTTTAAACATAGCAGGTGTACTTTAGACGCTACTATTGTCTTACTTCATAATACCACCTTTTATCTGAGTGTCTTCCTTCATTGTTCACCTGCCTTTGACCTTTACCTAGGCCTCTCTTATTAAACAAGCTTGTTGAGACACAAGTAGGATGAAGGACTAATAAGTGGTTGTATTCTTAATTTCCTGATAGGAAGCCGTACACTGTTTACAATGGGAAGTCCTCCACGGTTTTACTTACTCTAGTTGGTGTTCCTCAAGAAGCTGTTCTTTCTCATTTTCGGTTTTCTTTCTTCTTACATGACTTACTTGCCGCATTCTGACTAAGTCAAGTGTGTTAATTTTGCCAATGATCTGATTGCTTCTATGCCTGTTAATTCTCAGTCGGTTTGTTCCAAAATGAATAATTTTCTATCAGAAATAAGTTAATGGTCCGTGTCAAATGATCTTATGTTAAATCCCCCCAAAATGTCAGGTCGTTAATGTCACTTTCATACGCAGTGGTGACTTACATGAACTGGTTGGTTAACATGACTATGCTATCATAGATGTTACAGAGGTTGAAACTAAGTCAAATTTCCAAAATGTCGGATTGTCTTTCCTACTGTCTTTCCTGGTCTTCTACATCAGGTAAGTTTCTAGAAAGATGTTGCTTCATGTAACGTTCTACTTAAGAAAGTTAAGACAATTTGACATCATTCAGTCTCCAGTTCCTAAGTTTGTTAATTGTTGTATTCTGCCAATCCTTATCAGCTGCTCTACCTTAATTTTTTCCGTGGCTACTTAAGAAAGGCACTGTTACAATGCGAAAGGCACTGAAGGCTTTCAGTAGGGTGATGGGGTGTTGCTAAACCAACACGTCAATACTGCTGTAGATAGCCGCATAGACTCCTGCCAAAAAAATTAGCAAATATTCAAGTATTGGTTTTTTTTAAGAGATTTTGTTTGATTGGTGACAAGATTTCATTATGAGCCGACATCAGTTAGAGAACCACTGGAAAACCTGAAGGGAGTACTCGACATATATTTCCTTCCCCTAGTTTGGGTTTCTTCACCAATGCGCATCCACCAGGGTGGTCATAAATTGACAGAAGTTAGAATTCATGGACTGGCCATTGGATCGGGTCTCAGTGACTGGCTTAATGGTCTACCAGCTAGCTAGCCAGCCTTGTAATCAGAAGGTCCTGGGTTCGAACCCTGGAGGTGGGTGGTTGCCTACTGATGAAGAGTCCTAAACTTGGCTTGTGAAACAGCTGTCCAGTATTCCAGTGGTGGTTTTTCAATGGTTCTCTAACTGATGTCAGCTCATGATGAAATCTCCCAACCAAATTAGCAAATATGATCTTGTCTTGCCCTGAGCACCCCTTCTTTTTTGAACACAAATCGCTTTCCTTGCATTCCATCAGATAGAACTAGAAGCAATTATAGAAGGCAATACGCTCTAACGACTAAGTACAAAGAAAACTCTAACATACCTTATTTAGCCGGGACACATTTTTGGTAATAAGAAGAGTGTATGGCAAGGCAAGGCACTAATAACTTACAGCGAAACACCAAGTAAATGGCGCTTTCTATTCTCTCTTTCTTTTATTGATCTATTTGATTTTATGTTCATATTCTTATTTAATAATATTTTTCAAAGTAAATCATCTGTTTTAATTATTGTCACGTCATTTATTATATAATGAGAAAATCAGATGCAATATTGAAAAATTCTATGTGTGTATCAAAAAGTACTGTTTAGAATGAAGCTATTATTATTATTACTACTAACTAAAATGTGGAATGTAAATAGGAATGGATTATAATTTATACAATTTGAAGAGCTCTTATCTTCATTTTATTTTTATTTCTGATTAAAGCTTGATTTCACACCGTATTTTTGGTACGAGTATGGAAGTTTCAGCATGAATATCGGTAGTCCAAATTTTGCAGGCCGACCATAGATGCCATGTGTGCGTCGGCAGGGAATCTAACCTCGGATCATGTGCATGGTCGATGAGAGTTCTAACCAGTGTGCCACCGATGCACATAAGTACTGATTTTTAAAATATTCTGAGTGACTGACTGTATGATTTCAATATGAGTTTACATCAATTACAGAACCATTGGAAAACCAATTTGGGAGTAGTGGACAGCTGTTACACAAGCCTAGTCTGGGGCTCCTTATCAGTACACACCCACCTACCCCCATGGTTCGAACCCAGGACCTTATGGTTACAAGGCTGGCTAGCTAGCTAGTAGACCACTAAGCCACTCGCTGGGACCCAATCCAATGGCCAGTCCGTGAATTCCAACTTCTGCCAATCCATGATATAGCGCGACATCAGTTGGAGAACCATTGGAAAACCATCTGGGAGTACTAGAAAGCTGTTTCGTCGGTCTAGTTTGGGACCCTTCAGCAGTAAGCAACCTTCGGGGTTCGAAGAGCCCCAACCTTGGACAAAACAGCCATCCAGTACTCTCTGTTAGTTTTCCAGTGGTTCTCTAACTGATGTCAACTCATGATGGAATCCTTCAACCAGCCAATCAAACAAAAGTCCCTACAAACCAATACTTGAAAATTTTGAGTGATTCTTTTGTGTTCCGGACAGAAAAAAAAGGCCCTAGGCTTTGAATTTTCAGTTAATAAAGATAATAGTCTCTCACGCTTAACTTTCTCTCTTTTGCAAGTTTACCGCTGGCTTGACGAAGTTTAGTAGTTCATTGACAGGGAACCATACCTGGAGCTCTTACACTCATAATTACTGAGCTTTCTACGATTAAATCAACGACTGATGAGCAAACGAAATGTTTGATTGTACGCTAGTAACTAGTGTGACGTGTCTAGTCCTTTATTTAGTGCAGACTGAGTTCTATCATTCAGGTTTGCAATGTGGCCACCATGCCACTAGGTGGCTCACAATCACGGTGCACATTGATCTGATGATTTTAGATAGTGGGAGGCAATCGGCAGGAAGCTTTAGACCTAGGTTTCGTGCACTGGGTGACGCAGGTTAAATTCTCAGAAGGGATCTGAGTGTCCTTCAAGGCTGCAGATACACCCTGTTGATGAGTGCCAACTAGCACGAGACCTAAGTCAAGCAATGCTTCCTGAGGCCGATAGCCTACAACCATCTAATACCATCAAGTGAAATGCTTGTTTAACAGCTTTTATAAGTCTTTTAATGAAAAGTAATATGAACACTTACTCTTAGGACAAATAGAATTTGGACATGGGAGACATTCACCATGATATGCAAAATAACCTGGACGTGCACATTTTGTTACACAATGATCACCATCACGTAAATAAGCTTCTAAATAGATTAAAACAAAGTGTAAATCATTAGAAAATTTATGAAAATAACCTGTAATGATTACAACATGCATGAAGTAAATAAGTATATATATATATATATATGAGTGTTGATTTCGTCCCGAACCAATCTCAGTTAGAGATCATTGAAAATCTGGAAGAACTGGATGGCCACTTCTTCCCAATTTGAGACTCTTCAACAGTGTATGTCCAAGACACCACCAGAAATTGAACATATAGTCTCTAGGTTATTATTATTTCCTTTACTGGCTTAATCTGTGTCGAACTTTTGCCCGATAGATGCCTGGTTGTTTGGTAGAGTGTGGCGAGGTCTCCTTTGCCTGCAGCTTGTTCTGCTTCACTTGCCATGGCTTCATAATATTTTTTTTTGTCTTCCTTGGCACTCTTCTTTACTCTTTTGTTCAGTGTATTGTAGCTTGCATTCAACTCCTGTTTTTGTTGCTCGCCGGTGCACTGGATAATCTTTTGTTTCACTATCCTTCTCTCTTCTGTTAGTTTCCAAGTGTCCGTAGTGAGTCACTGTTTGTCCTGCCTCTTTTTTCTGCCTAGAACTTCTATGCAGGTTTGACTCCACACCGTTTTCAAGTTGTTCCAGTGCTTTTCGACGCCGGCCTCTTCCCAAGTGTTGATTTGTGTCTCGGCTTTTTCCCTTATGTTTGCAATGAAGATGTCTTTTGTAGCCTGGTCCTTCAGTATTTGAGTGTTGAACTTGGCTTGTGGTCTATCTGCAGCTCCTGACTCTCTGAAAGCTTTTAATTTGATTTGGATTGTCCCTTGTACGAGATAGTGGACTGAGCCAACGTCTGCTCCTCTTCTTACTTTTGTGTCCATTAGGCCGCGCCTCCACTTCCTTGAGCAGCATTGAGATGAAGTCAACTGGGTTTTTGGTTCGCCCATGTGGTGACACCCATGTAGCTTTGTGGATTTCTTTGTGTTCCGACAAGACATGATGATTGCAAATTATTCAAAATCCTCACCTATGAACTTTACGATCATCCTTGCAAAACAGGATATATTTGTTATAAGTATAAAACTTAGCCACTGTGGTGGAGTATAACTCCATTATGGATAAAACTTTATTTTGATGAAATCATATAGTGTTGTTATACAGTAATATTTAATGAAAGTCATGTTTCAAGAACAAATTATTTCTGCTCATATTCATCATATCAAGGCACTACTCACACAACTTTCTTGCTTCATTTATTTATATGAGTGGAATTGATGATTAGAAATTTAAATAAAATCAATTTAAAATAAAGCCCATTCAGAAATAATAATATGAGTGTTATCAATAAAATACAATCAGATGGCAAACAAAATGTTTTTATAGTCAAGATACGTAACTTGTTGGAGTGTCATAGTGTATGTGAATTGAATACATATGAATGTTATTTGTCATCCCCTTTACTTGATTAGTGATAATATTTTCCATATCTCTGGTATTTGCGTTGAGTCACTTCTATTGCATATGCTGAATGTAGATTCGACGATCCAGGATTCAGTAATCAATCTCTCTCTATCTCCACCTACCTATATTACCCCTTAGAATTTTGACTCTGTCTTATCCACAGTATTGTGTGTGAATTCATGCAGTACAATTGGTGAGCTGTTTTTTTTAAATTATTGGTGTCAACCACTCAACCTTAGCTAAATTCTTATGTTCCGACAGTCTGACTACCCCTAACCTACTAGTTTGACCTATTTTGTTCACCTAACTCTCAGTCATTGCAAGGTATTCAGTAAATTATATTATTCTATTTAATTGGGTCCGCCGGGTTCTTTAATCTACAGAGCTTATCCCTGAGTGAGTTTGTCTGTCTCTCTGGATTCAACATAGAACTTGGCACCGAAGTGCAGCACTACGAATTGCCACCTTCCAAGTAGCACACAAAGGTAGACAAGAAGATGAGTGAAGAGAATCAATAGAATTTGACAAGTACAAGAGTGAAACAGAATGGGTAATGGTGGAAAGGAATATGAAAGATTACAGAGACTGTATACTATATCTGCGCTAGCCATTGACAACGATTTTGAGCCATGTCACCTATTGTCTGCAGCCATTGATTCTTAGAGTCCCGAGGGCCCCAACCCGGAAGTCTGCATCTCCCTACCTGACTCAGTTTAACTGTCAAGGATTTCATGGATTGACGCCATGTTATTGTTTGTTTGGCCACGACTTACTCTTTTCCAACCTGCACCTATATCAGCTAGTAATGCCCGTCGGGGGAGGCGATGGTTAGGCATGCGCAACACGTGACCTAGCCATCTCAGTCTATGTAACTTTATAGCCTCGTTGATCGGTTTTCCCTCTTTGCCTGCCCAACACTCTACGCCTAACGTCAAGATTACTTACTAGCTTGTTATACCACCTAACGTGAGACAGAGATCGCAGACATCTATGATCAAAAACAACAGTCAACCTATTCATGTCTTCAACTCGTATTGGCCATGTTTCAGAGCCATAGAGAAGGACGGAGAGAACTGGTGAGCAGTACACACGTCCCTTGGTTGATATCCGGATGTCACGCCTACGCAAGAGATGTTGTAAGTCAACGAAAGCAGCTCGAGGGTTTTGGATTCGTGCTGAGATTTCGTCGCCAATAATCAGTCCGTTGATGCTGGTACAACTTCCCAAATAGGTGAAGTGGTCAACATGTTCTATCACTTCACTCCCTATCACTAAGCTAGGAGTTGACGTAGTCCAGTCCTGCAGCAGCATCTCACATTTTGCAGGGGCGAATCGCATTGCCAGACATACGAAGATTACTGCTCAAGGTGTTCAGAAGACTCTGTTGGATTTTGTCAGCATCCTCCCCTAACAGGACTATGTCATCTGCATATTCTAAGTCCATAAGACTATTCCCTGGTAACAAGTCGATTCCTAAGTCGTTACGTTCAGTTACGGATACTTCCATCAGCATATCTATGATGAAGTTAAACAGAAATGGGGAGAGTGGACATCCCTATCGGACACCACTGAGTGAGTTTGTAGGTTTAAATGCCACCCTAATTTTTGCTGTATTAAGAATCCTAAACAGGGTTTCAGTTTTCCTCTCCCTCCTTACATGGTAATACCATTTTAGATGCTTTATATTCTCTCTTAATTATGTTTTCATTATTAGTTTCATCATTAATTTTTATTTTTCTTTCGACCGTTTTTTGATCTTCCTAATGAATTTTATAGGATAGTTAGTTATTTAACACCAACGCTTCTCCCTCTATATGTTTCATTTCATCATTTCGATTTTTTGTTGTACTACTTGGTGCTATTGCTCGGTTTTGCAGACACTTTACTAAGTCAGTCTTTATAGACAGACAACGGATGAGATGAATTAAATAAAGTCTAAATATCCAATATTAGAATGCGTTGGCTTTAGAGTGACTTGATAGGATTATGAGCAATAATTTGTGCTAGAAACGTGGTCGTATCAGTTAATATTACTGTATAACAGTGTGTAATTCATCAAGGATATATTTGTATTTAAAGAATGCGTTAACTAACAGCCAATGTATTTATATTATTCTTCGTGAAGAGTAGTCATATTGTAATGTGTTTGAAACAGAATTCTTATTAATAATTAGGAAATTTTAAGCATCAGAAGTCCCAGAAACTGATATTTCAATCGTCTGTTGAATTCATTTCTACTGATAAGCTTATAAAAACACAAATGAATTTTTTTGATTGGACACTAGTCACTAACTAGTGTAATGTGTGGGTGTTTATGTGTCTAGTCCTGTCTTAGGTACAGATTGAATTCTATCAGTCAAGTTTGCAATGTAGCTACCCATGACACTAGGGGTAGCTCACCAGCACGGTTCACTGAGAATTTTTGGTATTAGATTGTTCGAGACAATCAGCAGGAAGCTTTGCCTAAGGCAACATGAGTTCCTTCAAGGTTGCAGATATTCCTTGCTGACTGGTGATTACCGACTAGCATGAAACCTAGGTGGTTTTCAAGACTTCTTGCCAATTGCCTCCAACCATCTAATTGGCAGCAGCCCACAAAAAAGTTGCATAAGGCAATTGTTGACCGACTATCAGAGGTATGAATAGTTTTCTACCTGAGGATAGCCATTTTTCGATGCATTAATTGCCCAATGGTAGGATACTCATTGAGCTGCAATCTACGAATGTTTGGCATGCGATTCGCTCCCCTTGTCAAATGTAAGATGATGTTACAGGACTGGACTATATTGACTCCTAGTTTAGAAATATGGAGTGAAATGGTAGAGCACGTTGACCACTTCACTTATTTGGGAAGTACCATCGGCCAACGCCAGCGGGTTGATCTCTGGCGAAATCTCAGCATGGATACAGAGGGCTAGTTTCGCATATGCCAGTTTACGCCATCTCTGACGTAGACGTGATATCCTACTGGTTATCGACTAAATGGTGGGTGTACTGCTCATCAGTTCTTCCCGTCCTCCTTTATGGCTAACTGTGAGACCTGGCCATTGAGAGTGGAAGACATGAGAAGGCTGGCTAGTTGTCTTTGATTATAGGTGCCTGTGTTCTATCTCCCGTGTGAAGCTGTATAATAAGGTGACCAATATTGGGGTTAGGCGTCGAGTGCTATGTAAGGAGGAGAAATCAATCGACGAGTCTGTGAATCTATATGTGTGAGATATGCCTAGTCATCGCCTTCCTCGACTAACCGGCAATGTTAGCTGACATACGGTCAGGCTGGAAAAGAGCTAGCGGCGGTCATACCAAAACATGGCTTCATCAGTCAATGAAATGCACAACAGTTATTTTAAGCCAGTCACGTAGGAAGGTGTAGACTTCTTGACTGGTTGGGGTCCTCGGGACGGTAAAAACCAATGGTGGCTGGAAACAATTGGTGACATGGCTCAAAGTGATCGTTCCCAATGGCTGGCGCAGATGCATCCACTCCCTGGGACTTATGATTTCCCATGAAACTATATTGTTCTTCGTTATTACTATTCCTTTGTCTCACACATCTGTTTACTGTCCCTATTATGCATTTCTTGTACTTTCTTCTCTTTCTTTGTATGCTACAAGGAGGGAGTGTGGCGACTTGAACTGGTGCACATCGGTGCAAAGTTCTATGTCAAAAATAGACAGATAGACAGAATACTCATCAGCGAAGCACTTGATCTGGGTCGACGTACTCCTCAAATTGAACTGGCAAGTAGGCATGAGACTAACAACTCCATACCCTATAAAATGAACACCATTGCTACTGAAACTCTGAAGCTCAAGTCTGAAATTATGCGTTCCACTTGTCATGTAAACGGAATGAGAAAAAATGATGCTTAGTCAGAGTTGAATTCATCAAATACTTCACTGAAGAATGAGATGTCAGTGAAAATTCACTTTCAATTATGGTTATTATTCGCACTACAAATGCACTAACCATTTCTTCAATAGTTATTCATGAATCTTTTTGATTGATTTATTCCTGAAGCTGCAGCAGTAATTCAGGATTCTTTGATAGCCAAACAGATAGAAGCCTCTCTGTGTATCATGCTCATTGGATAAATTAAAAATTGATGACAGTCTTTTCTATATGTTATCTTCAGTAGTATACATCATTTGATGTGTGTTTAGATAGAAAACATATATATGTTACGAGTCCCTGTTTCATGTGTGTGGTGTGGACCCAGCTAGACTGTTACTCCATTATGAATAAAATTTTATTTTCATATAGCCACAGCAACAACAACAACAGGCAAAATCGGCATAGATGGAAGGAACCTGAAGGAAACAACCTCCTTCACTTACCTACCTACCTACCTACCTACCTACCTACCTGGGAAGCATCGTTTCAACCACAGGCGAACGAAACTGACGAGGATATCAGAGCCAGAATCGGAAAAGTAAGACAAGCTTTCATTAGTCTTGAGTCTGTGTGGAGGTCAACAACACTCACCATCAAAAATAAGATCCGGATTTTCAACTCCAATGTGAAGTCAGTCAGTGCCACTATACGGAACAGAGACTTGGCCAGCGTGTCATAAAGAGCATATCAAACAAACTTCAGACCTTCATCAACAGCTGACTGTCTTCACTCAATACTCAAGATGATATGGTCAGAAAAGATCAGCGACAGAGATCTCTGCCAATGAGCGAACCAACCCAGCAGGAACCGATTGTGAAACAAATAAGCAAGAAGAATTTCAGGTGGATTCAGGTAGACTGGCCATACCCTGAGGAAACCATCAAGTGACATCAAAAGACAGGCCCTTGAGTGGAACCGAGTTGGTCGTCAGTGTGAGGGTGACAGGGAGGAGGTGATGTGAAGAGGAGATGAAAGCATGCAGACAGACATGGAGCCAGGTGAAAACTCCAACAGAGAACCAAATGCAATGGAGACGTGAGCAGCTGAAGCCCTATGTTCCTCTAGGAATTAAAGGAAATAATAATAATAGTCACACACACAGTGTATTATACAGTAGTATTTTCAATGAGAGCCACGTTTCGAGCGCAAATTATCTTTACTATTCATAATCATCATATCAAGGCACTACTCACACAACTTTCTTGCTTCCCTTATATAAATGAGTAAAAATTGATGATAAGACATTTGGATTGAATTAAACAAAATATTATATAATTTTTAAAATACCTTACAATGACTGTTAGTTAGGTCAACTACGTAGGTCAAACTCACCCAAAGTTAACTTCATTAAGTATGCTGATGATCTGACCGTTTCTGTCCCTGTAGTTTCCACATCGGATTGTTCCCATATGAATGGCTTCTTAGCTGAAGTTAAGGATTGGTCTGGCTCAAATGGTTTTAAACTAAATCCAACTAAGTGTAACACTGTTGATTTCAGCTTGAGAAGTGAAAAAGACATGCATGGATTGATCCAATCTCATGATTGTTGTAATATTGATGGTACCATGATAGAGAGTAAGTCAAGTGTTTCTTATCTTGGCATTAGTTTCTCTTCAAACCTTTGCTGGTCGTCTCATATTCTTATAGTTTCTAAGAAAGTTTTCCGTCTGACTTATTACATAAAGAAGTTGAGGCACTCAGGTATAACCCAATCTCTTCTCATACAATTTATTAATTCATGTGTTTTGCCCATCATTCTTTATTGTTCTCCATTATTCTTCCCTGGGCTACTCAAGAAAGACCATATAATACTACGAAGAACATTGAAGGCTGTAAGTAGGGTCAGTGCTATCCCTTTGACTCAACTAAATGACACTGTTGTCAATAGGCATATGAATTCTTGTAAACACTTAGCTAAAGTTATCTTATTGGATAGTGAACATCCTCTTTATTCACAATTGTTTCCTTGTATCTCTTCGGGTAAGACCAGAAGAAATTTCATAAACATTTATGCTCGTACTACAAAATATAAAAATTCGACCGTACCATATTTGGCACGAGTATTGTGTGAAGAGACAAATACCAGAAAAGAACTTTTACAACTTTTAAATCATTAACTAAACTATAAAATGTAATGATGCATATTAATGCATGTGTTATTTGATATATTATTTATTTATTATTCACTATGACCTAACAATGGTGTAATTTTGTTGGGGTTTTATTTTTTCCTATCAACTATCAATATTTTAACATTTTATACATTTATATAATTATAAACAAAGCTAAACCATTGCAATATGTAAAAGAAACGCTGAAAATTCCATGCTGTAAATTGTTATTGTTGTGGAATAAAGTGATTATTATTATTATTATTATCAGGAGTAGTAAGATTATCAGAACATAAGAATTTAGCCAAAGTTGAAATGATTGTGACCCTACCCGCGAAGATAAGTAATTTAGAAAAAAGCTCAACGATTACACTGTATGAATTCATATACAATCACAAAATAGAGTGGGTGGGACAGAGTTAAAATTCTAAGAAGTAATATAGGTAGGTAGAGCGAGGTGGGTGAGGTTGATTACTGAATCCTGCCTGGTTCATCGAGTGAATCTACACCCAACACATGCAACAGAAATGACTCAATCCAAATACCAGAGATATGGAAGATATTATTACCACCAGTCAGTCAAATTAGAGGAGGATAATAAATAATGTTAAAATGTATTCAATTCACATACATTATAACATCCTAACAAGTTGCTTATTATGACTATAAAAACAGTCGTCTTATTTCCAATCTGACTATAATTGATCAATGACACTCATATTATTATTATTATTTCTGAATGTACATTATCTTATATTGATTTTTATTCAAATGTCTAATCATCAATTTCACTCATGCATATAAATGAAGCAAGAAAGGTGTGTGAGGAGTACTTTGATATGATTATGAGCAGTAATAATTTGTCCTCGAACATTGGTCATCAGTAAATATTACTGTATAACAAATACCGTGTGATTTTATCAAAATATAGTTCTACCCCACCACAGTGCCCAATTTTTCTCCTTATATCAATAAGCTGAATTGTTGTTCATTCACTGAAATTTAGGCAGGTATGTCCAGTTGATGAGTCCAAATAGGACGAACGATGTGTATCTCATAGATTCCCCCTTTTCTTTTACAAACAAATAGCCCTAAAAAGGTACGAATCCTATGTTTGCTTAATAATAAAATTGATGACAAATGCTTTTTAAGCAAGCTTTTTGTGTTAACACCCTACTCTGTGTTATGAGTTCCTTTTAATAAAAATTAACTCACTTGGACAGGATTTTACACAGATTGATCCTAATGTTAACAGTCCATCAGGATTTTCTTTCCAAGTATACGTTGACTTATTATATACTTTAGAGGCTGGACATGAATTTGTACAGATGCCACGATTTGATTGACGTAAGCATGCCTGAAATAAATCAGTTAATCAATAAATACATAAATAAGTGCTCAAAATTAATCGGAAGAAGAATTCTGATAAACATTATGGCAAAATGAGCATTGCTAGAGGTAAAATATAATCCCCTGAAAATGACTGCAACTGAAGGAACTTCATAATCGAAATAAGTCTTCTCTGTATTCACTTGAAATTCTGTCTTCGCTTCTTCTTTAGCCATTTTCCTGGTTTTCGTTCGCAAGTCTTCAAGTTTGAGTGACGCTAAATAAAAGTCATCATCGAAATCTAGATGTTCTATAATCTTCTGATTGGTTCAAAGTGTTCTTTCTGGAGATTCAACAATGGAAAAATTATAGTGATCGATAAAAGTCTCTTAGCCCGGTTTTTATGAATTTCCTTCTCTGATCGTCAAAGTACAGTCAATTAGACTCCTTGACGAGAATTAGCCGTTCAGCGTGTTATCCTGTGTAGCCTATTGCAATTGTAAATATCGGTTTACTAAGAAAATATTCCGTCTTACCTTCTACTACATCAAGAAGTGAAGACATTCTGGAATGAGCAAATCCTTACTCCTACGATTCGTTAACTCCCGTATTCTGCCTATTATTCTCTATTGTTCCCCCTTAGTTTTTCCTGGGCTGGGCTACTGAAGAAAGACTATACCTTATTACGCAAGATGTTAAAGGTTGTCAGCAGGGTAAGCTACGTGCCACTTAACCATCTTGTTAATATTCTGGTTGACAGGCACATGGACTCATGTGAAAAATGGGCTAAATCGATTTTATCTGACTCACAACACCCTCTCCATTCACAACTCTCCCCATGTATCTCTTCAGGGAAAACCAGAAGCCTATATGGGAAACTATATGCCCGCACTAGCAAGTACAAAAACCCAACCATATCCTACTTAGCTCCTCTTCTGTGCGACAAAGAAAGCATTAGGCGTGAAACTCATGACTTATTAAATAGTCAGTAGAACAACTGGATCTTGTCTTTCCAACTCATACCATTCATTTATAGGTACAACGTTTTTCTTTCTTTCTTTTCCTTTTTTCTCTCTCTTTTTTTCTGTTAGTTGAAAGCTTTGTTTCTTTCTTCCTTACAAACTCTATTTAAAACATTTCTCTTCGTTCTCTCACTCTCTGCATATCTCGACCTTTTGTTACCGCTTACGCCAGTAAATATGCTAGCATCTACTTTTCTAACACCTTCAAACACTCTGTTCAATTTTGGCTTTGCTACCAACATGCCAATATGTTGTTGTCAAAACGAACTGAGATTCCCCTTAATCTATGTAGAATTTTATTTGTTGTTAATGTACTAACTGGATGCAATACTCTAATAAAATGCTGAGAATTCCATTCTGTATCACAAGTACTGTTTTGCAATAAAGCTAATTATTATTATTGTCATTTAAGAATGACTACCGAATACCTTATCACCAAATATTTAGTGCTATCAGCTAGATATCCATTGGAAACCAAAAAGTACTTGATAGTTGTTGTTTCGTCCTTGTATGAGACTCTTCTACTGCGCACACCTAGGATCATTATGTTATCAGACGAACCCATTGACCACCTATTATTTTCGTACTTTTAATAATTTGTTAGATATGTCGTAAGAGCTGAACAAACTGCTTTGTATCATCATAAACGGGGTGGGAATTGTGGCAGTAAAAAAACAAACATTCCGTAAGTTATGTCCAATCAAAATATAATAAGCAATGTTAAAACAAGTGAGAGGAGGTAATTTGCGTGTTATTGTGTCGCTTGAGCCGGATAGATGGCTTAACCGAGGAACCTTCATTTCCCTCCTAGACAACGTCTTCGGAGTCAAGTTAGCTCAGTGGATGATAATAAGGTAAATTACACAGTAGGTCGACACAATCAGGCGTAGATAATGCCATCTAGTGACAATTTGACATACGATTTAGTTTGAGGGGAATTAGACTTACCACAAGAACTTAATGGCACACCCTCAGACTTTGGCAGGTGAAGAATATGCTTAGAATCAAGATGCAGAAAAGATTTCCCACTATGTATTTTCCTACCCTTAATTTTCACTCTATGTATTTTCTATTGTATTTTTTGCGCATCGATGGTTTAGTTCTAGAATGCTCGCCAAACACGCACACACGTCATCTGGGGATTGATCCTCTGCCGACGAACTCCTAAAACCTGCTCACTTGGTAGTAGGTAAGCGCAGTAAAGAGAAAGGCTTGAGCGTGAGCCTAACAGTCTCACTCTGTAAGCCTGAAGCCCTATGTGCAACTCGGAATGCAAAGGAATTATATGATAAATAAATAATATTCTTGACTAAAGCCTTTTACGACCTCTGTTCAACTAAATTATCTGACCTTCAAGTCGATATCACACCTGTATTAAATATTTCTTAATCATTTCTCTACACATTAACGAGCCTAACAACAACAAACACCCTTACTTCTTCCAATTTAGTGTGAGTTCTTTTTTTTGGATTCCATTTGTTTCCAGTTGGACTGTGGACCGATGTCAGTTGGAGGACGACTTAAAATAAGCAGGAAGTCCTGGACAGAGATTTTTCGTCCTTGTTTTAGACTCTTTGTTAGTACGTATTCATGACCAGGACCTTCAAGTAATCAGGCTAGCTTGTTGACCAAGCTAGCTAGGACGAAACATCTGTTCACAACTTCATGATTTACAGTAACTCACCAACTGATGTCAGTCCCTGATTTGATTTGAGAAGTTACCCGATGTTTTAGTGGGAAGTCGTGACATGTAGGCTCCACCAGGTCAGGTGTTAGGATAAATATTCTTCGATGCCATTGGCTAGAGGTCACGCTAATAACCCCTAATTGACACAATTTAGAATTGATTGCATTCGTTTTCAGTGGATGAGTGGTTCAAATGCTTAGCCCTGCAACCGTGCAGGTCCTGACTTTGATTCCGGGTGAGTGGAGTGATGGGGGGGCGTACTAATGGAAAGTTTCAAACTAAGGTGAAATGGCTTCCTAGAACTCCCTGCTTGTTTTCATTGATTTTCTAAATGATATCAATTCATGATCCCAGTTTAGGAGAATTGTATCCGACATCTTAAAACGGTTCTGTTTGTTGTGTTATAATGATCTAAACGAATTAAATTTTAAGTTAAATAAACTCTAGGTTGATATAAGCTTCAAATTAATCTGGTTAGAATTGGCTTACAAACCAGATATCCTTTTAGATCAAATCTCTCCCCTTTCTTTAAATAAAAAATAAAATACATTCACGTACATTACAGTCTTGAGCTCTTGGACCATGACAACCAGCAGCACATTCAGAATGACAGCATTGTTCTCTTGCATAACCATAATTTGTACCTGAATGAATTCGACGTGAATGATGAGTTGAAGTTTCTTTGTTATATGTATAAGATCTTGCACGAAAACACCAATTCGATCCTTCACATAGATGAACTTGACATTTATGAACTAAAAGAAAAATATGAAAAAAAAACAAATGAAGAATCAATAATCTTTTCGCCATAAGCTAACATTATTTAGGGAACCATTGGAAAACCAGCTGGGAGTATTGGACAGCTGTTTCGTCCTAGTTTGTGACGCCCTAGTTTGCCCTATTCAGATAGGTAGTTACCTAGGATTCTATTGAGAAATCGTGACCAGTAAGTAGGGTGCAGCTGGTCGGGTGTGAGGACAAATACTCGCCATCGAAGACATTGGCTAGGGGTAGCGCTATGTCGTGAATTGGCAGAAGTTATAATTCATGGGCCACTGGATTGGGTCCCAGTGGCCTAATGGTCTACCAGTTAGCTTGTCTTCTAACCGGAACGTCCTTGGTTAGAACCCCGCGATTTGGGTGCGTGCTGATGAAGAGTCCTAAACTAGTCTGACGAAACAGCTGTCCAGTACTCCGAACTGGCTTTCCAATGGTTATCTAACTAATGTCAGCTCACGATGAAATCCTGTAACCAATCAAATCCCTACAAACCAACACTTGAAAATCAATAATCTTTTCTTTGACTGTATGTGTGTTCAAATGTTTTCAATACAAGTTTACACCACATATTGGTATTTATTGTTATTCATTCCCTGAGTTCAATATGGGACTTGAAGCCAGGGAAACGCATATGTGTATTCGACTCGGCTTTCTGCAATCCCTGTCAGCTGGCTCCATAAATGCCTACAGTATATTACTTCCGATGGATTTATAGTACATTGGTGATGTAGTCTCGTTTGCATAGTGCAGTGACTCACCGAGCTACACTGGGTGGAGTTGATATTCCTACTTGTTCTATTATGCTATAAAGATTGTTTGGGGTAGTGGTTAGACTAAAAACAGTCACCATCACAGTATAAGTTATTGACATTATCCTGTGGGCTTACAAGCAAAAGGGGTACTGTGGCGTGTGCTACTCACAAAATTTATTAATATTATGTAGAAAGACGTCCAATGACCCAAAAATATTGAATGAGGTAGAGATAGATTTGACGTCAACGAGACGAAACGAACCAGTATTGCGTTGGCAAAACATGCGAGTCATGAAAAGAAGACAAAGAAACACAATACGAAAGGCAGAAGTTGCACAGTGTAGAAGATCTGTGCAAATGACGGTTTCCACATAAAATGTACACAGAGAATATGGAGACGATGAAAATAACCAACCAACTAACAGAAACAACACATATAGCACCAATCACTGTCAATGAGAGAAACTTGAAAGAGGTCACTCCTTTCACTCATCTATACAGCCACATTTCAACTACGGACAGGACGAATGAAGGTGTCAAAGCTGACCTGTATCGGAAAGGCAAGATACACCTTGATCAATCTGACATCGCTTTGGAAATCTGTTGCACTCAGCCGGTGTAAAGAACGAGACTCGGATTTTCAGCGCCAATGTCAATTCAGTGAGTGAGTCATTTCTTCTATATGGGTCAGAAAGTGTGTGTGTGACACCGTCACGAAGAACATTTCAAAGAGACACTCGCGCACTTCTGTCAACATCCTCTCTCTTCGTTGGCTCCATATTGAAGATAAAATGATCGGCGTGCCATAAGGAATTAGCGACGAGAAACTATGGGAACAGAGTAATCAGGAACCTAATGTCTAAGAAATCATTCTGAATAAATTTTAGGTTTGTTGGACACACTCTATGGAGACCGTTGAATGACGTTGCACTTAAGGCAGGTTATTGTTCGATTGGAATCCGAATGGAAAACGGTGAGTGGATCGTCGTTGGGAGGGTGACGTGCTGAAGACCGTCTAAGCAGGGGATAAGAGATTATGGGCAATCTTGAGATCAACTAATGAGGACAGCAGAGAATAGAATAAAGTGAAGATTTGTTGCTGAAGAGGTATATTGCACTGGGAACTCAAAATTGATACTAGGGGATGTAGACTTCGTGAAGAATGGCTTATCTTTAATGTCATACAAACTTCAAGATTTACAAGGGAAAGTCAGTGATTTGGGACCAGAAGAAGAATTCAGAAAATATAGGACTTTAGGTGAACGTATAGAAGACAGAGGTGATAGAGGTATCTAAGCAACAGCAACAAAAAGCATCAACCAGAGATAATCAGAGACAGTGGGTCACCAGTTTCACTCATCTAAGCAGTATCGTTCTAAGCCAAAGACAGGATTGGAAAATCAAAACAGGCATTATTTTTATTCTGAAATCAATGCAGAAATCCACTGTACTCAGCACTGGGAACAAGATTTGGATTTTTAGCATTAGTGTTAAGTCATTCATTACCTCTGTATATGGTTCATAGACTTGGCGCATCACCGAAAGTATTTCTATTAAGCTGAAAACTGTCATGAATAGCTCCGCAATGAAGACAAGATGGTCAGCCAGAAAAGGCAAACAACTCAACTTATATTCCAAAAAATATGTCGCGGAAAATGGAGATGAATTGGTGACATATAAAAAACTTGGGCACTGAGGTAGTCATTAATTCCCTATCAGTTTGTTTATTAGATATATCACACAGTGAGTGTAACAGTACTAATAACTGGATGACAAGGTTTCGAATATAATCACACGAATTTGAAACTTGAGTTTCATAGTTTTCTTTATTCTTTTTCTAGTTGTCCAGATAGGTAAACAGGTGTTGAATCATTCCTATTACACATATTTCCAAGTGATTCGATAAACAAAGCTTCTGTTATCAATCTCTCCCTACACCCTGTTAGTTATTTTAGATTTTAAAACTGTCATCCTATCCCATCCTATTGTGTCGTTGTGTGTAACTGCAGGTAGTGACTACTTTAGCTGAATTATACTCCAGATTTCTCATCTTATTCGGGTCAACTAATCGAGATTTTCCTGAGGTTTTATGCTCCGCTACTCTGACTGACTGCATCTGTTCTACTACTTTTACTTTATGTATTTTACCTGACAATTATTCCAGTAGGGTATAAGATAAACTAAATTGTTTTGTTTTAAAGGCTCCACAGGACTGATCCTTTAACTAACAAAGCTTGTTTCTAATTGAGTTTGTTGGTTTGAATGAATGGACTGGACATACACTAAAGAGACAGCTAGGTTAAATCACACATCAAGCACTCTAGTGAGACTCAAATGACTGACGAGAAGTTTGATGTCAATTCAATTTTGGCATGGGAAATATATTGTAAGGATGAAATGTATGTTAGTGATATGCTGTTTAAGTACTATGTCCCAGTCATAACCTAAATGGAATAATAATCATGATAATTGAAATAATTCGGTAACATCGCTGACAGGCTAAGCTCTACATGAATAACACAACGATCTGACGTCTAGGAGTTACACAATAATCAATTTCTAAGACAAAGTCTATTATCCAATGAACAGTATCCATGCAGAACATTTATCCCAAGAAAGTATACAAATGAAATCTTTTTTAATCTATTATATGCTATTATTAGTATTATATATTATGCTTCTAGCCAAAATTTAATAGGTGAACTTATTTAAGAGTTTCAGGTGTACTGTGTATTCATAAGAACGAGATCTTAAGCGTAAGAATATCATAGTTCTCACTAGGTCCGGAACCTCCTGTCAACTTGTAACAACAGAAGACAAGGGCCAGGCAACAGATAGTTTTATTACGAAAATCAACATGTATTTATATATATTTTATGTACATTAATAAGGCTTATGCAAGCAGAAAAAGGCAGTCTTCTAATTGGTTGTTTTCGATATTTCTCGGAAAGTAGAGCCATCTATTTGCGAATCATATTTGCTCACGTTTAAGTCTGCTGTGATTGGTTGTTGAATCAGCCTAGATTAATGTCTACCAATTGGCTAGTAGCCTGCTCTCACCACAAACTGACATGATGTAATTCCCTATTAGTTTGTTCATTAGATGTATCACTCACAGTGGATGAAACAGTGTTATTATTTACTAGATGACATGGTTTTGAACACAATTCATTATTGTTCATAATCATATCATCAATTATTATCATATGACTTTGAAACTTGAGTTTTATATTTTTTTTTACCAATCCTATGTTTTCACTGACATAGGATGGAATGATCAGAAGTCAAAATATCTGTTTGAGTGTATGGGTTTCCCTTAATATTTCCCGAAATGTTCAAATAATCGAGCACAAAAACTAAGTAGTACCAAGGAAAATCAAAGACAGGAACTGAGGCTTTGAAACTTAATAATTATCCTGATAGGTTAGTCAGAAAGCATGTAGGAAAATGTAAAAATAAAATAAATACTGATAATAGTCGCAGTGATGATAATGATAGCAATAATAGCAATAAAAATGACAACATGCTTGTCAAACATGCGCAAGACAATGACAACATCAGCAATAAAGTATCTCAATCATCAGTAGTAATTTCATACAAAAAAAGAAACCTCGGAAACCACTTTACGCAGAATTCTTAACAAGGCAGGAATAGAAAGTGGCTAGCATTCAAGCCACCCACAAACTCAATTAGAAACAAGCTTTGTCAGTTACAGGATCAATCCTATGGAGCCTTTAAAACAAAACAATTTAGTTGATCTAATACCCTGTCCGCAATGAATGCCAGGCCAAACAAATAGGTCAAAATAGTAGAACAGATGCAGTCACACTAGCCGAACCTAAATACTTAGCAAAATCTAGATTGGTTGACCTAAATACGATAAGATATCTAGAGAATAGTTCAGGTATAGCATTACATGCAGTTACACACAACGACACAATAGGATGGGATAGAATGACAGTTTGAAAATCTAGAATAACGAACAGGGTGTAGGGAGAGATTGATAACAGAAGCTTTGTTTATTGAATCCACTGAGGTGAATACGTGTAATAGGAATGATTCAGCACCTGTCCACCCAGATATCTGGAAAATTCTACTTCCCCAACGACGACAAATAGGAGAGAACAAAGAAAACTATAAAACTCAAGTTTCGAAGTCATGTGATTATAATTGATGTTATGATTATGAACAGTAATAAATTGTTATATATGTCCAAACCAAGTTCACTTTTAACGGTTTGAAAAAATTTGGGCATTGGTTATATGATATTCACTATAATAAATGTTTGTTTATTGTATTTCCCAATGAATGAAAAACAAAACGATAATGTTTTTACGATATTTGTTTTTCATTCATTGGGAAATACAAAAAACAAACATTTATAATAAATTGTGTTCAAAACCTTGTCATCCAGTAAATAATAATCCTGTTTCACCCACTGTGAGTGAAACATCTAATGAACAAACTAATAGGGAATTACTTACTTCCACAATGCCCAAGTTCAACACATATATTGACATCATGTAAAAATTCGCAAGCTTTCAAGTGTTGGTTTGTAGGGATTTGATTGGTTTCAGGATTTCATCATGAGCTGACATTAGTTAGAGAACCATTGGAAAACAAACTGGGAGTACTGGACAGCTGTTTCCTCCGTCCTAGTTTGGGACTCTTCAGCAGTACGCACCCACCGCCATCGTTCGAACCCAGGACCTTCCGGTTACAAGGCGAGCTAGCTCGTATACCATTAAGCCACTGGGACCCGATCCAATGGCCAGTCCTTGAATTCTAACTTCTGCCAATTCACGACATAGCGCGACCACTAGCCAATGTCTTCGATGGCTAGTATTAGTCCTCACACCCAACCCGCTGCACCCTACTGGTCACGACTTCCCACTGGAACCCAGGTAACTACCTACCTGAATAGGGCAAGTCGCCAGTGACCATCTCATTGGTATTCAAGTGTTGGTTTGTAGGGATTTGATCCCGGTGGGTGCGTACTACTGAAGAGTCCCAAACTAGGACGAAACGGCTGTCCAGTACTTCCAGATTTTCTAATGGTTTTCTAACTAATGTCAGCTCATGATGAAATCCTGAAATTCGCAAGCTTGTTAAAACTTTTCTGTACGTAAACTCAACAATTTATTTAGGATGTAAGCAGCAGTGGATGTGAGAAGGCGACAGAATAAACAGTGCTACCATCTTCTTATTATTATTATTCTGCACAACACAAACTTTTGTTCTCTCTTTATTCACATTTGGAAACAATAGTGGCTACGAATAAGTTTGTTTACAAAATTAATTTCAACTCAACAATATACCAAATAAAAAAAACGCCTACCTGCTTGACACTGATCAGGTCCTGGACCCCAACAATAACGTTTGCCTTGAATAGCTGGACAAACTAGATGACATGGTAAATTTGGTGGTTCAACCGTTGGATAAATTATACTTGTCTCATTCGGATTCCTTGTAGTAGTAGTAGTAGTATTAGCTTGAATACTTGAATTCTCTGGCATAATCAATGCATCCATGGTTGTTGCAGTTGTTTTTTGTTCTGTAATTGTCATTGTTGTCGTTGAGGCTGTTGTACTGAAGGTATCATTTTCATAACTGTATGACTGACCTGTGGTAGTGTGATTTATAAGATGTACCGTACTGTATTCGGTTGTCATATTTTCTACTGCTGTCGGTGTTGTAGATTGTGCTTCATCAGAATATGTGACCGTAGTGTCTAGTCAACGTCGTGTAAAAATAAAAAAGTTTAAAACAGTAATATTAGATACATATATAATTTGTATAATTGCCTTTACATTTGTACACAATAGCCTTAAAATCCGTATGACAGAGAGAGAGAGAACATATGATTATGGCTAGGTGGTTGGGGGCCATCGGCAGGAATATTTGACTGACCTAGATTTCATGTTTGTCGACACTTACCAGTCAGAAAGATATAAATATATATATATGCAATCTTGAAGTAGCCTATGTTTCTTCTGAAGTTCAAATCCGTGTCACCTAATGCTGCATTCAGGGATGTTATCACTAAGCTGTTCGGGCTCGCGATTAAACATATCTTGTAGGACTGCGGTGGATATTTTGACTGGATTTATCATTATTGTTTCATTTAATGCCTAGAGGAACATACGGCTTCAGCGTTATGTCTCCATTGCGTTCACCTCTCCTGCAACATTTTCATTTGGCTCCGCGTCTGCCTACATGCCTTCATCTCCTCCTCGCATCACCTCCTCCATGTTGTCACCCTCGCACTGACGACTAACTCTCCGCTTCCCATTTAGGTTCCACTTGAGCAGTGGCCGGGCGTGTGATGTCACCCATCTTTTTATACACTGGGGTACCTTCTCTGGGGCTATAAGAGCCAATCATTGTGCAACTAGTATTAGTTATTGTTTGTTTTTAGACTAATTTAGATTTTCAAGTATTGGTTTTGGTATGGATTTTTGTTTGATTGAGTTTACATCAGTTATAGGAACATTGAAAAAAACCAGCAAGGGGTACTGGACAGCTGCCTCCTCTCCTAGTTTAGAATTCTTCAGCAGCACACACCCGCCGTCAGAGTTAAGACCCGGAGCCTTCTCGTTACAAGGCTGGAGAGCTAGCTCGTAGACCATTAAGCCACTGGGACCCAACTCACTAGCCAGCCCATGAATTCAAACTTCTGCCAATTCATGGCATAGAGTGATCACTTCTCAATGTCTTCTTCGATGGGTCACTGCCTCACCTTCAACCTGCTGTAACCTACGGGTCACGCCTTCCCACTAGAACCCCTGGAAACTATCAACCTGAATAGTGCCAGTTGGTAGTGAGCAGCAGATAAATTTTCAAGTAATAGTTTTAGTAGGGATTTTCGTTTGTTTGACTGGAGGTTTTTGGGAGGTAGAAAGTGAGGTAGTAACTCACTGAAGGAGACATTACGAAGTGATTGCGCTATGTCATGCATTGGTAGAAGTTAGAATTCATGGGTTGGCCACTGGATCGAGCCTCAGTGGCTTACTTGTCTACGAGGTAGCTCGCCTAGTATCTAGAAGGTCCTGCGTTGGAACCCCGTAGTGTATGTGCGTGCTGACGAAGAGTCCTAGACTAGGACAACGGAAACAGCTGTCCAGTACTTCCATGTGGTTTTCCAATGGTTTTTCTAAATGACGTCAGCCCATGATGACGTCATGACGTTGAGTGACTACGTTGGACGGAAATGTTCAGTATCTGCTGCCTGGGTGTAAGTTTCGCCAGTGTTTGCGGATAAATGTGAGAAAAAATATCGAGAAAACTAAGGTCGATAAATTTCGATACTTGCGGCTGCTGGTAGCAGTGAGGAGTGTATGGAGTTGAGATGATACCATACCACCGGATCCTTGTTTGAAGAGAGTGTTTCTAATAGCTGGTTGTTATCGAAATCTCAGCTCGGAAACAAATTGCACCATCTCTGTTGTGAATGTGATATCCGGTTATCAATCAAAAGATGTTTGTGCTCCTCTGCACTTAGATTCTGTTCATCTTTATGGCTTTAAGTAATGGTCATAGATAATGGAAGGCATGAAGAAGATAATTGTTTATGACCACATATGTTTGCATTCTATTCCTCATGTTAGGTGATGTGAATAACAGTGAATAACACTGAAGTCAAGTGTTGAATGTTAGGTTGACAGAGCAATTTTTTGTGGATAAGATTGTGAAGTTTACTCAATAAAATCTGTGCATACTTACTTTCCTGTAAGTCATCGAGTCTAGAAACTTCGCCTTATATAGTAAGTCCGGTGCAATTTAAATGCTGGGTCAGTTAGAATACATTTGTGTCGTTTATAATGGCTCTGGTGTGTGATATGAAGTGGCTAAAAAAAAATTCTAAAACTGGCTTAAATTAGTCTAAATCATCGGGGTTTGCCACAGATTGACTGGATACCTTTTCATGCCAAACCTTATTCAACTAATACAATAATTTGGTTACAGAATTTCATCATGAGCGGACACATCGGTTAGAAAACCATTGGAAAATCAGCTGGGAGTGCTGTATAACTGTCTCCGTTGTCCTAGATTGTGACTATTCAACAGTACACACCCACACCATGGGTTTTTGGGTCACTAGGCCCTCCTTGTCACAAGGCTGGTTAGCTAGCTCGTAGACCATTAAGCCATTCACTGGGACCCGATCCAATGACCAGCCCAGTAATTCTAACGTTTACCAATTCATGACACATCACAGTCACTTCGCAATGTCTTCTTCAATGAGTTGCCGCCTCACCATCAACCTTTTGTACCCTACTGGTCACGACCAATGGAATCCCTGTGTGAGGACAAATACTCACCAAAGTCACTGGTTAGTGCCAGTCGCGCTATGTCGTGAATTGATAGAAGTTGGAATTCATCGGATGGCCATTGGATCGGGTCCCAGTGAGTGGATGAATGATCTACGAGCTCGCTAGATTTGTAACCAGAAGGTTCTGAGTTCGAACCCGCGGTGTGGGTGTGTACTGCTGAATAGTCCCAATCTGGGACAATGGTAATAGCTATCCAGTACTCCCAGCTGGTTTTCCAATGGTTCTCAAACCGATGTGTCAGCTCATGATGAAATCCCTGACCAATTAAATAAAATCCTTACAAACCCATGCTTGAAAATCAGATTATTTATTTACTGGGCTAACTTTTCGAAGATTTACAGTGTTTACATACAGCATATTTCCGTCAAATAAAGTGAATATTTCTACCGACTAGGGTCAGACTGCCTTCTGCTTTATTTTATTAGGCCACGGGGGGTGGGGGCTGTATTAACTGATTCTTATAATTTGTTATTCAATCTTCCATCAAGTTGTTCATTTTTAATTCAACATCGACCTCCTTATTACTGTAAATTCACTTTGAAAATCCTCTTCTTTAAACATAAACAAAAAAATTCAGATTTTCAAAACTGTTGGCGAATTATTTCTTCCATGTGATTCAAAAGACTTGAGACGTCATCAGAAATCATTTTCAGCAGGCTCCAGAATTTCATCAAGAGCTGTCTTCACTGCAAAACTGAACGTCAGGTGACCAGAAAGGATAAGCAACAAGGATGTCTGACTGGCAACGGATCAACCAAGAAGCTATTGCCCAGAAAATTGCCAGAGGAGATGAAGATGAATGGAACACACTTGGAATAGACATTTGATTGACATTACATGCTAGGTCTGATAGTGCAGTCCGAATAGGGGATGACGATTTGGACATCGGTCTGAAGGTGTGATATGGGAGAGACCATGTCAGGAGGAAATAAAAGATCATAGGTGATCCTGAAGCCAGATAAAGACGGATGCAGAAGAGATAGCGAAATGGAGATGCGTGATTGAAGCCTGATGTTCCATTAGAAACCCAAGGCATTAATAACAATAATAATAATAATCGGGCCCACATAACAGTTTTGATTAATTAGCAGTAATTGACTTACCACTGCTGGTCGAAAGAAGACTTTCATATGATGACGTCTCCACGACAGTATCTGTTGTTTCATCATGAATTTCTTCAGAGGTCAGGTCATTATTATCCCTATATAAGTCATCAAGTTTAGCACCTATTTTCGTCATTAACATGTCACCTTCAAGGAAATTTCTGGACTGTGGTACTTCAGCCTCATTTGTCGAAATACTCTCCGATGAATAGAGGATAGTATTACTTTCTTCTGATTGATTCAAAGTTGACTGTTCCATTTTAGGATGTTCAGAGAGATTTTCTGATGTTGTTTCAGTTGGTGAATCTGTAGTTTGTATTTCCGATGGGGTATTGGTTGAATTTTGGTCGTTCATTTGAGTTGTATTTATAGTGTCTACAAAAATAAATATGAAAGGAATGTGAAACTCTTCTCGGACGCTTAATCATCATAAAATTACATACAGTTGTAGGCTACAAAGTGATAAAATAAGAAGCACAGAAGTATAATCCTTTTCGACTAGTTCCACATCAACCCATAAGGTTTTACCTCTACCTTACAGAATCTTCCTCATGTCATACTGAAAGTGGCGTCCAACTCTTTGCTACCTATAAGTGTTCCACTTCAAGATGTAAGGCGTCATATTACTCAATGATGTCCTCAGTATGTGTCTAATCTACCTCCTCCCTTCCTTCCTACTGCATATTTTTTGGATGACCGGTTCTCAGTTTGTTTCTTGTCTATCAGAGTTCCTTGTTACTTATAGTTTCTGAATGCTTGTCTTATCATCAATAGCTAGCGGAGGCAACTACTGATGGACGTTTTCAGTAGACTATTGGAAACACCTTACTTCTCACAAATGGTATAACCCTAAACAGTATACAAGTACTGACTGACACACGTAGGACGGCATATTTCTATAGTGATTTCAGGGAAGATGAGGTCTGTCTTGCAATCTCAATCCTGTTCCAATTTTGTATGCTCATACACACCGCTTGACTACAGATGAAATAGTGCTGCCTAGGTAAGTAAAAGACATGAAAAGGGAAAGAACTATTCTCCATGTGTAGATAAGAAGCCTTTATAAATGCAACTGCAATTCAAAAGTGACGCACTCAGTGAAATAACTACTAACTAGTTAAGAAAATTTATTCAAAGAACTTTTCATGCTGGTAAACTACACGTCATATTTTCTACATGACCGATGGTAATTCCTCGATTGAAAGATGAAGTACCCAGACAAGCCAATTCCAACTGTGTCTACCAAATCAACTGCGCTGCTTGTGGTGGAGTAAGTTATATTGGCCGTTTCTCTAGGAACTTGATTTTTTGTATGCGATTGAGAACATCTTCGAGTATGTCTAGGTAAAGATGTAATAAAGCCATCAACAGTTCGATATTAGATCGCCTAGTCAAAACTGGCTGACCACAAAGCTAGGATTGAAGAATCCTTCTCTACCATCCACCGAGTACCAAAAAAAATTACCAAAAGCATCCAGGCACCGCATGCTCCAAACAGTAGAGGCCATCGTGATTCGCCTGAAACAACCAGTGCTGTGTGTGCAGAAGTAACAGGTCCAACCAGCCACTACCATTGTAACAACAGAAGACAAGGGCCAGGCAATAGATAGTTTTATTACGAAAATCAACGCATATTTATATATTCTTTATGTACATTAATAAGACTTATGCAAGCAGAAGAAGGCAGTCTTCTAATTGGTTGTTTCTCGGAAGACAAACACAGTCTCCTGATTGGTTGTTTTCGACATTTTTCGGAAAGTAGAGCCATTTATCTGAGAATCATATTTGCCCACGTTTAAGTCTACTGTGATTGGTTGTTGAATCAGCCTAGATTAATGTCTACCAATCAGCGTAGATTAATGTCTACCAATTGGCTAGCAGCCTGTTCTCACCACACCACTACCACTGCCCTGACTGGCCTTCAGTAGAGACTGTAAAATCACCAATTCATATTATTATCTTTCCTAATTAATCTGTCTAATATTCAGCTTATTTTATGTTGATGCTATTGAACTGTAATCTGTTGATATTATCATTGATTCGATGTTATTTTAACAATCATTCATACTGTTCATAACACTAAGTCATTCATTCACTATAATGTGCATATAACCGTAGAACTTGATGGAGGGCAGGTTATCGAAAAGAATATTCTTTGTTCAGAAACCATTCTTTTGAAAATTTTAATGAGCACTTTAAATTAGTTAGAAATGACTACCTTTAAATAAGAAGTAGAAATAATTCATGGCGAAAATCAAGACAATTATTCAATAGAAGTTAGCAACAGATTATTGGACACGAAGGAATAGAAATGACATGATATAGGAATGGACGCTAATAATAAAAATAAAATTCTAGTTTACAGGATTTCATCATAGGCTGACATTGGTTAGAGAACCATTAGAAAACTACCTGGGTGCACTGCCAGACAACTGTTTCTTCCTAGCCTGGGACTCTTCAGCAATGCTCACCCGCCGAGGTTCGAACCCAGGACCTTCTGGTTACAAGGTGAGCTCGTAGACCATTAAGCCACTGGGACCAAATTCGACGGTCAGATCATGAATTCAAACTTCTGCTAATTCACGAAATATCTTCGGCGAGTATTTGTCCTAACACCCAGCCTGCTGCACCCTACTGGTCACCAATTTCCACTAGAATCTCAGGTAACTACATACCTGATTGGGGCAAGTCGCCAGTGGATTGAGTCCCAGTAGCTTAATCGTCTACGAGCTCACCTTGTAACCAAAAAGTCATGGGTTCTAACCCCATAGTGTGAGTGCGCGCTAATGAAGAGTCCCAAACTGGTCTGACGAAACAGCTGTCCAGTACTCCCTGGTGATTTTCCAATGGTTCTCTAACCGATGTCAGCTGATAATGAAATCCTGTCACCAATAATTCAAATCCCTACAAAGCAACAGTTGAAATTCAAGATTAGTCGACTTTTAGAAGCTGAGAAGAAGATATTACACACTTGTAAAATAACCATGACTAAGAAGAATCGATAGATGAATTACGTAAAAAAAAAACCAAGAATTCACCGGAATAGTATACATCAAAGTAAAATTAGCCGAAAAAATGATAATGCTGAATGACAGCTGCAAGGATACCACATCAAGTGAAGATCTCGACAAATATTCCTGCTCTCCTAAGCAGAAATGGATATCTGATGAATGATTTGAATAAACAAATGAGTTTAGCAAGCCAAAACGTCAGGGTGCCTTTATTTCCAAAAAAACAAAAATTAGTGATCCTAAGACTGCTGCTATTCATCACGGTGGATGTTAATAGTGAAATTGTATTACAGAGCTAGAAGAAGGCTTTCAAAAAGACTTTTAACTTAGCTAAGCTGGGCTGTTTATTCATCAGTCAACCAATAATTAATAAGTTCACGAAATGAAGACAGATTGTATGCCTTATTTCGCTTCTTCCATGTGTATTTAAATGTTTAGGTGTATGATTAGGCATGTTCATCGTTGAATTTATGAATAAAACAATACGTTTTGGTTAGGTGAAAAACCGAATAAAACGATACACAGGTCAATACTAGCACATCTAATCGATATTAGACATTATGATGACATTACTGACTAACTTGTTTCAACGTAGAACTCTGAATCGATGGGTATCAGTTCTAGCCGCCACCCTTTCTCCATGTAGCACACAAAGCAAGAGAAGAGAGACTCAAAACAGCGATAATAAACACGAATATGAGGCAGAAAGAACAGTAATATGGTGGAACAACAGAGTTTTGTCGGATATTATAAATCACAAGGAGTGGATACATCTGCGTCAAACATTGAGAACGATTTCGAGCCATATCACCAGTTGTCTGCAGCCTTCATTTGTTTTTACTATCCTAACGACCTCATCCAGACTGGTAGTATACACCTCCCTATGTAGCTGGCTGGCTTAAACTAGCTGTTGTGGATTTCATTGACTGATGAGGCCATGTTTTGCTTTGACCAGCACCCACACTAGCTTTTTTCCAACCTGATCCATCCTATGTCAGTCAGGTAAAATTACCCGTCGATCGAGGAAGGCGATGGCTAGGCGTGCATTCGTAACACATGTCCTAACCATGTAGATTACTGTAACTTCACAGCCTTGTCTATTTATTTCCCTTACTTACCTAGCACTCGACTGATGCCTAACTTCAATATTGCTCACCCTTTATACCACTTCACATGGGAGGAAGAACGCAGGCACCTATGATCAAAGACAGGTGGCTTTTTATGTCTTCCCAGCCAGCCATAAAAGAGGACACAGCGAACTGCTGAGCATTACACACACCCTTAAGTCGACAGCCAGCCAGTTGGATATTCCGTCTACGCCAGAAATGGGTCCTAAATTTATTTCTCTTTTCTACGCCCAGTCTTATTCAACCTCTACAACTTTGACTTTAACATACAGAAGAGCCAATCAGAATTCATCTGAACAGAATAAATCTGTGCATGTTCAAAAAAAAGTTTGTGCGACCACTTTCCTGTACACCGGGCTGTCCACATAATGTGTATAATGTCTTATAAATGATTTCTCTGCCTTTAACGTCTATTGTATTATGATTAGTATTCTAGGTTAATTCAACTAACTTGCTTTTATTTTGATATTATTATGTAATTCATTCACCTGTTCTTCTCAGTCACTATTACTTTACATATTACTGACTGTGTGATACCATGTCTTGCTAAATTCTACAAATTAATAACTGAAACAGAATAACTGTTTGCTAAAAATCTCTCTCATCAACGATCTAAATACAATACTCTGATACTTATTTGGATGTCTCAACCAACTTTGTACTTAGTTTCCACTTTTATCCTAGGCTATGTATCACTGTTTAATTGAATGTTAGATTTTCCTGTCGATTGACTCGACCAGATGACGAGTCCCAAATAGGACGAAATGCTGTATATCCTGGATTCCACTGCTAGTTACCATCCACCAATTCAATAAATATATGACTGCCTTAGTGTTTGCTTGTCATCTACTTACTGCCTTAATGCTTATTATTTACCTTTGTATATTATAGAGAAGATTTGTAGCTCAGGTGGATGATTTTGATGTGGTTTTGTTCTCTGAGCTGGATGGTTAGTTTGCGAAGCTTTCATCACCTTACTGGGTGACATCTTCAGCGCATACTTCAATTTGAAGTGAGCTTTTAGATTTCTCCACGAGTTTATTAATCATCTCTCCTGGTGACCTTGGACGTGATTGGTTGTTTGTGTGTGTTTTCACACCTTCTAGGTTACTTGTATTGGAACCGGTTGTTTCTTTGACTTGAATTTTGACCCTTTGTGTGTGAAGTTTCTTTCTTATTGGTTGATAAATTTTGTCTATGTCGATGTGTCTATTGATTGATGATCCACTGGAATGCC